CAACTTAACTGAGTCTGTGCCTTTTTTTTTTTTCTCTCACTCTAACCTTCCCCTCACACTTGATCGAGGTTATGTATGTATGCAGTTAGTTATCAACTCGACACCGCCTACACAACTCAATCACAAGTGATCAACAAAGGTGAGAAAGGCGGGACAAGGCTTAGTTAGACTTGGTAAATGCCAAGGATACGAGATTCCAAATCAAGCAGTGGTACAATACCTCGTCCTCGTTCTCCTACCACTCAGTACTCCTAACTTGATTCACCATCTTGTGACTGATCGCCTCAGCCATTCTGCAGTGCAGCGCAACGCAACACCGCCTCTTAGCAGCAGCGCCAAGAACGGATTGGGCTTTGATACCGACCATGATGCCACTATGGACGGATCGATTCAATAGTCACAAGCCTCAATCTGGACAATCAATCGATGCTTGGTATATAAAGTCACCGTGCTTTCGCCTCTCTCGATCTTCCGATTTCCACCACAGAAATTGCTCTCAGTTCGGCATTTATTAAACTGAAACCTTGAGTTGTGGCTACATTCAAAGTCAAAGCATTGATTCAACAACTCTGAAGCCGCTCTGTTACAATGCCGGAAAAGTATACACGCCAGTACAGATACAATAGAATACATTACATATGATTATGATGACATACTCTACCCTTTCTAACCAATCAGATAGCATTGCTTTGTCGCAAGTAACTGCAGTAGCCAATCATAGCTGTTTATGTTTCTGAGGGAAAACTGCAATCTCGCTCGCAACTTCATGGTTCAATTACCATCCCGCGCTTATACGCACGCCCTATCTAGAGCTGATACACGCCCTTGATTCCAATTGCTCCCCTTCTTTGTCAACAACTGAAGTTCTTCCAGGCTCAATTTCTTGCTAGAGTCTTCAACTCACATATCTCCGGTTATTCGTTCCTTATGTCTAGTTTAGAGTCTTGACACAAACCCTTCTCTTATGGACTAGTCCTGAACTCCTAACTTCAGTGACCATGCAGTTGTCAACTTCAATGACAACTCAGAGAATGAAGAGAGCCAACATTCGTATTAACCTCATTACACCGCGAAACTGCCGAGTGAAACTAAAAAAAGGTATCAACCGTGAAAACCCATACATCAACAGCACAGTTCGCTTCGGTGCTGCACCACACTGCACATACATAATAAGTCAGGGCTAAACCGGATAAATAAATCCATGCCGCTACAACGCCCGCTCCTGTCTTCAACTCACGAGATTATGCCAGGTCGACCGACGGAGTAACTTCTCGTCAGCGTCTCTCTATCTGGAGGTCGCCGACACAGTCAGTCAATCGAGATATTGTCTATTCACAAGTGCTTACGGAAGAAATTGAATAACATGAGGCCCTTGTCAGACAGGCTCTTTACCAATGGCGTAAGAGCACATAACTCGTATACCATCCTCTCTGTCTTCGAGGACATGCTCGCATTAATCAGGTTTCAATCAGAATTAACCCAATCATTCACAGCAACACTCCTGAAAAGACTCACAAAACCTAAGGGTTACTACATGACTCAGTAGTCATCAGATCCAGTCGTCAAAGTTTCCTTGTCCAGCCTGGGACATTAAACCTGACGCCAACCAACTTTGGGTCTCCACGATCGACCCATTTCTTTTTTTCTTTCGCCCACCCAAGTCAAGTCCCGACAGTTCAATGACCCCTGTCTAAATTATAATTAAAGAAATTTTCTGGGCAACTTTCTTTCCTTCTCCTGCTTTGAGAGCAGCCGACGTAACCCGCTGTGACGTTGGTGTATCTCGTTGGCTCCTTGACGCCGTACTAATGTATTTGTAGTTGCTGTGCCTCTTCTAGTTATGCAAGTCTCAACTTGTGAAATCGTATCGTCGCGAGCGGTTTAGTCTTGATAACTCATAGTTACGCCAATTACTGTCTTGCGTTGTTATTCATTATCATTATACCTGTCTTGGTTTCGGTGTGCTCGTACGGTGTGTTGTGAAATGTTTCCCTCTGATAACTGAGTTCCCTGGAGTTGTGAGCCAATACCAAAACGTGTCTCGGAATAATCGCCTGCGATTCGCTTCCCGTTGGAACAAACACGCATTCCTTTCGGTCTCTGGCACAATCCACACGGTCTTTGCTCATTGAAGTAGCTCCGGCCCGAAGCTTTGAAGGTGAGCCGGCTGAGCTGTGTTGAAAATGTGTTGTTTGTGAAACAGCTCCCGGGTAGCACCAAGTTGCGACTGGTTGAACTCGAAACATGTGAATCATTCAATGTTCACAGGTGACAGTTAGCTCATTGGCGCAGGAAGTACTATGGAGGACTAGCTTCAGACTGTATGTTCCGGATGTGCGTTCTGTGATGATAGCTTATGGTGATGGATTACTGCCATGGACTACTGCAGCAGGAACTCACCATATTGCAAGGAACAACTCGAGGTTGGACTTTGACTACCTTCGAACAAGTACAGTATGGGTTCTTCATAATGTTTACAGACAGATTGACCTTTTAGTCCCTCGGTCCCTATACCCAAATCGTTCCTTGCTATACTTGCTATACTTGCTAGTTGCTCAGTTTGCCAACGCAGCAGAAGTTGTAAGCCAACCAGATCATCCCGACTATTACTCCAACTAACATCAAACACAACACACGTCAGCTCGACTACTACATCATCCAACACAGTAAACAAGCATAATGTACTTAAGACTCTGACGTCAATTCATCATTCATGTTATGGTATTGATGCCCTCATTCTTTGACCCGGCACTTTATCGTCCTCTTCCTCTTCCACGACCTCTACCCCTACCACGTCCCCTACCACCACCACGGCCCGTCTTCTTGCCGCCTCTCTGTCCGCCCCTGTTGTCAAATCTTTCAAACAGTCTCTCCTCTCCAAACGCTCCCTCTCCAAATCTCATAAAGTTGACAAGGCCGCGATCTACGATCGCAACCAAGACGTTGCGATGTCCGTGCTTTAATCGCTGATGCATTCGTCCAGGGCCCTGCCAGCTCTCATTGGGTGGATCGTAAGGTGTGGATTCCATGAGAGCCTCGATTTCCTCCAGTGTCGGGACACATGTGTCGCCAGCATCAACTACCGCGATGCGGAAGTTGGGTGGTGGGGGGTTCTTCTTTGAGAATGGGGGACCGCCTGATTTCCATACGTGCCAAAAGACTCGGTATGGGTCTCGTGGAGGATGAACCACGGGAGGTGTAGGTAGTGGCTTGTGGCGGGGAAGGATGGCAAGTTGGTCGTAGATAGGTCTATACGCGCGGTATAGACCTGGTTGAACAAGAGGTCCAGATGGGTTTCGTATTGTCTGTGTTTCTGAGCCAAAGAACGAAAACATCCATTGCCATAGAGTCTTAGACTGGGGTGTTGTCGTAGGTGCTTCATAAGGAGGAGCGCGAAGGACATAAAAGCCTGCGCGCTTCAGGTGTGAGTAGACCTGATATTGAGGTAACGTGAGTCTGCCTCTCTCGCCCTCGTTGCCGATAAGAAGCGAGTATGCTGCCTCAAGACTCAAGGGCAGGCCGACATCGTAGTCATCAGGCCCCATACCGGCTTTCATTTTACCATCGGCATTGGGAAGAATCTCCTCCAGTTGTCGATTGGGCCACCAGAGATCCATGGTCCCTCTCTCTACCAGGTAAAGAGCCTCCTCGGGCAAAAGCCAAAGTCGTCCTGTACCCAAACGCTCAACCTTGCCTGGTATCGCTCTTCCGATGTCCTTCTGCCAAGTTCCGCGCTCATGCTCGATCATGACAACTCTGTCGCGCAACCAAAGCCCCTCTTGCTCTCCAGCCTGCTCTATCTCAGCCCACCAGTCCGGAAAACACCATCCTCGAACCCAAGCATCTTCGCGATGTATCCTTGTGTAGCCAAGCACATTATCCATGACCTTACGGCTCGCTTCGAGAAGACCATCCTGTGCACGAGTACCATGTGACTCAAAATCCTTCTCGCCCTTTCGAATAGCTTTACTCGAGACACCATGTTTGTCGAACATGGAAAGAAAGAGCTTGTAGTCGGGCGCGTCCTCGTCGGCATCTTCTGCTGCAGCTCCGTTGGTGCCTGCAACAGGCTGTGCTAAGGCATGGGGATTATCGTCGTCGTCAAAAGCCATGACTGGAAATAAGAGAGCAAGGGCTTTGTGTGGTTCAAGTTGGATATAAATCGGCCTGGATTATTGTGTATAGCGGCTGAGAATCCTGGTAAAACTTTGGGGCGATTGGCGAGCTTTGATGTTGGAAGATAATTTTCTACATCGATGAAGCATTGAGCTTGATATTTCTTACCCCACCGTCTGATTGAATAGTACATGTTTCTTGATTGCAAGTATATGTTTAACAACGAATCATCATCGCTAACTTGGCCGAGTGGTTAAGGCGCTGTGTTTAGGTTCTCATCAGAAACCAAACCCGCAGTGGGAAACCGCGGAGGTTCGAACCCTCCAGTTAGCATATAGCGATTCAATTCATCTTTTTGATTTTTTGCTGTTTAGCTTTTGTAAAAGCCACATAGGGAGAATAATCTCTTTCCCATGTACCAACCAAGTCACGTAAGTATCTGTTGAGTTCCACTTGCCTCTTTTGAATCTGGTCACTCTGCAGTCACTTCGGTGGCTGCTATTGAGCTAAAATAAATTTATTCAATATCTCATCAATATATTTCATTCATCTCAATACTACATGTTGAACATATCGATCGTGCACTTGCCCACTGCCTGTGCGTATTCCTTTACCTGAGCCCTCCGGAACGCCGTGAACTATGCCCATTATTACAAGAGTCCCACCCCATCTTCGCCATCTCACATCCCAAAATGCAAACACCCCTGGGTATACTTCAACTGGAGGGCAACCTCGAGCCACTTAGTTCCGTCTTCTTCAGGCCTCGTGTTCATTATGACGTGACCGAACCCTATTCCGGAATACCCTCACGCTCAATCCTGATATGGGAGTTTCTCCCGACGCGGCCTCGGTAGCGGTACGTTGACGCTGAGAACATCTTATCGTCGTTGGATGAGCGTGGCGCAATGGCAAAAGAAAAGTTGCTTGGAAACAATTCCTCTGTCCTTCTGCCCATCACTCGATGAATGGCTTCTTCTGCCCTCCCACCATGCAAAGCCCCAATGCGCGTAATGAATCGCGGTCGTTTGCGAGAATAACGGTCGGCGCGGGGAGCATCGGGTTGTTGGGGTCGACGTGGGAGGCGTCCTTTGCGGCTTGTTCAATGGCATCCATTTCCTCCTTACAGGCTTGCTGGTCGAGTGGGCAGATAACGATCGGTTGTCGTATCGTGACATCTCGAGCACCACTAAGATTAACCTGGAATTGTTAGCACAAACGAGATGCGGAAACTACTTGGGCCGTACCTTGATAACCAAGTAGAATTCTATCTTGTAGAGCGTTGAAGTTGTGGTAAAGGACGTAACCTCGTAAAGAGGAAATTGAGGTTTGCCTCGTTTGACAACACCGTCCGGGTCTCGTAGGTCCTTGGAGGGAAACACCAATCCAACGTTGGTAGCATATCCAGCCTCTGGCATTTTCGTCTTGACCACTTGTACTTGTCTTGAGATTTTGTTGATCTTTTTCGAAGGTTCGTCACCCTCAGGATTATATGTGATTTCCTCCTCGACTGTCAAGGTAATCTTGTCAATCGTCACGCGCTTCGCCTTACTTAGCCAATCGAGGTTGGGCGATAATTTGATATATACTGTAATAGGATCGCTAGGCCCATAACTCCATCGCGGTAGATTGATGCCGAGGTGTACGATATTGTCGTTGGTAACTAGCTTTGATTCAGGCTTGTTGTACATGCCGAATGTTGATAGCGTATCGTAGCGTTGTAACGGTATCGGGAAAGTGTATTTGTATTGGTTACTGTGGCCTTGTTGAACCGTTACGACGAGCTCGTAGTATGTTTCGGCGGTTCGACTCGGTAGCTGAAGTGACGCAGGAGGAATTCGTCGGTTTGACTCCTCCCCACCACGCCCATAAGGGATGAAGAGAACAAAAGGCAGATCCATGGCAATGATCTTCTCAGCTTCTTTGCCAGACGAGCAGCGAAAAAGAAGCTGCTCTTTGCCGACCAGGTCCGTCGTTTCGCGGCGAGGGGCGCCTAGGTGTCGTTTCGCAAGGCTGTCGGCATCAGGGTGTATCGTTTCTCGACGTTGTAAGCATATTCGAACAAGGGAGACGGGCACAGGCATCGAAAAGCCCTGACCAGGACGAATCTCGACTTTTCCTTCGATGCGCGGCTACAGAAACCCGTAATGTCAGCATAATGGAGTTTGGCGCACTGAAGATGGGTAAAGCGTAAGCAAATTAGAGTTGAAATTGACATACCAATGTCGCCGAGATGCCAGGATAGCCCACGAGAAAGCTACTGTTTGGAGGGCCCGAGACCCTCACGCTCGCAGGAGCCGCCATGATTGTGGTTTTGCTGATGCAGCGTAACGTCTTGGAGGTACTGTCGAGCCGAGCGTCCTGGCTGAGGTACAGTACCTAGAGGTATCGAGTGGGGGAAGATGACGGCGACGAAGTGGGAGCGGCAACGGAGGGAGTGGCTGGCTGAGCCCCGAAGGCGACGAAAGCGTCGGGCTACGCCAGAGCCGGGGTTTGCAGAGCGTTGTGATGCCAAACTTGAACGTAAATATCGAGGACTGGGTGAGGTAGTGGTGTTCATGAATCAAAGCGTTGTTGAGAGTGGTGTAGCGCAGCCCAGGTAGTTTAGGTGCCTGGTTATGATGGGGGAAAGCTTATGGACAAGCCCAGGGCAGCCCAGAACTGCGAAGTACGGCGGAGGGTGTTCGTGTTGGGTCCTGTCCCAGGCTCCAACTCCCACTAAAGCACGGTTAAACCGTATTACTCTTAGTAGGTCGCCCTGCAGGAAGGTACACTATTCTCAGCGAACGGATTGTTTTTGGAGCAGTGCGTCGACGTTGCCAAGACAGTGGGGGTAGGTGACAGTGTTTTGGTCAATTATTCGAGGCACAAGTATGGATGAAAGCGTTGGAAAGTCAAGATTCAAAGACGTTATGCTGTCGAGAAGGGTGAAAACATTCCCATGATGACGTCCAGGACAAGAGAGGGGTTGTGCTAGACGCAAGATGAGTCTGACCAAGCAGCCGGAAGAAGCAGGTCGGCTAAGTAAAAGTGCTAAGGATTCGAATGTAGCTGAAAGAATGGATGGATGAGGAGCTGGTCCAAAAGAATACAGAAGATGGGGGCTGAGAATGAGATGGGATGGAATGGGATGGAGGCTCACTCTAACGTGGAGTGCAGAGTGGAGTCTAGGTACTGTATGCAGGTAATGGAAGGGAAGGGAACCTGGAATAGACCTAGGAAACTGGAGCTGGAGCTGTGGAGAGTTGCAGTGCTCACTTAGATAGACACCTGGGTAGACAGCCTCACTAAAAACAAAATGACCTAAGTTAATGAATTAATATGACAAGAGACATTCGAGGTCCCATTCCAGGACAACAATACCATTGACGCGCATCTTTAATTAAGCCCTAACATTTTTCTCAGCATAATCACTAGCCAACTAGGGTCAGGGTCCTGTCAGCATCCAAATGCGCTTCTACCAAATCAGAAGATTTTTGAATCCTTTCTCACGTGTCGCAAGGCAGCCTTGAGAGCCTTAAGGCTGACTGCATTTGATAGTGCAAGGGCCAAGAAATATCGGTGTTGAGAAGTAGATGCGCATGTATATATTCTCATATAGTATCAATAGTGTTTTCTCTCATAAGAATTTCACTACTACCTACCTATTTATTGGTATCTATGATTGATAAGGTTAATCGTGACTAGTCCCTATCGGCTGCTATTCCCCTTGGGTTGACCTGCGCTGCACAGTGGTTGCTGTGGCACCACATGGACTATGCTGTCATTGAATGTCATTGGATCTTCATATCCATGTGATCGTTCATTGCCTTGGGTGTAACCAACATCCAATCGATGTATGGACGTCTTTGCAAAACCCCATCAACATTTTACTGAGATCTGCAACATATCCAGCTGCCTCACAAGTTACAACTTGCTGAATTTTTCTTGCCAAATATTGATTTAACTTCGACACTGTTTCAAAGAAGCTACTCCCATTCCTGCCAAGCATTGACTTTCCTTTAATATCGTCGGGTGGCTACCGGGAATTAAACCCAGTTATCCCCGCTGCTGTAGATCCAGATCGTCGGGCAGGAAGGTAGCCACTGTGGCTTGACACTCCCGTCCCTGCCTTACAACTCCATAATCTAGGACTTCTATTTCAATTTCATGTTGCTTCTGAACCTGCCTGAAACATGCCAATCAAGATGCAACAACTCATAGCATGACATATCCTCAAACCGTCAAGTCGCCCAGTTTTCATCCTGTCTACCTATGTCAGCGACTATGCAAAGGGGCAAAAAAAAAAAAAGAACGAATTCTAATGCAATCTTCCTTATGGTCAACACTTCTTCTGTCTTTTCTTTCGAGTCCCTGCATTTGCAATCGGCGAAACTGATTCAACCTTTCTTTTACTTTTGGGAACCCTCTTGACAACCAATTTCCCCGGTTTGTTGCTGACTTTCATAGTCATTTGCCTTGTCCTCACTCCATCTTCGATGGTCAATAAGCTGGTGCTTGAGTCTTCCCTGGAATCCGCGTCGAGAAGCTTGAAATCTTTCCCTTGATGTTCGAAAATGACGGTCGGGCGATCTAGATGTTCAACTTCTTCCGGACGTTTAGCGCCTTTGACTGGCAAGTGCAACTCGCACCGTCGTTGGCCTGGCATGCGATCTGCCCCAAGAATGTCTCGTCGGTCTTCACCAAACCAGAAACCCGACTTCCCTGGAGCTCCTGCAAAGTAACACACTTGGAATGGAATCATACCCGATAGACGTGCTTCTATGCCGCCTTTTCCCCGTTTCGCCATCGCTTCCTCTGAGATGTCTTCGCCATTCTTCAGGGCCTTTTCGTACCATTCAGACAACGGCTCGCTCTCATCATCTGTGGATTGGACCAGTACCATTACTGGTGCGATTCCACCCAGCTGTCGACGTTCATTGGGGAAAACTGGATCATCCCCTACAAGCGATTCCCCGTTGTGTCGGCAGACATCAATGCGCATCTCATAAACCCTAGCTACTGCAGTTGAACTGTCGGCGGTAGAGATAGAAATATGCGTCTGGGCTGGGTACGTCTTTTTATCAATACCAAGATACTGTAGATCGGTGCCGTGTAGAGAGGGATGAGTGGCTCCGCTGTCAAGCAACATCTTGAAACACACACGGGGAGCTCCTGTCTCGTCGTCTTCATCATCCTCGACAAAACATATGTCTTCCTCGTCCCGACCAAGCTCCCTAAGCTTTGTTGGATACAGCAAAACTTTTCCATTCTTCCTATGTCCGGGTCTGTGCAAGCTTCGAGTCTCGCGACGGTGAAACCCCGTTACCCGCTGAAAGCCCATGGATATATCCCAAGAAAAAGGCCTGTGTTCTGTTAATGGCCCATTCTCAGCAGAAGGCTGTGCCCAAGTGGCTGCCATGAGCTGCTCGGTCTGGTTGCTTCCTCTCGGAGCGAGAGGAGGTTCATACCAGAGCCATCCTTCACCATACTGACTATAGTACCGGTCGAGTCTCTCTTCTCTATCGTGCGTGAAGGATTCATACGAGGGGCAGAAGTCTGCCAAATGACCCGCATAGAGAAGTGTCCACTTGTCCCAGCACCTGATTTGTTCAGTCCTGTACGCGTTTATTGCAGCACGAATGTTTGTATCGCCAGTTGGGCACTCATTTCGCTCAAGTGACGCTGTGAGTAGATTGATACGCTTCTGGATACGCTGACGCTTGGTAGATTCAAGTTCATCACTGAGAAATCAGCTTATGCCGCTGTCATCAACTGAGTTAACTTACACAGGTATCAAGTTCTCATCAGACTCTTCCATCTGTTCAAATTCCTGTCTAGCCTTGTCGCGTTCCTTTTCAAGGCCTGACAGATCTGCCCTCGGCTGTGTTCTACGAGTGTTCGCGATGATAGCTTCCCACTGGAGTACTGATCGTTCTGCTATTTCCATACGACTCAAGTTCTCTCCAAGTGATGCACCGATGATCAATGGTGGTTCCCAATCAGGCGGGACTGGTCGCCGGACTCTGGCCGAGGGCGCATGTGCACCAGAGGAAGTCTGGGAAACCACTCCGGATGAGCTGGATGTAGATGCTTGTTGTTCATCTGGTCGATGAACTCTGTTATCCGTTGAAGTGTTCCCATATGGCCGTTCTGCCGTACGAGTCGATTCTTGAAAAGATTCCTCTTCGTTTCTTGCTCTAACCCTCTGGCTTCGTCTTACTCCGAGGTTGATTTCTATGTTGGCTGGATCACGTCCTGGACGCCATCCGGGCTCGAGGGCACGTGTGATATTTCCTGTGGTGTCTCGCTGCGGATTCTGGTTCTCAGGATCCTTTTTGGTGCTTGTCTTGCGTCCACCTGCCATACTTGCTTACGATGAGCCTGCGCTGTCTGCAGATGAGTGCTAGATGAGCAGATGAGTGCTAGATGAGCAGATGAGTGCTAGATGAGCAGATGACAGTTGATTTTCTGTTTAATCTATTCGAACTTTTACCTCAAAACTAAGTCGTGAGCCAACGACCTTCTTTCTTCCTTTCTTTGCCCCCTTGGTTGGTAGGCAAGACCACCACATTAGATGTGGCGTTTTGTTGGTGAACAAAGAAACATCGGATTGGCAGCCCATCCCTCATTGAGATTCCGAACGCGATTGTATCCTGGTCTCTTTCACCTTCTCATAAGTGTATTTTTGGCACATTCCAACAAAAGCTCTGTGCTCAAGGTGGAACGGGCTCGCCGACCTCTTTGTCGCACCTGTTGTGAATGGGGTCCTAGAATACGCCTATGCTCTATACTAGTACCTGAAAGAACCTCTTTGTCCATTCTAGATAGCAAGATGACTCCTTTGAGTCTATACAAACTTAGGTATCCAAACTTTTGACTCGATTCATCATTCCGTCCCTTCTATTCATTCTTCTTTTTCTTCAACTTCTACGTACACTGTCCCATCTATTCCTAATCTTTTCCACATGCGCACTCACACTCACCGATAATACACAGAGCTCACTTGAAACACCTACAAAGATTACATGATGGCGGAGTCTGATCCAAGTCGAGGCGCCTCTCCTGATGTTACGCCAGCCGCTTCTGAAGGGACACGGCTTGGCTACCGTTCTGACAAAGTTCGGAAGCACATAGGTGAGCTGATACACTCAATGAGCGATCGAAATAATATGCTTATCTCTTCAAGAAACCATTCTCATGTCTTTCCGCTTCCGGTTCGAGAGTCTCCCATACGAAGCTCAACAAGCCTATACAAACTTCCAGCAAAACAACGATTTCCCGGCGTTCGGCTCTGCCCTCCGACAGTTGCTTTTAGATGAAAATCTGGAAGACTTCATCAGAGAATCGCCTGCCTTCTTGCATGCTGCCACCAAGCTGCTTGACAGTAGATATCCCCATTTGGGCCTTAAAGCACGTTTTGACGGTATGATCACTCTTTTCTGTGCAGACTATATACTAATGGCAATCAAGATTTGACGGGTCGTAAAGGGCAAAGCTCATCAAAAACCCAGTCTCGCCGCTCACCCGACTCACGACGCAGCTCAAAGAGGGAGGCCCGGCTTAATACAGAATCAAGACATAGTGGTGATGATTCAAGTGGTACGTTCTCTTCATGTGTGCCACGATTAAGCAAGATACCGATACCTATAGTAGCCCCTGCATCCGCGAGAGTAACAAGAACCCTTACGCTGCAATCGCGAACTCGGCAAAAGAAAAGCCAGAAAGGCGAATCAGTAAAACATATTCGATTCGAAGCAGGCCTTCCCTCTGGTTTGCCCAAAATTCCCACTATCAATATTGAGCCGGCTGGGGCCACAAGCAATAGAGGTGATCAGCCTACGCCTGTCCACACGCCGGTGATACCGGGTTTTGTGATGAGTACTCGGACCAGCCCCAAAGAACAAGAGACAACTAAATCCAAGAATGAAGAACTGCGAAACAGACTGACCGAGCTCAACTCTCAGCTGAATAAGCTGACCGAGGCTCGTGGGGGATATCCCCTTGACTTCAACCTTTACCCTTACAAAGGATGGAAGGTGGAACAACCCAGGGTTCTCCTCCATCGAGCCAGGAACTTCCTCGCCGATGAAGATATCGACAGGACCTTGAATTGGAGTCAGAAGTTTGCGGAGCTGACCGAGTATCTCTCATATCTCACTCACAACTATCGAGGCGAGGCATGGGGCACTGATCTACGTGAGGTCATTGAGATGCTTCACGCACATTCGGTATTTCAGAAGTATCACTATGGAAATCCCAAGTTGAACCTCAATTTTGATACAGCGTGGCCGAAGGGCAGTAAAAGACTACCGCCTCTTCCGGGCACAGATCACTCCATCGAGAAGTCGGACAAAGTGAAGGAAGACTTGGGTGAAAGGAAGCTGCTCCTCAACAAGATCCGTCCAGCGATCGACGTTCACTATAAAGTACCCTCAAAGGTACTTTCCCAATATATCGAATGTTACACCTCAGAGGCCCCTAACTTCTGGGGATATACACCTGCCTCTGCACATCCTCGTCTAGGACTGATGGGTATTGAGAATGACACCTACGAAGAATGTCTATCCTCGACTATATTGACCACATGCAAGAAGATTGAAGCAGCTGAAGCCAAGTTTAAGGCAGAGTCTGAAAAGAAACAATTCAGTCCAAACGCACTTAGGGCATTTGCCACGCTCCGGGGCACTCGGCGGGCAGCTCTTCAGCAATCCTTAAGTCATCTGAACAATGCTGAGAACCTTGCCGTCTGCGATGTCTTCCGTACTCTCGTCCTACCCAAGCCCAAGATACCCGAGAAGCCAGACGCGGGCATTATCATTCCTACCATGCAAGTTGCCGAGGTCCCTGAAAAAGAGTCTCGAGATCCTTTCGGCTTCACACTTGCGCATAAATGGTATACAAGGGCAGACCGCCACTGGGGAGATTGGGAATACAAGCACGCCGTCAAAGAGTGTCATGGCCACAAGCTGTGGGAAAATCGCAAAGAGCCGATTATGGATCTTCCTAAGAACTTCAAAGGGCCTTACGCTCACGACTGTTTGGATCATGAAATGAAGAAGACCCGCTTGCTCTTAAAGAGATGCGAAGCCCTGCAAGACCGGATACTATTGCAGAAAGAACGAACATCACGGAAGTTCATGACAATTGTTTCCCAAAGCCTACTTGACGGATTGGAAGGAAAGAATTGGGAAATAACCGACCTGAAGTTCTATAAGGACGATCTCGTACCTGACTCTCGAGATCTGATACATATCAGGCCTAAAGAGGAAGGCTTCTTGCGATTACTGGGTGAACACTCGATCAACAAGAAGATGGCGAACAGAACCAAAGAAGTCAAAAGCGGTTCTCATTTCGACATTTTTGAGGCAAGAGTCACGAGAATGTTCTACGGAGAGGGCACAACAATTGTTCACGGCTACACCTTTGAGGACTTCATGCAAGAACTCAATCGGGATTGTGATGGTCCAGTGAAACGCTGGAGGTTCTCTGAAAACGAGACTTGGGAAAACGCTCTCAACCTCCAGAATGAGACAGGGCTTATCACAATATACGGAACTGAGGGAAGTGGATATAGACTTTACCGCGCCGAGGCCAACCTTCACCCCGAGCAGCGTGTAAGGTGGCTCGATATGGACAAAGACCTTGATGCCTTCGTGCAAGGCGTGGACCTTGCAAACATCAAGAAAGGCGAAGAGAATGCCGAAACCAGTCACGAAAGGGACGAGATCGACACAATCTCAACAAATATCAGTGTTCAAGAGTCAGCGGACCTTGGAGATTATATGTTCGGACTCCCCAAAATCGAAAACCTCCGCAGTTGGGAAGAGCTTGCGGGGGGTGCTTCCGATGTTGAGAGCAGCAAGCTGCAGCAAGATATGCGAAAGACGAAAGACTTTTACCGATGCCTTTGCTTTCGGCTTGGAAAGACCATTCATGACCTCCGAGCAAAGCAGGAGACAATCAAACGCCAGCTCACTCCCAGGCAGCAAGAGCTGAACCGCAACTTTGTCGACTTGGTTACCAGAATGTGGGATTCTGATGCTAGAGAGCGGCCAGACAAGAAGGATAAGAATCCAAAGAAAGGCAGTCTCAAGCGCGTCACGCCCGCGTATCAAGATATCATCAGGATGATGGAGCCAGAGATTTACGACCCGACTTGGGAGATGCGTCCTGTCAACAAAGGTTATCCAGGAGACACCTTGATCCGTGAAACAATCAGGAAAGGGATTATTCGCGAGGCATATGAGAACAAAAGTATGATTTTCCCAAGCCGCATTGATCGGTACACCAATCAAGACGGCTTCACGGTTGAATTACCACGTCGGCATGAGCCAGTGTGGTCTTTTGCACACCCTGGACGAAAAACCAGGGCGCCACGACACTGGGACATGAACCGTTGGCCGTTGCATCTGCAGAGTGAAACGACGGCTGAGAGAATCAGGTCTGGAACTTTCTCTGGGGGTATTTCAAGAAAGCCAGCACCTCCTTCACCTATCGCCACACCTCCATTGTCACCCACTCGACTTATTAAACAGGAGAGAGGTAGGAAAGCTACGAGGTTGAGACGACAGATGGACGAATATACTGCTGAAGATATTGCCGAAGGCACTGCAGTGCCTTCAATCCCGACTGAAGACATTGCAATATCTCCAGGTCCGATCGAAGACACAAACACATCCGAGCAACATGATCAAATCATCCCAGGACTCGGGGAAGATTTTGTTGTGACTTTTGCAGACTTGGCAAACTCCCGTCGTACTTTCGCGCCCGGCCCGCCACACTACTTCCTCGGTGACACTCCTCTGCAGAAGAAGTATGTCGAGGACTATATCAAGAGAGGTAAGTTCCAGGTCACAGGATATGGATGCCCTTTGCTAATGTAGGCTAGGAATTGTGCCAACAGAGCAGCCGCCAACCTGGCGTTACCGTCTTGGGGCGCTCATGGGTCGTAGACAAGTGGAAGATGACCCAACAGCTCTGCCGGAGGTTCACCCCCGTGACGTCCCTAAGAGCAGATCTCGACTTGAGTCTTCCGAAGATTCAGACTACGAGAACTCTGTAGAGATGCTTGACGTTATGGACAACGACGATATTGACGTTGAGATGGAGGAATTGGTAACACGACGGCCTCATGATGAAGAGCTCCCCTCGCCAACGATACCATCATTCCCCCATTCTTCCTCTGTTGAGCATGCGCCCCCAGTCGAGGATGACTTTGCAACAGAACCAATTTCCGAGGTCCCTGAAGAGTCTAGTGTCGCATATGGACAGGATAACCTTCCCTTTGCTGAACAAGAAGGTGAGCAACTAGTCCAAATGCCACAGTCACAGCGATCACGACCCCGCCACCTTACGTCAAACCGGCTCAATCTAACGATAGAAGATCCAGAATCTCCGACAAGTGTTGAATATACAGACGAAGAGACGTCAGCATCAGTGCGCAAAGCTCTGAGCGAGTCGGACTAATGGATTGGGGTTGTAAGCTTCACTAGTCTGCTCCATATTAGTTACTAGATATTGGCGTTCTTTGTATTAGTTCGAGGGGCATTTGTGTTGTCAAGCTTTGACTTGCTTTGCAATTGATTGTTTTCACCATGGCTTTTATCACATGTAGGCAGATAACAAGGAACCATTATTTTAAATCGTTAAAACGCAACGTGAAAGATGAAATTTCTTTTTCATTTCAAACCGTTAAGCCATCATTCACCATAGCCTAACGATCTGAAGTGTCCTAACCGGCCAACCTATGCAATGAAACACAATGGATTCGTGACTCCGCGGCACCAGTTTCCAGCTCCCATCAGGTCATAAAACATTCCCAATCTAGTATCGCTTACCCTCGCGGAGAGTATCGGCGAACTCGTCCAGGGGACTTCGGATGAGCTTGGTCTCCTTCCAGAGGTTGGGGGTGAGGAAACCGTAGGTGTTGGAGACGGCAACGAAGGTAGCCTTGAGGGTGTTCTCGAGGGTCTTGGTGGAACCGGCGGAAGAGGTGTAAGCATCCTCGACACCAGCAAGCTGGAGGAATCGCTTGACAGCGGGAGAGGCAACGAGGCCAGTACCACGGGGAGCGGGGATGAGCTATATATGTTGTCAGTTTTCTTCAGTTCTTTCATATCGGGTCGTATCTTTGATCGGATTATACGTACACGGACGGTGACGGAACCACACTTGCCGGACTCCTTGCAAGGCAGGGAGTGAGGCTGACCAAGGTTGGTACCCCAGTAACCTCTTCGGACGGGGATGACGCTGAGCTTAGCGATGATGATGGCGGCGCGGATAGCGGTAGCAACCTCCTTGGAGGTCTTGATACCGAGACCGACGTGGCCCTCGGAGTCACCAATGATGACAATGGCCTTGAATCGGGTTCGCTGACCGGCACGGGTCTGCTTCTGGACGGGCTTGATCTGCAAGTTGAGAAAAACACATGTTAGCAAAGCCGCTTCTTCTCGTCCGTAATTCCTTTCCCGTCGCATCGTTCGGATTCGTCCTCTTCTTTGAGGCTATTCGCAAAATCGGCATGGGGTTCTGTTGTTCCGTACCTTCATGACCTCATCCTTGAGCTTGGGCAGGAAGTTGTCGACGATCTGGTACTCCTTGATGGGGAGAGAGTGCAGGTAGATCTCCTCCATGCTGTTGATCTTGCCGGCCTTGACGAGACGACCGAGCTTGGTGACGGGCTGCCACTCCTTCTCCTCGTTCTTGCCGCGACCACGGCCACGACCACGACCACGTCCTCGGCCGCGATCACCGCCTCGGGATCCGAAACCACCGCCACGAGAAGTTCCTCGGTCAGCCATTGTGTCTGATTGTGTTGATTGCGCTGGGGTGGGAAGGAGAAGTTAGGTGCTGCGCAAGAGCAAAGTGCTGGTGTTGGCGTTCAATGCTGGTAACTTTTTCGCCAGCGGGGTCTAGCACACAAATTGGAATGTGCACTTAGCGAGCCCTAATTCAGGGGGTGCCTGATAGTTTAGGCGAGAATCTGACCAGCAAGGTGTGAAATAGTGGGGGTAGATTTTTACCTTGATCTCACCGAGAATGACAGGGATCTTTATCTCGGTCAGTCTAAACACCCCGCCCGTCATGACTGATCGGCAAACTTGGAACCCTGGCCCGTCCAGTAGGTGGATATAATTATCACTGAAGTCATGTTCTACAATCCCACGTTAAAAATTCCATCAACCAATCGTTTCGTGTATATAAAATATACTCAGAAACTAGTATGTAGAGAGGCGGGATACAAAGTGACAACCAGAAACCATTTTTCACTTCCATTGCAGAAACCACAAGTCATTACGCAGCAGACTGACTTCAACCAGAGGGGAATGGGGTATGCATGTTCTTCGTACACGCCTGGCAACTCCAGGCCATCATTAATTGGGGGTATCGCAGCTCAACTACCACGTACTCCGACTCCTTCTAGACATTTGAACCACCAGCCTTCATTACTCCTTCGCTGTCTTAATGATCAGGTTTTCTGAAGGTTGCACTCGCTGAGCCCATTCACTATCATCTTTGTCAGCGCAATTCACATCATGAACTTTCCGAGTGAGGTACTTACGTCCAGCTACCGTCGTAGACTTTCCTAGACTCGGGCGATCCAACGCCAGCCTCCTCGAGAGCAGTCTCGATCACGCAAGCGGTCACACCAGTACCGCAACTTGACACAATAGGATGTTCTGAATCGACGCCCTTCTCAGCAAATAGCTTCTTGAGTTCGTCCTTGGGGAGGAAAGCCTTGGTTTTAGGGTCCAGCACTGAACTAAAAGGGATGTTGATAGACCCGGGCATGTGACCAGAGGAGAGACCCTCGCGAGGCTCAGGAGCTTCACCAGTGAAACGGTTGTTAGGTCGGGCATCAATAACTTGAACACCCTCAGCGCCCTCCTTGTTGTGGTCCTGAGCAATCTCCATCATCTGCTCGAAGCTTGCGACGCGGTTCTCATCCATAGCTGGAATCTGATAAGGCCGGCACTCGACAGTATAGATCTCTCCTGACTCTGTCGGTAGACCCTGTTCCACCCAGAGCTTGAAGTTGTTTAGCACATGGACCTTGTGGTGGCCGAAAACCTTTAATGTCCAGCCCACGCGGGGAGCGCTGAAGATGCCAAGCTCCTTGCTGTCGTATACCACGACAGTGTCCTCCTTTCGAATTCCAAGCCCGCTCATGGCAGCAGCGAAAGTCTTAGCATTGGGAAGCATGTGAGGGTAGGGACTGCGCTTGTCAATGTGCTTGTCGAGGTCGAAGAATCGAGCCTTGGGGATTCTCTGTTCGCGAAACGTCTCGATTCCGGATCGCCCATCGTTGGGAAGAAACCATGAGGCGCAGAGAGGAATGACTCGAGGATCGGTACTAATGGATGACGGAGGGTTCTTCTTGAGGGCTTCGTGAAGCTCTTGCGGCGAAACAAGGTATGATGAGAGGTTTCGGCGGGTGAGGAGGGTAGGTCGGAAAACCTTGGAGCTCCATTGAGGAATGCCTGCTCTTGTTGAGCGGCTGAATGCGACGGACGCCATTATGGATATGACGTGTGTCGAGTTGTGAGGAGGAAGATGGTGTTGCGGAGGCTCAGTTTACCTGACGTAGGGCAAGTTCAGGAAGTGGATGATAAGAGTCAGAGCCAGAGTCAACCGGGTGGACTTTACTAGCGAGCCAGACGTCCAGAACAAGAAAAAAAGACAGTTAGCAAAAGGCTTAACTGTCCGTCTACGTCCGCATCAGTTAGTGGGAACAGAAATCCAAAGAAAGTGTAAAGTCGAAGTGAGGTAAAGTTGATGACGACCAATCGAGTCAACTTTGATACCTTTAGCTAGTGCGGTTAACGATGCAGCGCAGCAGGCGCGGACGAAGTTGGCGATTGCAGTCCATGATTGGAGCTTGGACCACCTCCATCAGTCATTTCAATGGTGGGTTATGACGGTGGACGGGTTGGCGGGGGATTCTACAGCGGGTTGCAATTTGTTCAGTGGGTGGTTTTCAGGCAGATGAGGTCACTGAAGCATTGGTTGAAGGCGCCCACCCACCATCACAGCCCTGGAGGATGGAATCCACTCTGGCTGCCCGTTTCACCTCAGCTCATGTGCCTCCCCACGAATGCGTTAGTGCTTCAAACCTTGACCCTTCTTCTTTCTACGGGCTGCACGGGCATTTTGCTTTGACGCTCGACCTTTTTTCTATATCCTAGAAACTCAATTTGACCTTTGTCCTTTACAGATTATTGAACCAAAGCATCATGAAAATCACCATCAAGAAGTGGAATTCAGTGGCCACATGGCGCTGGGACTTGCCAGAAGACGATGTTTGTGGTATCTGCCAGGTCCACTTTGACGGGACGTGTCCGACTTGTAAATACCCAGGCGACGACTGCAGCTTGTGTAAGTAAACATCAGCCCATGTCGGGGAAACCAAACGAAGTCTAGGAACTGACTGACGCAATCTTCAGTATCGGGGAAATGCGGCCACAACTTTCACATGGTTCGAACTTAACCCGATCTCTTTTGTTATTGTATACATCGCTGACTGTGGTTGTGTTGTGCTGTTCAGCACTGTATCATGGAATGGATCAAGCAAGATTCATCAAGGGGGCAATGCCCAATGTGTCGTCAACGTATGATCCCCAAAACCAAAAGAACCCCCAGTGCTTTTAGCCATCAAGCTTACATGATACACAGGTTTTGAGTGGAATGAGCAAGTGAATGAAACGGTCTCGCAGGTCGAGTAAAAGATCTCTGTCGGTAACGTTATGCAAGGTGTCAGGCGTTTTCCAGGGCGTTCAAAGAAGTCGGTTTCAGACATACCCATTAGGAAGATGTGCAAATCATCTTAAGCCTCCTACTGGCTTGTGTACCCATCCTCTGTGACTCGTGCTCTTACGTGCCATCTAGTATTGTTGATGAGCCATGTATGTATGCATGCACAACTCAGCGGGCAGTGCCCGTAAGGCAGAACTCAGCCTCACTGGACTGAGCTGACTGCATCAGTCAAGTTTTGAGCCTCAACCAGATTTTATTCCCAGAGTATTTTCTTAATTAAAGGAATCTGAGTCGGTAATAAGTCTGAGATAAACTAAATTTTAGGTTAATAATCTCGTTTCTCGTTTCTCGTTTTATGTTTAAGTTAGGTATGTATGCTTAGATTAGTGGTTTTGTCAAGTTCTGTAGAGAATGTTCAGCCACGATTGGTCAATTAATTACCTTTACGAGTCGCTTGAGTCATGTGCCCAGTTCTCCCATCTTGTGTTTGAAAAGGATGATCTGCCAAGCATGCAGCATACGGAACTTGTGTTCAATCCTGGTTAAGTCAGAGTTGAAATGGTCTCGTAAAATGCAACTCTTGGGGCCGCTGAGTTGCACTTTTGGGGGCGGTCGACCGCCTTATATCGGATCCAACTCAGCTGTCTGGTTCGCAACCAAAAAGGCAACGCGCAGGTGCGCAGAGAAGGAAACAGGCCTCCGGCATAAATGTAAGCCTGGCCCCCATGGCTCACGGCTCTCACTTTTGCCTTCACTCCAATTCCCGGCTTCTTTGTGCAATATCCTGTTCCCATCTATTGTTTCTTGAACCGAGTTTCAGCTATACTCGAGACACTTCGTGCTCTTTATAAGTAGCCACAGTCAGTCATTGTGCAGAACAAATAGCAATAAAGAAGACATTCCCAGCTGAGGCAACCAACCAATAGTAAAGCTGCGCCACAGATCAACTTCGGCGACTTCCTTATACCAACACAACGTTGCAATGTTTAATCCTTCACCTGCACCCGACATTGACATTAACAACCAATTCCAACCTCAAGGCGCTTCTTATAACAAGCCGGTGGCCAATTTTGCATGGGCTGTGCCTGGAGGTCTCAGCGCCATCAACACCAATCTCAACACCCTTCCACAGGATGGGTACACTTCAGAATCTCCGCTGATCACGAGTGCCTTGTCCAATGGATATCACAGTGCAGACTTGGCGTTTCCCAGTCGACCTACTTTCAACAGCCAAACCAATTTCTGGGCGGCGACTGACTGGCAATGGCCGACCGCGCCATTTGGTCCACCTTCTCAATCACTCGTCCAACCGGGCAACTCTCCGAACAGGGAGGTTGTCAGTAACAAGTTGCGAACCTTGGTTCGAATGTTACTAGGTACCAGATTCGTGCTGCGGACGGTTCGCCAAAAGAACCGGCGCCATAGTGCTTCAGACTGCCATCCATGGTCTACTGGCTCTAGGAGATTTCCTGGTCCTGATCCAAGTCAGAGTTCATCTGGTTCAGGCGACGCCGTCTTTGGCAATCTATCGAATGAGCACCAGTCCCACACATTCAATCTCCCGATCTACACCAACAATACATGGCCGGATAATACTCTAGGCATATGGGATAGTGGCGAGAATTCGCAATTTCCACCACAAGAATACGCACCTGGGAAGATAACTGAACTATCTGATGAAGAGGTGATCTCTGGCATGGAGCGGGAGCTTCCGGGTCTGTTGGATGGATCGACTACAGCTGGAAATGCTGTAAGCCAAACCCAACGAAAAACGGCGACTTTGGGCCAGTCGAAGAAGCGTCCCATCGGTTGTGTGGATGTCAAGGAATCTTCGGACGACGATACCGATGAGGGCTCAAGGAGTACGAAAAGGTCCAAAAAGGCTTCAACGTCACAACGTTTTGCATGCCCCTTCTACAAGCATAACCCAGCACAATATGAAAACTCAAGAAGCTGCGTTGGTCCTGGGTGGACGACAGTCCACAGAGTCAAGTAAAGCAGCTTTCCCGAAGTACATGGAAACCGACTAACATCAATCAGGGAACATATCTTTCGAAGTCACAGGCTTCCCGAACATCAATGCCCTCGCTGTTTCGAGACGTTCAAATCAGCTGTGACTCTCTCAAGACATTCGAGGGCAGCTGTTCTTTGCCAGATCCAGAACCGCGCTACTCAGGAAGGCATCGACGCCAGTCAGGAAAAGCAACTCAAAATCAGGGCAAAGAAAACCAACGCTGGGCCACATCAGAAAAGGGTCGAGGAAGATAGATGGAACGAGATGTACCAAATCGTCTTTCCAAATGAGGAACAACCATCCTCACCATGTAAGTATTGAAGTGTTCAACTACTGACACCGAACCCATGCTAATAATCACCAGACTACAACCGCGTCCACAACAGCGTCGTTTCAAGGATCGATGACTTTGAGAGAAACGTTATGGATGATTTTGGTCAACGTGTGTCAGCCATGCTAGGCTGTCTAGGCATGCAGCCGTCTCTTATGACTAGAGTCTTGACGATTACTCGAAGTGCACTCCAAGAAAGTGTACAATCTTGCCGAAAAGGCGATGCAGATCCCAACAGCCGATTGCCCCAGTTGACCGCTTCTCAAACTCAAGTGTCCCAATCAAGTTTGGGCATGGGATCACAGATACCAGGAGTTGAGAGTAATTATTTTGAGGGGGTTGATGACCAGCTAGTGGCACAGATGCTATCCGATCCTAGTCTTGGATTCAGCTCTTCTGGTTTTTGGCATACTTTATAATACTGACAGGGAGGCGATACCAATTTGCTTTTGGGTGGGAATCATTTATCATTACAGGTCATGGCAGGCAAATCGCAAGGTAGACGAATGAAGCCGGCGTTTGGGTTTGAGATTATTATACTCAATATCACCCGGAGTTCCATTACACTAATAGAGCAAAAAGTCTAGTATCCTATCGTGTGGGTATACCTATGACTGACTAATCTGCCGGCATGTACACAACAACGACAACGTCAATACCATTACGTATATAATCATTTCCCATGCATATCCTTCATAATACAAAAGCCAAAGCGCCACGACGCTTCAGGGACCTCACTTTTACTTGACAAGGTAGTCCCTCTCCTCTCTAAGACTCCGGGACGTAAACTCCGTCCTTACACAAAACAACCACCTTTTTGAAGAATCGTCGCCATTCGAGAGGATCTCCTTTGACCTTGACGAATCGAATATCAAGAAGCTCAGTGCCATCGTGCAAAGGCTGCCGGTCGATCTGGATCTCGCCGTGGAGATTCTGTTGGCGACCATCCAGAGCCTTGACTTTCATATGGGCAACTGGGTTACCATAAGGGTTTGGCAAAACAGGAGCTGATGGAATGTTGAGGTGATGGAGTGCATCGCTGAGCATTTGGATAATGTGTGCTGGTGGAACAGCAGAGAAGAAGCGAGTAAGAGATTCTGGTGGGCAGATATCGCGGAACCGACGGGCTTGTTGTGTCAAAGTCATCGAAGGGCCGGGGGTTTGCGAGAATTGAGACATTGTAGGCTCATCAGCAAGTGTGTCAATCATAGCTCGACGAGAATGTGGTAGCGATGATGCTGGTGAGGCCACGGATTTTAGTGGTGGACGTTCCCAATCCCATTCCTTGTCGGCAATGGGTGTCTCGGGTTGGGTAGAGGAGAACTTTCCAGCATTTAGACCGGTATCGAGGTCCATGTGGTCGCTGGAAGAAGGCTGCGATGTTGGCTGGTGAGTAAAATCGATGCGGAGATTCTCCAGCATTTGTGTCGCCAAGTTAATGGGATCTGTGACTCGACCGTCCGCACTGAGGAGGGCATTATGTCTCGTGTACCAAGGATGCTGGCGTACTTGAGTGAAGTTGAATCGTTTTGAAGAGTCGATACTCATCATTCCTCGGAGCAACGATAAGGCTTCAGCAGGTATCCTACTCCAGAGTGCATCGGTGCTGCGGCCAGATGTGCGCACATATTCTTGGAATTCCCAGCTGCCCGGCGAGGGCTCATCCCAAGGTGTATTACCAATGAGTAGGACGAACAGGATCACACCACAAGACCATACATCAACCAGATCTGGTGAGTACTTGGCAGCGTCCGGTGCCTTCTTGTCCACCGCACGCCCACAAGCAAGAATCTCAGGGGCAATATAGGGGGGGCTGCCGCATAGAGTTGAACTTTGCTTTCGTTGGCCCTTGTACTCGAACATGGTAGCCATGCCAAAGTCGGCAAGTTTTAGGGATCCGTCTGAGGAGAGTAGAATATTCTCTGGCTTGAGATCACGATGTGCCACACCCTTGGAGTGCATGAAGCTCACGCCGCCGATGAGTTGGACAAAGTAGACTTGAGCGATATCTTCTCGCACGCCTACATCAGCCTCAATCTTGTCAAATAGATCACCACCCTCTGCGTACTCCATGGCAATCCATCGCCATATATCGTCTTCTCCCGAAGCAAACCACTCGATGATGTTGGGGTGCTGGCCGATATGTGAGTGAAGAGACACCTCCATGGCGAGCTGTTTGGTGGATATGCGGCCATGTTTGACAGCGTAGCCCTTGTGAATCAGTTTAACAGCAAATATTGGCGTTGGTGCATCTAGTGGGATGGCTTTTTTGATGCTGTAAGTGAAGTCAGTCCGAGCTCAATCATAGATCTGGTGAAACCTGGGGTAACTAACGACGCATATGCTCCTCGACCCACGGTCTTGGAAACGATCCGGAAAGGAAGATCATTGGGCAAAGGATCCAATTGCGACTATTCATGGATGTCAATGTTAGTTAATGAGGTTTCTCGTTAGATTATATGAATGCCATATATCATGTGTAGCATGCAGAGTCCAATACGTGAATCATTGATTCACACTCTGTCCTCATGACTTGGTAGAAACAGCCGCAATAGAAGAACATAACAGATATGATTCATCAAAACCAAGAAATGATAGTCAGACATACCATGATGAAACTCTGATGTATACTAGACAGATAGCGGTGCTGTTGGTCCCTATTCACAATACTGTATCTGTCCAATGGATTGGATTAGGGTATGTTAATGATAGAGACCCAGGATGAGCGCGTTATTTCGAGTCGCGTATCTGTTTACCGCGTAAAGTGCTTTTTGTTGCAGTGAGACCCTAAGTCCCCTAAACCCAGCGGCACTTGGCGCCCTGTGCAGCCTCTCACAGCGTGTCGTCCCCTACGGTTTCAGCGATGATCCCCTCTGTATGCTTCTATTGGCTGTGAGTCTCTCTTTGCCTGGATTCAATGGATGCGGATGATAGCCCGACCATTGCTTGGACCCTAGTCGCGCCTGGTTGCTGCGGTAAACAATTGGAGCCTGGATCTAGAGAAATCGTTCATCTTCATATAATTTTGTCGCAATCCAAAACAATCAATCAATCAAGCAGTCAAGTCTCGTCTCATCTCATCTCGCACTTAAAGTCATTTCAGTCCAAGACCCTTCTTTCCGCTCCAGTTCATATTTCGATCTTCACCGCCATACGCTACCGCCAACCAGTCTTTGTTTCCCCAATCGCCCCTGCATCCGTCCAACTTCACCTCTTTCCAGTTGCGGAATTGTTGTCTACACCTGTACATAAACAATTTCCTACTCTTCCCTAATCCTACGACCGCATCTCTCTTCTAGTTCTCTTGGTGGCCAACATCTGTTCATACTCGAGTAAGATCAACATCAACATCTCACAATGGAATACAACATGGAAGACAGCCAGAACTCTGCTCCCGGCAGTGTCCAAGCCGCCAAGCTCAACTCTGGTTCCAAGGGTCCTGACTCTCAGAGCACCACCAAGAGGTGAATACTTGACGCGAGACATGGAGGGTCACTTGACATACTAACTTGACCCAGACTTCAGACTGAGTTGATGCAACTCATGACATCGCCCGCTCCTGGTGTTTCTGCCTTCCCCTCAGCAGACGGCAACCTCCTGTCATGGACTGCCACCATCGAGGGTCCGGAAGATACCCCTTACTCTGGCTTGACTTTCAAGCTCAGCTTCGCTTTCCCTTCCAACTACCCTTACGCCGCACCTACAGTGCTCTTCAAGACACCCATCTACCACCCCAACGTCGACTTCTCCGGCCGTATTTGTTTGGACATTCTCAAGGACAAGTGGACCGCCGCTTACAACATCCAGACGGTTCTGCTGAGTCTGCAAAGCTTGCTAGGCGAGCCCAACAAGTACGTATAAACCTCAGACCATCTGATACAACAAATCACTAACGCCTTATAGTGCCTCTCCCTTGAACGGTGAAGCTGCCGAACTATGGGACAAGGATACAGAGGAGTTCCAGAAGAAGGTGCTGGCACGTCACGTTGATGTCGAGGACGAGTAAATGGTTCTTGCTGGGATTTCGGTGCTTTGATACTTGAGTAACGGGACAGGAGTACCAGGTGTTGGAATTTGGTTGAATGACTTGTTAGGATTACAGGATTGCATGACATTTCTACAGCTGGACAAACAGCAATGGGAGGGGGTATTGATAGGGTCAGAAATAAATAGACCATTGTCGATAGCAGACCCTCTAATCGACAGTTCATAACATCCAGTTTTCATCACGTCGGAACGTAAATGATTTTTTTCGCCCTCATAAACAAGCCTTGACCAGAGACCACTTCACGCCGAGGCACCGATTGTCGTTTGGAATGACTTCAAAGCTTTGATCACATTTTTCCCTTTGTGTATTTTCAGCGTCAAAAGCCAGAATGCCGAATGCAACTCCAAATGCCATGCCACCCTAGAACCTTGTCCCAAGAGAAACTTTTTGTATTTATTCCTCAACAACAACCGTGGGGAGGCCCTTGGGGTCCTTGACGTTCACAGCCTGAACGTAGCTGTAAAGCTTCTCCTTGGCACCCTCCTCGTCGTTTCGCTTTCGGGAAATTCGCACGCGGATTCGGTAGTCGACACCCTTGATACCCTGCTCCCAGACCTTCTTGTTGAGCTGGGGGTCGATGCGGACATCGGTGGTACCCTGAAATGATGGTTAGCACATGTGATCTTGAAAATGACAACTCTGCCTCTGCGGGTGTTTCGCTTTCGATGACAGGCTGCTGATATGGGCGTTCGTACCATGGACTTGGTGGCGAAGGCCTTGATCTCCTTGATGGCCTTAGGAGCCCTCTTCTTGAAGGTGACACCATGGAGCTTTAAAATCCATTAGTATTCAATCCTGACAAACGAAAGAAGCTCCGGTATTCGAGCTATTCTCTGGCGTGGCAACATACTCGCTTGTGCATGTGGATGGTGTACTCGCGGGCGACGACATCCGCAATGGCGGAGCGCTGAGTCTTGCCGGAGGGCTTCTTGGTCGACGACATGGCTGAAATTGGGATGTTAGTACCTCGGGTCGACGAAAGTGTAAAAGTCGAAGCGCTCGTAGTAGTAGGACTGCGAGGGAGGAGAAGTTGTCGGGGTCTTTCGTACCTGCGGCTCGTCTCTTCAAGGTCGGATCGTTTGAGAGGTGTTTGTGATGGTCAATCAATGGCCAATTCCCAAAATTTCTGTGCGTAGGGCAGCCCTCGAAATTCATCGGTGGGGATAAAGCGAGCCAATCGCCCGCAGCCCTGATGATCCACCGGATACTCACGTGACTGGACTCTTGGATCCACTGCTGGTAATCTCGGTTTAACTCAAATTGGCCTAGAGCACTTGGGGAGGTCCACGTCGTCTGCGGGTGTTTATCGCGAGGCATTGTATCCAATCTTGGCCGTTACTGCATGCATAACGACTTCATCATTCCACCTCCGGGCTAATTGATTTGAAGGCACCGCACACCTCTCTGTTCTTTGCGCTCCAGCCTCTCTCTCATTCTTTTGGGAGTCGCTTTGCGAAGGAGATAGCTGCGGTTTCTTTTACGAAACCTAGCGGCCTGTCGTCGGCATAATCAGGGGAATTTCGCGTATTGGTCCCTTCCAAAAAGCTTCCTAGCAGTCCCTCCGCGCGCCAAACCGAACGCCTCTTTCACTTCACCATTTCCTTTTAGTCTCGATACAAACATAAGGCGTCGCCCATCATGGCCGAACACGAACCCGTCAACCCGATGGCATCGCCGTCACCTCAACCCGACATGACGAGAAACCGACTACCTACGCTCTTTGAGGTTTTGAGTCGTCGCACTCTCCCTCCCGTTGATCTTTTCTCATTCTATATCTACATGCGCGACCAGCAGCGATCTGTGGACTACCTTGATTTTTGGTAGGTGTATCTGGAGCTTCAGTCTCATGTGGGTTTTGTCTGACATCACCAGGCTCGATGTCGCCCAGCACATGTCGCTATGCCGACACTATGTTCGCGAACTTCGACGATCCGTGCTTATTGGCACTCCTGAGGCGCAGTCCAAACGGTCTTCAGCTATCCTAGAAAACATCGGCGACTTGGAACCCAGAGCTCCCGGCCCCTCTATGTATGCAACTGAGAAGGAGAAGAACCAGGATGCGCAGATGTCAGCTTTCCTTAGAGAGGATCAGAGCCACGACTCACCTCAGAGTGCTACCGCACCTATGCGGCCTAGCCCCCAGTTCAGCAACTCTCACGATATCACTACCGAGTCCAACTCGCCAGCTCATACCGTTGCGCGACAGGATATCCGAGCCTCAGCGGAGAAGATTCTCTACACTTTCCTTCTACCTGGTGCTGAGCGAGAAATCACCCTTCCCGGTTCTATCACCCAAGAAGTCACCACTGCAATCGAAGAGTATGGTCGTGACGACCCTGAAGTGTTCGATGTTGCCAAGGATTATGTTTTCCAGGCCATGGAGCGAGATGCTTTCCCAGGTTTCCTCCGAATGAAGGCTCTTGGCAATCTCATCCCACCTACTCTCATCATGAGGCTCATCCTTGGACTCATCGCCATGTTTGCCGCTCTCTGGGCTTCATTTGTTCTCATTTTCCTTGACTACTCCCGAACTACCAGATGCTGGGTATGTGTTTTGTCTCATTATGCTTCTGAAAATATGCTAATTCAAGATAGCTCATCCTGCCTTTCACCGTCGGTGTCTATTTCCTTGCGTCTTACCAATACTCACTGGACCCTATCATGGCCCTGGTTGGTTACAGCGAGTACACACCCTTCAACTTCTCTCGTATCCGTGAACCCTACGTTCGCAAACTCATCGCTAAGCGCGCTATCATGGTCCTCGCGGTGACTGTTCTCATCGATGCTGCTCTTTGTGTTCTTTTCATTCTCGTTCCCGGAAAGCGTCTCTAAGCATATTCTTTACACCGAAAATCGCGGTCACTAATGCCGGCCATTACTGGCCATTTGAAATTTTCACTATCAAAAGATAACATTTCCGCAAGGTCTAATTTGGACATCATATCAATATTCACGACTGTAATGATTAAGGAGCCTTTGATCAGGCAGCGATACAAGTCCAGTCTCTTGATTGAGCGCGGGCGTTGCTTTCTGGAGGATTGGCGTACGGAAATCTACTGTTTATTCACCAAGGGTTATTTGTAGTTTAGCTATTCCTGGTCTAGACCTCGATGTTCGGTTTCGTTTCTAGCCATGCCTTTTTGTTTCTAATTTCTGGCCATATTAGGTCAACAGAATCGCTAGATGGCTTGGAGCCCATAGCATTCTTTAAGGGTTCAAAGGGGGTAATAAAAGGCGTCGTTTCATCTATTATGTCATGGTTCTTCGTGATAGATATTTTATGCGTTCCGGTGCTTAAATCATAGGCTTGAATGATGCACAGTGTGCTCACAGCTTGCGCTTGCTTGCCCGTTTCTTCTCCTCCTCCGACTCATCCACGTCCATACTGTCGTTGTCGACCAAGTTGCCCACATCCATAACAGACCGCTTGTTGAATCCTCTTCTAGCCATCATATCACGGCTCATGCTTGGCAATTCGTACTTGCGTCCGCCGCCGCCCTCTTGATGCTCGCTCATTAACTGCTGCAGCTTCTCATCTGCGCCGCGCTGTTCACGCTGCCTAGCAGCGGCTGCCGTTCGGATCTCCTTGATTTGAAGTTCGACGCTGCTGAGGGTGGTGGTGCAGCGGTCAGACCATGTCTTGAGGGCGGTAGTCAAGTCGGGTATCGCTCCGGGTGCAAGATCACGCAGGGGTGCAACACTTGAGACTTGTACGGTAGCGCGAGCTGGGTCGAGCGTTGCATGGAGCAGACCAGCGTAGACCGCCGAGATTACCAAATTCTCAACCTCGCGAGAGCCGGGAAGATCCAATGAGTCCTGTAGCGCGGCATACGAAAGGTTCTGTCGGTCTCTGGCGAGCGAAAGTAGTGAAAGCTGGCGTAGCTTAGTAGCTTGGGCTTCTGCGAGCTCCGGCAGGCCCGATGTGTTTTTGTAGGAAGAGTATGTCCCATAGGCGAAGGTTTGTAGGAGGGTGAGGTGCGAAGCAAACTCAGAGTCGGCGAGGTTCTGGATGGCGGGTGTTTGGAGGAGTTCGCTGAATAGGAATGTGTTCGGTGCTGATGTAGCTCGAGTGACGAGATCGGCGGCAGCGCGAGGAGAAGTAGCTGACTTGGATAGAGCTAGAAATGGCTGACAATGATTGTTAACTTGATCTATGACCTGTCCTTCCTGTTGGGCTTACCTCTAGTGCGTTAAGAGCCTTTGTCTGCTCCATGATGAGTTCTGTTTGAGGCTACAGCCTCGTGGGGTGGTTTGACGGATGAATGTAAGAAGCTAAATACGTCACGATTCAAAGCAGACTTGACCAAAAATGTCAGTACTAATCGCCCGCACTGTCTTGGATTTTGTTGCTTTCTCTTCCCGGCTCTATTTTTGGAGAAATGTATGCGGGATTGGAAATTATAAGTTGCCGAAGTAAGGTGTAGATGAAGTTCAAGATGGGGTATGTTGGAGCTACCTACATGCAGTTCAATGTGAGGCTGGAGCAGGCAGCATGTGGCGGGCGCGGGGCTCTGGACTCGGGAAGGCATTGGGTGTGGGGTCAAACGCTGTGGAGGGATCGTTACGAGCTAACCTACCCTATATACTTACATGACCGTATCGCCGGCAGTACAGATTGTATATTCACTTCACTTATTGGGTCCTCGCTCTTTGGGTTATCCCATGCAGAGTCTGGTGCTTTCTCTCTCTTTTGTACCAGGTCTGATGGTCGTTCAGCTGTTCTCATCGTCGTATCGAAGCAATGCATCGGTTGAAAGTTGACATCTCGGCAAGTGATTTAAAATGTGTAGTAATTTGTTAGAACAACATGGAACAGTTGTAGTAGCTACCTAGGCATCCATGTCAATGGGACATTGATTGGAATACAAGAAACGACTATCATACACACCAAGAAGAGTATGATTCGAGTCTTGTTGGCCCAGACGAAGTCCCAACAGTTCAGCCACTGAAGAGAGCAGACGGAATGGCGTATGATCTATCGTTAGCAACGCAGCTAAGTTTAGCCACAGAACCCGCTGACGAGGTCTGGGAGTGACGGGCTGTGATGAAAGGCATGCTGACTGTATACGCCATTCGAGCTTCGCTCGCGACACGTCTTTGTCACTTTACAAGGCTAGTGAAGCCCGAGTTGTGCATTTACAATGTATCGCGTCTTACGACAGTAAGAGGGCTACCTGGATATGCAAAGTGGCTGATGATTATATCAGGAAGTTAGATGAGGATCATGACAATGACAAAATGCAAACGGTAACTCAAAGAAATAGCAAGCGACTTCGTATCAAGTTCCTGGACAAGCTGAAGTCGTTGAATCGCCTAGTCTTAAGATTGGGTTCCCAAGACGAAAGCTGGTTGGACAATCTAGTGTTGGATGGTTGCGTTCCTAAAGGGATCGACACTTGCACCTTTAAGAACACGAGAGGCGTTAGTTAGAAGGGGCCGGCTGAGCTGGTCAGGCTTTGACCTGTGTAAGATGAGATGGGATGAGAAAGAAGACAAGACAAGACAAGACAAGGGATAGGAATAAAGATTTGAGTGTATCCGTAAGCCTCAACAAGGCTGTGTTTGCACGGATCTCACTTACGGATAATGATCATGATCCATGAATGAATTCTTTCAAGTGACAATTGGGTTCCGTTCCTTTGAGAGCGGAGCGTTGTCTGCTGCCCCTAGTCCTAGTCCTGCCAGTGTCTCAGGTTTCAGCACTTTTAGCCCCAAGCTCCCGTCCCTATTCATCTTGTCGGGGACCCTTTGGCCTTCTCTGGTGAAACATCCCTGCAAGCAAGAATTTCTGGTGCTTGATAAGTCGCAGCTTTGAGAAAATCCCACCAACGAGAGCTGCGATTGGCGACTTGGGTGCTTCCGGAAACCGACCCCAAACTGGAATCTGACCGTTGCAGCCGCTGAGCCAAGAAGTGTTGCGGATGTTCTGTTCTTTGGTTTTGCGCAAGTTTTCAAGGTGTTTCCTCTCGCTAACTAATAGCAGACTGAGTGTTTCCATATCTTCCCCTGAATCTGTGAATCCTTGAACCCTTGAGAGATAGATAAATCGCCGAGACTCCGTCGTTTGTGGAATTCTTACTCATGTCATGTCCTTTTGATCTGGCACTGGTGTCTTTTTTATTTTTATTATTATCTTCTCGTACCCAAGTGGTAGTTCATTTCCGTTTCCTTTCTCTCGTCTGACTAAACATCGGAATACGAAAGACCAAGCAAGCAATCCACCTACCTAGGTACCTACTTTATCTTCATTGATTGAAGCCGGTCTTCTTGGTTTTCTTGGTCTTAGTGGCGCATTCACTATCTACCAGCATCCATCAGCTGCTACTGTCACCTTCCGGTCCTGTTGCCTCCGATTTCCTTTTTCAGCTTTTTACAGTATCCTTATCTCTTCTTCTTCGTTTCGTTCTGTCGAGCTGCTGCTCGCTTTTATTTTGTAACTCTCACTATTATACGAACTTGAGAGATGGTTGTGGCTGGTCGATCCAACTAGAGAACCGAACCGTTCATTCCATTATTAGCAACCGAACCAACCACCAGACCAGTCTAACCGCGAGAGTGAGACCAAGACCCAAGTGCCGTGCTTCCCGCTCTCTACTGCGGTTTACAACCTTCAACAACCATCAGCTTCTGGATCGGTTCACGAAATATTCACGATCCTCGAGACGAGGCTCACGAGCCATAGCCAGTCGCCATGGCTCCCGCCTATATTAAAGTCCCTCCCAAGGACACCGACAATGTCGCACTCTCCGTCCCCAGAAGCCCAGGCGCCGGCGCCCATTTCGCTACAACGACGCTTCGCGTGGATGGCATGACGTGAGTATACATGAAGCCCTGTCTTGAACTCATTCCGGGCAAACCGAGACCCAGTTATGCGGTCTTGCTCGGCTTTTGCGGCCCCAATTTACAAGATGCGTACGGACCATGAACAAGGATATAATACTAACTCTCGTTCCTCTACAGTTGCGGCGCATGTACTTCTGCTGTTGAAGCTGGCTTCAAGGGTGTTGATGGTGTTGGAAACGTCTCAGTCAGTTTGGTTATGGAACGCGCAGTCATCATGCACGACCCCCAAGTAATCTCCGCCGACGACATTAAAGAAATCATTGAAGACCGAGGATTCGACGCCGAGGTGCTCACCACCGACCTTCCCAGCCCTGTGGGCAAGCGTTTCAACGAGACTCTTTACGACGACGAAAATGATTTTGTTACGACCACTGTTGCCATCGAGGGCATGACATGTGGCGCCTGCACATCGGCTGTTGAGGGCGGATTCAAGGACGTTCCCGGCATCAAGACCTTCAGTATTTCCTTGCTCTCCGAAAGAGCCGTTATTGAGCACGACCCCGATCTCCTCACAGCTGAGCAGATTGCTGAAATCATCGAGGACCGTGGTTTTGATGCTACAATTGTTGATTCTGGCAAGGTGGCAGCCGACAAGTCTGGGAAAGACGCTGGAAGCGTTGGGAACGTCGCTGTAACGACCGTTGCTATCGAGGGAATGACATGTGGTGCTTGTACCTCAGCCGTCGAGGGTGGGTTCAAGGACGTAGATGGCGTCCTGAAATTCAACATCAGCCTACTGGCGGAAAGAGCCGTTATTACACACGACGTCACCAAGCTCTCCCCCGAACAAATAGCGGAAATAATCGACGACCGTGGATTCGATGCCGAAGTCCTTTCTACTCAGGCCGCAACTGTTCACCAAAGCGCATCATCGTCTACAGCACAATTCAAAGTCTATGGCGTGCCCGATGCGTCCGCAGCAGAGAATTTGGAGGCTGCGTTGGCTGCCATACATGGCGTCGATTCAGTTTCTTTAAGCCTTGCTTCATCGCGCCTTACCGTCACTCATCAGTCCAATGTCATCGGTCTGCGTGCCATTGTTGAGGCCGTCGAGGCCCAGGGATACAATGCGCTCGTCGCTGACAGCCAGGACAACAATGCTCAGCTCGAATCACTTGCGAAGACAAGAGAGATTGGTGAGTGGCGAACAGCCTTCCGAACTTCGTTGGCTTTCGCCATCCCCGTTTTTATTCTCGGCATGATTTTGCCCATGTGCGCACCGTCTCTCGATTTCGGAAAGCTTGAGTTGATTCCTGGACTGTTTCTTGGTGATGTTATCTGTTTGGTCCTCACGATACCCGTTCAATTTGGCATTGGAAAGCGATTTTACATTTCAGCATGGAAGTCACTGAAGCACCGTTCCCCGACCATGGATGTTCTTGTTACTCTTGGCACATCTTGCGCCTTCTTTTTCAGCGTTCTGACAATGCTGGTCTCATTAATAATGCCCCCTCACAGTAGGCCCAGCACCATCTTCGATACTAGTACTATGCTTCTCACCTTTGTCACCCTGGGTCGCTACCTCGAAAGCAATGCCAAGGGTCAGACCTCCAAGGCCCTTTCGCGTCTGATGTCTCTTGCACCTTCTATGGCTACCATCTATGTTGACCCAATTGCTGCCGAGAAGGCCGCCGAAGCATGGGACAAGGATCCCAGTACCCCAAAGACCCCTAGACTTGGGGGCTCAGCGCAAGAGGAGAAATCTATCCCTACCGAGCTTCTTCAGCTAGGCGACATTGTCATTCTTCGACCTGGTGATAAGCTCCCCTCCGACGGTGTTCTGGTTCGAGGAGAGACCTTTGTCGATGAGAGTATGGTTACTGGTGAGGCGATGCCTGTCCAGAAGCGAGTCGGCGACAATGTCATTGGCGGAACAGTCAATGGCGATGGTCGGGTAGACTTTCGAGTCACTCGGGCTGGTCGCGATACTCAGCTTAGTCAAATTGTCAAGCTTGTTCAGGATGCGCAGACCACACGCGCGCCTATTCAGCGACTTGCTGACACTCTCGCTGGTTACTTTGTCCCCATGATTCTTATTCTCGGCCTCTCCACATTTCTTTGCTGGATGGTGCTCAGCCACGTACTTCCGAACCCACCCAAGATCTTCCTCCAAGATTCAAGTGGCGGCAAGATCATGGTTTGTGTCAAGCTTTGCATCTCTGTCATTGTTTTTGCCTGCCCTTGCGCTCTGGGTCTTGCCACACCCACCGCTGTTATGGTCGGTACCGGTATTGGCGCTGAAAATGGCATTCTGATCAAGGGTGGTGCTGCTCTCGAAAGAACCACAAAGGTGACACAGATTGTCCTCGACAAGACCGGTACTATCACCCATGGCAAGATGAGTGTTGTTCAGTCAGTGCTGGAGGCTGAATGGTCTGGCAATGAGATGCGTCGTCGAATGTGGTGGACCATTGTTGGTCTTTCCGAAATGGGCAGTGAGCACCCTGTAGGCAAGGCTATCCTCGCTGGAGCCCGACAAGAGCTTGATGTCGAGGTCGAGGGTGTCGTCGAAGGAAGTGTTGGCGAGTTCAAGGTCACCGTTGGTAAGGGTATCAACGCTCTCGTCGAGCCTGCCTCAGCCGTTGACCGTAGCCGCTATCGTGCGCTTATCGGCAACGTTGCCTTCCTGCAGAACAACGGTATTGATGTCCCCGAGGATGCCATCGAGGCATCTGAACGTGTTGACTCTGATGCAAACAAGACTGGTAAAGGACCTGCAACTGGTACCTCTCACATCTTTGTTGCGATCGATGGCAAATATAGTGGCCATATCGCTTTGGCCGACTCCATCAAGGAGGGTGCAGCTGCTGCCATTTCTGTTATCCACAAGATGGGTGTCAAGACCGCCATTGTCACAGGTGATCAGCGCTCCACTGCCCTCAGCGTCGCTGCCGCCGTCGGAATTCCGCCCGAAAATGTGTACGCTGGCGTGAGTCCCGACCAAAAGCAGGAAATCATCAAGCAGATCCAATCACAAGGCGAGGTCGTTGCTATGGTTGGTGACGGTATCAATGACTCTCCTGCGCTTGCAACTGCAGATGTCGGTATCGCCATGGCCAGCGGCACAGACGTTGCTATGGAAGCTGCCGATATGGTTCTCATGCGCCCAACAGATCTGATGGACATCCCATCAGCGCTCGACCTTACCCGTTGTATCTTCCGCCGCATCAAGCTGAACCTGGCTTGGGCGTGCATGTACAACGTTGTTGGTCTACCTATCGCCATGGGCTTCTTCCTCCCCATTGGTTTCCATATGCATCCCATGATGGCTGGTTTCGCCATGGCATGCAGTAGTGTCAGTGTCGTTGTGAGCAGTCTTCTGCTCAAGTTGTGGAAGCGACCTCGCTGGATGGATGAGGCCGCTGCAGAGCAACGCGGTGGTCTTCAATGGAAGAGCGGTAGAGGCATCATGGGCTGGATGCGAGAGATGTTTGGCAAGAGGCGGGTGAAGAAGGATGAGGGATACGTGCCCTTACAAAACCTGGATTTATAAGCATATTTCTTTTTATTTTGTTAAGCGGCGTAGTCATGATGTTGTAGTATATAGTTTGACTGGTTGTACACCAATGATATCCTAGAGTGAAAATAACAGCATATAAACATGCTTTCTGGTTAGCATTTTTGGACTAGTGAGCGATCTTTGAATTCCCAAGTGACAACCAGTCCTTTTATGTCGACTTTGCGACATCCAATTCTACGGCGTGCTCGGCGTTTTCTCCTGGCCACCAGGTGTTGGTCGTATGTTTGTACCTCTCGAGATAACGCAATGCTTTTGCTCTGTGGGTTGCGACATGCCTAGGAATACACGGCACTGCCATCTCATTGCCGAGAAAGTCTCCGATGGTGAAGCACAATGGGCTTTCACAAATCACTAGATTCGAGAAAGTCAACATGTATCTCAACATATTGGTGATCGGATGCATGTTCGTGGCTACCTGAAAGGCACCGACCTGGATGAGCGTCCCTTTGACTACAGATTGAGTGGTAGACTCAAAGGAGAGAAGAGATGGAATGTGAAGGGTTTACAAAAAGGATCAACCACTTAGAAGACAAGAGGAGGGACCTTAAAGAATGGAGTTTCGATACGTAGATGTTAAGCCTCAGGGTCTTGTAGTGCCGCATACCTGGACAAGATGAGCATCGGCAGTTCCCAGACTAGACGAGATTGGCGTTGCAATAGAGTTGACAATAAGGCTGCAGGGTCGTCATATTCTATTATCTTCACCAGTCACATTTCAAGATCGGTAGTTAAGTACACGTAATATGCTGCTTCTAAAATGCCACAGTACCCCGTGTACGGCTATTGACACTTTGACAGCATTTGCGCCACAAAGCCTGCCAAAGGAATTCCACTAGTTGTCAACGTTGCATAGTCAAGCAAGGGTTTTTAGTCTTCTGTAATAAGGGTACAACTCAGCTCCTAAAAGAGGCTGAGACGTCTCCAAGACCCTTGCATCCACCGAGCCTCTCTGTCTTCGTCTTGTGAGCAGACGCGGATGGCTTCGTGTCCGACTTGATGTGACAGACTAACAGACACTCAGGGGTTCAGTCTCGTTTCGCTGGAATTCTGATACGCCAAGACGAGATTATCGACTACTATGTGGTGGGCTCGCGACTTGTCTATTTGAGCCGCTAAACGTTGCTGATGAATGGAGCCTGTAGGATATGAAAAATGGATAACGGCGCGGATCATTCCAGTGACTTTAGCAATTCATTTGCCAAGACGGTTCAGGGCTGTTGGAAGGCGTTTTGGTTTGAAAGGATGCGCTATATTGATCATTTGCTTAGGTCACTAAACGTGCAAGCAACCGCCCTTCTGTCCCCTTAATAGAGGGTAATAGTGATACTGCGGATGGCCGCATGACAGTAACCAACCTTTGTAGGGTTGCATGTGCGCGTGCTTGCTAAACATGTTTCCTGATTAGGTCCCCAATACGATAATTGTCAGAGCCATACGGCACCACATTCGCTCAGACAACTCATGTCGGATGCGTAAGCTCGTGTTCTATAAACAGTTTTCTATAGAAAAAAAGACTTTACAAAAGTGCTGAAGAAGTGTGTAGTTTCGACCCATTTTACACTTGGCCTACGTAACTACGGATAAAGTATCTGTGCATGTATTGCGTGTTCTGTGATAGGCGATGGATTACCTGGTTCTTGGCTCGTTTCACGACAACGCGACTCAACATGTACAGTATCTGCTGTACAGTATCTGTACTTATGTCTATGTGCAGATTTAGAACCATACTTAACTTTCATGGTAGACTAGATAAAATGACGTGCCGTTTTCTCGCTTGTGTTTCCTTCAGAGATTGAGTTGAGTCCACATGAGATCCGTGCTGCGGGTGTCAAGAATACATACAGTTAGTACTAGACTACCTATTACTATCTGGACCGGTACCTCTTATGCAATAGCAAAGGTAGAGCCTTGGTAAAGTTGAATTATGCTGGAGTCTGGTTATCCACTTGCATCCGGGTCTTCCATATTAATATTGAAAGTCTATAGAATCAATAACCTCTTCGGCTAGGTCTTAGGTTCTGCTGCAGCTGAAATCAAGACGATTTGATTCATTTCTTTACGCCTCATTCGTTAGTCTAGGTACTCTGCCCTATTGTCATCCAATCCAGAGAGTTGCTAGAATTGTCAACACGAGCCGACATGATTGGCTCGCCATGTAGTATTTCTTATTTCTAGCGTTGTTGGCTGTCCAGATGGAGGGATAACCCCCGCCCCCTTTTTGATTGCAGTGCAAGTTGAGGACATTCAGCTTTGAGAACCCCTGGACTTGACTTGACTGGGTTGGATTGACTGAGATTCGAGTCAAAGGGACTTGAGGATCACGTTCCAGAGGACTTTGGAGGAGTGCAAATGATACAATGATAGCTATAGATGGCTAGATCTCAGCCCCTTTTGAGAATGTTGTTGTACTCAACTGAATTGAGTTTGGAATACGTTGGTTCTCGAGGGAACAGCCCAAGATTGATCGATCTACAACGGTTGAATAGTGGGCTACCAATAAAGCCTTGTCTAGGTACTACTTAGAGTGCTCTGTACCTTAACGACTAAGAGTAAGTTGAGCGTTGTATTGAGGTAGTAAGTAGTACGGATATAGTATTGAACCTTATCTAGCTATTTATTAATTTCCCCTCTCAAAAGAAACTTTTATAAAGCACCCGACACCAATAATGAAGTTATTCGCGGGCTGCTGAATCCGCTGGCAGGTTCTGCCAATGCTGACAGTTGTTCACTAAATCTTGACGCACCCGCCACAGGTACTTTGGTACAGTGTATCTTCGGGTAACTCCCACCTAACGGATGCCCCCACCTCCACTTCCCAGGCCCAGGACCCCCCGCCATTGAACCACTGAAGCCCGAAAGTGCCCGTAATGATGATGGATTGCTTCCCACGAGGAAGGAAGGTACCGACGATGCAAGTACAGTAAGCCTACAATCCTTTTCGGATTGGCTTCCATCCCGTCCTTGCCTAATAAAATATTCCTCCCTTTTTATCTCTCTCCTGATAATAAATTCCATCTGTTACCTGTGACCCTTTCCTCCCTCCTTTTTTATTGAATACCTTCAGAATCCTTTCCCTCCCAAGTATTCTGTCTTCTTGTTCCTAGTCGAGTTACCAGTGCTTTTACAGTACAAGCCAGGTACCATTTTGTCTGTGCCTTGTTTGGTCATTCCCGTCGGGTCTCCATCTTCATCTCCCTGTCTGGGTCCAATCGCTCGCTTTGATCCAATCCATACCTTACCCATCACTAAACTTATTACGCGCGCCTCCGCCTCCTTCTCCCTTCGGTTGGCCCCTGTATTTTCTTCGCTTCTCATTCTCCGTGTTGCATTTCCACTTTGCAACTACTACAATTACCACTTCAACCACGACTCGGCCGCAACCTTTTATCTGCATCGCATCTCGTCGGTAATCGACTGCGCTCGCAGAATATCTAGTCGACTCGTCATTACATATATAGAATCGACTCTTGGTTATGCTCGAGACTCGACGATAGTATCCATTACGACATTCTCATTATTCGATCCACTAAGCCAACAATCGCATCCCCGCGAAGACGAAAACCGGCGCATACTGCAACACCAACCATGTCTTCCCGTCCGCACAACGAGGAGCCTCTCCCACTCCTCTCCGCTGAGGAGAGAGACCGTGATATGAAGGGCGAACTTGATGTCGAGAGCGACGCCGGTCGCGCCGAGCCTCCCAAGAACAACAACCTCGAGCACGAGTACTCCATTCCCAGCACCGTCAAGTTCGCATGGCTCGGAACCTACTTCTTCTTCTCCCTGCTCTTGACTCTCTACAACAAGCTGGTTCTCGGAATGGTGAGTTATTGAACTGAACACAAGATTCCGTTGTATAGCCCATACTGACATGCGATTCTTTCAGTTCCACTTCCCATGGCTCCTGACTTTCCTCCACGCCTCTTTCGCCAGTGTCGGTACCTATGTCATGATGCAGATGGGTTACTTCAAGCTCTCCCGACTGGGGCGCCGTGAGAATCTCGCTCTTGTTGCTTTCAGTGCTCTGTTCACTGCCAACATTGCCGTCTCCAACCTGTCTCTAGCCATGGTTTCTGTTCCCTTCTACCAGACCATGCGCATGCTGTGCCCGATCTTCACCATTCTCATCTACCGCGTCTACTACGGCCGTACCTACAGCAGCATGACCTACCTCTCTCTTCTTCCTCTCATCATCGGTGCCGCCATGACCACCCTTGGTGAGATGAGCTTCACTGATGCCGGTTTCCTTCTCACTATTCTTGGAGTCGTTCTCGCTGCTCTCAAGGTATGTCCCTATTTATGATACAAATACAATCAATCAATACTGACCGTAATGCAGACTGTCGTCACCAACCGATTCATGACTGGTTCTCTCGCACTCCCCCCGATTGAGTTCCTCCTCCGCATGTCCCCTCTCGCCGCCCTCCAGGCTCTGGCTTGCGCCACTGCCACCGGTGAAGTCAGCGGCTTCCACAAGCTCATCACCTCTGGAGATGTCTCTCTGCCTCCTGCTTTCGCTTCGCTCTTCGGCAACGGTTTCCTCGCTCTGCTTCTCAACATTTCGTCTTTCAACACCAACAAGCTTGCTGGTGCCTTGACCATGACTGTTTGCGGTAACCTCAAGCAGTGCTTGACTGTTGCCCTCGGTATCTTCCTCTTCGATGTTACCGTCGACCTGCTTAATGGTGCGGGTATGGCCGTCACAATGCTTGGTGCTGCTATCTACAGCAAGGCTGAGCTCGACAACAAGAACCGAAAGAGCCAACAAGCTGCTGCTGCTGCCTATAAGCCCGTCGAGCAGCAGTCTCGGTAAATGGTGCACAAAGAATGATGCGCTTTTGAGAATTTGATGTTCTCATTTTTCATACATGAACTTTTATAGACGACCGGGCGAGTTGAGACAGGCAAAGGCGAACTTCTTTTATTTGGCGTCTTGCTTTGCTTCTTAGGGTAGCATGGATCGATATCTGCTAAGTTCTGTTGTGCTTGCTATGCACCGGTTTCATAGATTCGCTCATCGTAGCAAGAAGAGGGGAGGATTGGAGACCGAGAGATGTTATTACTATCATGATCATGGGCTATGGGTTTTTCGAAAATATGCAGGCTCAGGTTCGCCGCGGCCTTTTCTATACAACTTTTGTTGTTTCAATTTTCTTGGATAGGGTTTGCATTTCAGAGTAAGAATAGATGCTCTACACTAATGCCTGCGTTATTGTGTCTGTACTTAAATCATGTACTATATGTAACAAAGTTGAAGAAAATATTTTATCTGTTTTGAAATTTGCTTTTCGCCAGAACGGCAGTGAGCCCATGTGGATAGATGTCCAGTCTAAAAGATAACCACCACCCGATGAGTTTTATGATATAATTAACACTCTTGGGACAAGTACAACCAAAAACATAAACCATATAACGCCGTGCTATGCTAGTAGATTTGGAAACCGGATATCTCTGATTTTAGATGTCCTCGTGCACGATTGAAGCGTCCGGCAATTCCTTCTTCTGTAGTTCCCAAATGCTCTTGTGAACATCCTCAAAAGATGCGTTGGCTTGCAGTCCAAGAGTTTCTGCAAGGATCTCAAGATCACTCGGTGGCAGTACAGTCTGCTCCATGCCTGCACCAAGAACTGGTCCTGTGATGATGCGGTTGACGCCGGTACCTTTGGCTTTGCTGAGCATGCCAAAACGAATGCCCACTTCAGTGGTAGTGACCAAAATACTCATGATGATCAGGACAATGATGATCCATGTGATGTAGCTCATCTTGGCGTGAGCAACAGAGTCAGATAGGATCTCAGCAAGATCCAGGAAGACACGGCAGCGTTCGTTCAGAACCTTGATGCGTGGGTCGATCTCGAGGTATTCGCGAATAGCAGCATACAAGGGATGGAGAGTCGGTTCAGACTCCCAGAAAAAGTTGGGGACGTCGAGAATATTGGAGGCTGCGCAGATGTTAGAATTGTACAAGATCATTCAACGGAAGAGACTTACATAGGTTGATGTCAACACGGCTTCTGAAGAGCTTACCCAACATACGCACAATTTCAGTTCGAGTCATCTTAAGCTCTCCTGTCAATGCGAGCATCTTGGGCACATGCTGTGCATCCAGCATAGTCTCACTCATGCGTTCCTCAAAGAAACACAAGCGCGTACTCTGCGCAATAGCATGGCTAATAGTGAGCTTGATCATATGGTCAGACCTTGGTAACAAAGTGATCATATCGTTGAAGATGCGCGGACGCTTTATGTCCGCGCTATATTCAAAGTGGAACTCCTCTGTCTCGTAGTCTTCCTGGTCAAGAGGTCGAACGAGAAGACTGGTGCCGCCGTTCTCTACAGCATCGGCATCGGCGAAGGTCAAGTCGGCGAGGATGTCCTTTTCTTGATGTTCGGTAAAGTTCCAAAAGACAACCACGCCGTAAGAGTAGACGAACATTTCTGCAAAGTTCTTTGCGTCAGGCGCGAGTCGGTTCATTGATGAAACGTCGTCGTCGTGACGGAAAGGATTGCTACGCTCAGGAGTCGATGGGCGGTTGGTGAAATGAGAAGGAATCTCATGGCCGCGCTCTGGGCTGGGATGTTCGTATGCGTCGTCCTCGAAGTAACCCTCATGATGATCTCGCTGCTCGCTGCGCTCAATCTCCAAATCGAGTACCGTCTTGCCAGTTCCGGGGGTCTTCAAAATAGGTCGACTTCGAACTCGGGTGCCGTCGGTGCCGTTCAGGAGTGGCAGAGCATAGATGACGTAGAGACAGTCGTCGTAAATCTTGGTCTTGGCTTCATGCTGCTTGCGCAGAAATTCGGCAGTAGGCTTGATCTTGTACGCTTGCGCGGTGCAGTAGGCTGTCAATCTGCTGACCTTGTCCGTTCTTTGCATCTTGGACAGCCTCTCAGCAAAACTCTTGCCACGAATTCCACCTCGCTTCTTAAGCACATCCAGCTCCTCATCCTTCAACGGGCGATTCTCATCATCATGGACACGGCGCGCAAGTACCGACTCGCTCTCAATTTCCTCATCGACGTCATCGTCATTATCCTCTGCTTCTGGAAGAAGGACCAATTTTTCGCTAATCTTGGTTGTCCTTGACGGCATCTGCTGACCGGTACGTGACTGAGCATTTGGTAGACCGCCTGATGAGACCCGGCGACTAAGGGCGCTGCCCGACGGGCCCGGATGTCGTCCTGGAGGTACGGGTGCTGGAGGGCCTCGCGGTTGGCCTGATGGGATCTGTGAATTGTACTGAAGAACATTGTCGACGGTCATAAATCGCATCGGTGCTTGTGACCCAGGAGCGCCTGAACCGGTATCTTGTCGTTGAAGGACCCTTCTTTGAGATTGTCTCTGTCTCGCATCCGTGACCTAGACGATATTAGCATGATTGAGCGACGCGCAGATATGACGATAGTAAGTACCAGGACGGATGGGCGCTGTTTGGAGCTCATGATGTCTACTACTGGACCAAAGTCCTCACGCGACTAAGTTAGTAGGATATCGCACAGCGAGGTAGATGTGTAGAAACAATTGAGCCCAATGGTTAGTCGCGGTCGGGAATTGACGAAATAAGTCAAAGTCGGTTTACAAGGGTCGAAGCCTCAAAAAGATTCGAATGATTCTGGGCCGATGGGTCAGTTCCAGTCGCAGCTCGGGCCAGTCAGTTGCTTTGGGTCTGGGACTGGCTTTGGCTTTGGCTTTGGCTTTTGTGCTGATGACCTCATAAAGCCCCACTGAATCACTATGGCGTATCAAAGCTTCGTCCATTCTGTCGTACTACGAACTATCGCTGGATTCGGGTTTCCTTAATGATTGTGTTTTTTTTTGTTTTTGAGTCTTAGGACATGTGAATTTACTACTGAAAATACCTACGAGACGCAAACATCAGGTCTTTGTTTACTATTAGAGTTTGAGTTTAGCGACTTGTAGTGCAAGGTAGTGCTATTGGAGCTGTCTATACAAAACCTCTTTGGTAGCATGAGGCTACTGTAAACCATTCCATTGGTACACGAAGAAACGTCGCCGTTTTATGTGTTTTGTGTTTTTGCATTTCAGTATTTCCGTGTCACCTCTGACGTTACAATCCGATCATGATCTACCAGATATTCAGCTTTCACCTGGACCTGGTCTTTATGAAGATAACTACTGGCCAAGGTACGGAGAATGGGCATAACAAATTGAAGCCAAGAGTGGATTCATGCTGTTCAGATCTAGCGTTAGACGACGATTAGCCTCATGACGAGCTCAAAAAAGGCATCCACAATGCTGTGTGTTTTGATTGCCGACGATAGGTAATCTGGAGAGCTTTTCGGTTGGAGATCTGCAGGGAGAAAAGGCACTATATCTTTTGTATTTGTACTCTGTATCTGACGGTAAATAAACAACATGCCTATATACCTACCTACTCAAATCTACCTTTGGTAAGCGCCTGTTGTTTTCAATTGCACGCAAACAGACGAATCAAGTGTCAAAAAACACCTCATAGCGCATCGATAAGTACAGAATTCTTGCTTCTCGCCCGCATAAATCTAACGATATTGAACACATGAGAGATGGACTTGACAAGGACGAGGGAGACATAAAAGTGGATCATGAGCGTCAAGTCGCCAATCGGGACTAGACACGGGAAGCGGTTGCTGGGCGGTTGCCAGTTGTTTTGTTTACTACAGGCCCCGCCATGGATCGGACGCCTTGACTACTTACCTTAACTGTACTATGGGACGTTCGTTTTCTTGGGCATGAACTTGAATGATTTACTGTGATATTGATTGACGGCATTTGCACTGCAACGGCACAGCATAACACAGCACAGCACTTCATCTCATTGCTTTGACATTTTTTTGTCCTTTGACAACGCACTTGATTGTCGTGTTTGTCTGCAATTCATATACCTAATTTCTCCTCCGCCTTTTTATTATCTTGTCTTGTCTTGCCTTGGTTCATAAAGATTCCAAGCGCCACCTCATTCTTGATCAAGTCACTTCCCTTCTGACGAAACCGAGCAACGCTCGAAACAATGCGTTAACGTCACCGACAAAAGGTGGATTTTACTACGTTCCTAAGCAGAGACAAAAAAAGAGCAAGACATAGACAAGAGCTCGCGGCTTGGCCAGCGACTCCCCTCTTAAAGCGTTCACAATGTCGTCCCGTACTCATTATTTCCAAACTCAACACCAAACTCAGAGCCAAGCGCCATCGCAACCGCTTCCTCACCAGCATCTGCGATCTCATCGCCAGTCACGCACTATCGACTTCGCTTCCAATTCCAACATCTCGCCCGCCCTCGTCAACCGCTTCCCTTCGACAACATCATCATCCGCTTCATCGGGCTACTCCCACGCTTCGGATCATAGTCTCAACAGCCAATATACCTCTGCTTCTAGTTCGGCTGGCTACGGTGCGACAGTGCATGGCCACAAGCGAGCCCAGAGCGATGTCAGGGCAAGAGCGAATATCTTCGAGACTGGGGAAAATATGACCTCAAAGAAAGCTCCAGACAATATCTACAGCTCAGCTCGACATTCTCTCCGCCCACTTCCGCAAGCTCCCGCAGGCACGCGGCCTGAGACACCACCACATGCAGCACTTCGCCATGATCGCACTAAAAGTGTCGACATCGGCAAGCTGTCAATGTCCCATATGGATGTCCAAACCTCACCGACAAAAGGCTCGCCGACTAAGATGTCGACGTCGACCTCGCCAGTGAAAACATCATCGCCTTCTCGCCCTCTACCGATGCGACCAAACTCTATGCTTCTCACTCGATCCGACTCGTTTCTACCGCAAGAGGCCACACTATCTCCTTCGTCACCCCATCATCATGTGCATAGCACCCACATTGCTCGGGATGAGCTAGAAGGTCTGGGCAAGTCCTCGACAAGTCAATTAAGGACACTCTCGCGCCTCGTTTCATCTGATTCACCAGAAGACTTCACCATCACTTCGCCTACGCAGGAAGTTGTTGGGTTGCGCGGTCGACGCAGATTACAACGAGCCGATGGAAGCAACACCGGCCAAAGCCAAAAGAATACTGGCTACAGCTGGGAAGGTCGCAATTGGATGGACAAGCAACGCCAATTCCTCCAAGCCTACGAGTACCTTTGTCATATCGGTGAAGCAAAAGAATGGATAGAAGACGTCATCCACAAAACTATACCACCTATTGTTGAGCTCGAGGAAGCACTCCGCGACGGTGTCACACTCGCAGAAGTGGTTGAGTCACTCAACCCGGACAGGCGATACCGAATCTTTCAACATCCCAAGCTCCAATACAGGCACTCTGACAATATCGCAATCTTCTTCCGCTACTTGGACGAAGTAGAACTGCCTGACCTGTTCCGCTTTGAGCTGATCGATCTATATGAGAAAAAGAACATTCCCAAAGTTATCTATTGTATTCATGCTCTGAGTTGGCTTCTCTTCCGCAAGGGAATAGTCGACTTCCGCATAGGCAACCTCGTCGGCCAGCTTGAGTTCGAGCACCATGAGCTGGAAGCTATGCAGAAGGGTCTTGATAAACTCGGCGTAACAATGCCTAGCTTCGGCAACATGAGTGCTGACTTCGGTGTTCCTGAACCTGAGCCCGAGCCAGAGGAGACCGAGGAAGAGAGAATAGACAGGGAATTGAAAGAGAACGAAGATTCCATCGTCGATATGCAAGCTCAAATCCGAGGTGCTCTACTTCGCGTCAAGCTTGGTGATACCATGCAACAGCTTTGGGACGAGGAGGAGTGGTTGATCGACCTTCAATCTCGCATTCGAGGTGATTTTACTCGACAAATTATGGACTATCGACTACAGATGAAGCGCTTTGCTATACAACTGCAGAGCTCAGTACGTGGATTCTTGGTTAGAAGGAGACTGGACCGCCGTGACCAGATCTTGGAGGCCCTCGAGCCTGATATTTTGGAATTGCAAACCATGATTCGGGCCAACAAGGTCCGAAACCAGGTACGAGACATGACTGCTCAGCTTGCGAAGTGTAGAGGACCTGTTCGGGAGATCCAGGCAATCTCCAGGGGCTTCTTGGCCCGCAAGAGTCATGTTGCGCAGTACAAAGAGACGAAAGAGTCGTCTAGTGTGGTCGAGAAACTGCAAGCAGCAGTTCGTGGCGCTATGCTACGCGGCAAAGTCGAACAGGACCTCGAGGATCTGGAAATGCAAACCCCTGCGATCGTTGACCTGCAGGCGGCGGCAAGGGCACTGCTGACTAGAAATCAGGTTAACCGCGAGCTGCACCATCTGAAGTCCTCTGGACCAGGTTGGGAGAAGCTCCAGGCGTTCGCTCGTGGTTTCCGCGCTCGCCAGGACGACATGGCTCTGCGATCTGAGCTCAACAAGCACATTCCTGACATCGAACAACTCCAGGCTCTCGCCCGTGGACTTGCCGCTCGCCAGAATGACCAGGTGCTACGAGCTGAACTCAGCGAGCATGCTCCTGCTGTAGAGCGACTCCAAGCTTTCGCCCGAGGACTCCGTGCTCGACAAGAAGACAAGGCCTTGAGATCGGAGCTTGATAAGCACACAACGGATGTAGAGCAACTCCAGGCTTTCGCTCGCGCCGCAGCCGTGAGACGAGATGTTGCCGATACCATTGATGCTCTTAGGGAGAACGAACCCGCTGTGGTTGATCTTCAGGCTCTCATTCGGGCTATGATTGAACGACAGCGAGTTGGAGCTATCCTGGAGCAACTTGAAGAGCAAGAACCCCAAGTCACAACTCTGCAAAGTAATATCCGAGGATTCTTGTCCCGCCAGCAACACCAGGCCTTCCTCGAGGAGCTTGAATCTCACACTCCCCAGATCATTGAACTCCAAAGCATTCTCCGAGCCATGATGGAACGTGCCAGAGTTGAGGATATCATGGCCGAGCTGGAGCAAGAGGAGGAATCCATCGTCGCTTTCCAAGCTGCAGCCCATGGCTTCATGGTCAGGGCCCGATTCGAAGAGAAGAAGCGCTTCTACAACGAGAATATGCAGAAGGTCATCAAGATCCAGAGCTTTGTTCGCGCCAAGGTTCAAGGAGAGGCTTACAAGAGTTTGACCACCGGCAAGAACCCTCCTGTGAATGCCGTCAAGAACTTTGTCCATCTTCTCAATGACAGCGACTTCGACTTCAACGAGGAAATCGAGTTTGAGCGTATCCGCAAGACTGTCGTCCAGCAAGTTCGACAAAACGAGATGCTCGAGAACTACATCGACCAACTTGATATCAAGATCGCCCTTCTGGTCAAGAACAAGATCACCCTGGACGAAGTCGTGAGACATCAACACAACTATGGAGGCAACTCCATGCACTTCATCGCCAACAGCTCTATGTCCTCCGCCAACCAATTCGATCTCAAGGCGCTCAACAAGAGCTCGCGCAAGAAGCTCGAATCCTACCAACAGCTCTTCTTCAATTTGCAGACACAGCCACAATACCTCGCCCGCCTCTTCAAGCGCGTCCGCGAGCAGGGAACCGCTGAGAAGGAGTGCAAGCGTATCGAGCTATTGATGATGAGTCTCTTTGGATATGCCCAAAAGCGCCGAGAGGAGTACTATCTGCTCAAGTTGATTGCCCGATCCGTTCGCGAGGAGATATCCTGCGCACGAGATGTCCAAGACTTTATTCGTGGCAACTTCTTCTGGTCCAAGCTACTTAACAACTACACTCGTTCCCCCCGAGACCGCAAGTACCTTCGAGATCTGTTGGGCCCTCTGATCCGAGACAACATTGTCGAGGATCCCGCTCTCGATCTTGAGAGTGACCCCATGCAGATCTACCGATCAGCCATCAACAATACTGAGTTGGCCACCGGTCGACCCGACCAAAGACCACTTGATGTTCCTCGCGAAGTTGCTATCCGCGACCCCGAGACTCGACGCCTCTTCATTGATCACTTGCGTGACCTTCGAGAAATTTGCGACCAGTTCTTTCTTGCTCTTGAGGATTTCTTACACAAGATGCCATATGGTCTTCGATTTATCTGCAACCAAATTTTCGAGAACCTCCGACAACAATTCAAGCGAGAGCCTCCAGAGAACCTGCTGCAAGTAGTTGCCAATTGGCTTTGGCGATTCTACTTGCAACCAGCAGTTATTTCTCCTGAGAACGTCGGTGTGATCGAGAAGTCGCTTAGCCCTCTTCAAAAACGAAACCTCAGCGAGGTTGCCAAGGTCATTAGTCAAATTGCCTCTGGACGACCTTTCGGAGGTGAGAACGTGTACTTGCAGCCATTGAATGCCTTTGTTGCCGAGTCCGTCGAGCGTCTCCTTCAAATCACTGGCGACCTGATTGCGGTGCCCGATGCTGAAAGAACATTCGACATTGACGAGTTCAACGACCTCTACGCCAAGAACAAGCCAACTCTGTACATCAAGATGACAGATGTCTTCTCCATTCACAATCTGGTTGCCGCTGAGCTTCAGACAATGTGCCCTAACCGTGACGATGTCCTGCGGGAAATCATGCACGATCTTGGAAGTGCTAAGAGCAACGAGAACGAGATGAACGCTGCCGGCTCTTCAGATATTCACATGTTCTTGACGCCCAAACTCCACGAGACCGATGATCCTGAGGCTGATGTCAAGGCGCTCTTCATGGAGACAAAGCGTTGCGTGCTGTACATTATCCGTGTACAGACCGGCGCCAACCTTCTAGAAATTCTTGTCAAGCCTATCTCTCCAGAAGACGACCACAAGTGGCGTATGCTTCTTCATGACGAGTTCTCTGTTGGGAGCAACACTCGCGGTGCTTACTCCGATGCTAATATGATCGACGTAACACGCATGTCGTACCAGGAACTCAAGCGCACAGCCCTAGAGAACATCATGCGTCTTGAGAAGCTGGGTCGTATCACTAAGCACAACTACTACCAGGACGTGCTGAATGCCATTGCCCTTGATATTCGCACCAAGAGCCGCAGAAGGGTTCAGCGACAGCGAGAATTGGATGGTGTTCGTATGACATTGAGTAACTTGCACGAGAAGGCCAAGTATCTTGAGCAACAACGCAAGAGTTACGATGACTACATCGAGTCAGCGATGGCAACTCTGCAGAACAAGAAGGGGTAAGTTATATTTCCACGCCCACAGTATTACAATGACTAACCGTTTCAACAGCCGCAAGAAGTTCTTACTCCCCTTCACCAAGCAATACAACCACCAGCGTGAACTGGAGCGCAGTGGCCGTGTCCCTAAATTCGGCAGCTACAAGTACAGCGCTCGTGCTCTTTCAGAAAAGGGTGTGCTTGTCTCATGGAGTGGCATCAACGACTTTGAGAAGATCAACTTGACCATCTCATGTGATGAAGTTGGTGTTTTCAGCCTTGAGGGCTCGCGAGGACACATCCAGATCCCTGGAGCTAGTGCTTTGGTGCCCATTGAGGACCTTCTGCAGGCACAGTTCGAGGCTCACCAATTCATGACTTTGTTCGAGGGTAACCTCAAGCTCAATGTTAATCTGCTGCTGCATCTCCTTTACAAGAAGTTCTACCGAACTCAGTAAAAGGCAGGGTCGCAATGTATACTTCGACGGGCTGACCCCTGGAGGGAAGGTCCAAAAACCACTTTCGAAAAGGAGATATATGACAGACGATACCTATGTTCCAAGGAAGAAGGGGGAATACTGGATGAGCATTGCAAACGGCGCGATTGGGAAAGGGGTTTTTCGTGTGACAATAGGTGTTTTTAAGGCTGCTTTGTGTTGGGAGACTCGTTGCAAGGCACAGGGTGCACCATCAACGACGGTAAAATATGGCAATTCATGACGGAATACCAGGGCATTGGGAGTGAAAGTAAAGGAAGGGGGGTTGCTATTTTTGCATTGTGCTTTTACTGCGGCTTCATGAACGTTGATGAGCGAGCAGATGAGCTTGGTGCGATGACTGAATTGTTAGGATATCAGTTTGATTGGCATAACGTTATGAAATGTCATTGAAGTTTAAGTTTTATATCATCTATGTATTGTAATACCCGGAAATAGTATATGACGAGTTCCAACGAGTTTCAGATAAAACGTATTGGTGTTCGCTTCAAGTCCTCGTGATCCTAGAGTTGTCGGCACATAACAAAAGAGTTGTGTCCTCGAGAGAAGAGGTTGTCGGTAATCGGTTATCGGGGAGGCTAAGCCATGATTGGTCAGCTAACATTGGTTCCACGAATACTTGCGCAAAAGACCAGCCAGAACTTGGTGGAGAAGCGTGCAGACTAACAGGGAGGGTCTGCTTGAGTCGAGGCCAACGAAATCTGAAGCCAATCTGATAGGCAGCGTGTTCGGAATTTGACTTATTAGGTCGACTTATTAGGCAGCAGATAAAATTACTAGGGGATAGATGAATGAGGCGAAGGTGAGAAGGATCCGGCGTTGCATCAGGGTCCAGACACAGTATGGCCACGCTAAGTGTACAGAACACCAAGAATGAAATTGGCTTGTTAGTGGTGGTCGCGTGAGCAATGGTCGTAATTGCCGAGCAGCGACCACGACCCAGGGATACTCATGAGCGGTAAGGGTTGAGTGCAGTTGGCGGCCGATTAGTCAAAGCAAAGAAAGATAAGCACGACTTCGGTCAAGGTTTCAGGACAAGCACAACTGATAAGTTGGCAAGGATACGAGTGCTACAGTCATTACCGCCGGTAGTGAGAGACATTGATCAACGTCAAACTCTTGGCACAATAATGGATTGGACAGACCAGATCTAAACTCCGGTTGAGCGCATTGCGAGGAACGTGTAACAAGGTATTAAGCGAAGAACTCAATTTGTCCTTGTTTAAGTCTGGTATTCGTCCGTAGGCTTGCTCTCCCGGGACCCGGTTGAAAGCGTGGGCGAGCTGGGTACGACGATTTGGCGTGGTTCATCAGGCAGTTAGTTACTTTGACTGACTAGCAATCAATGCGACCGAATAGGAACGTGACCAAGTGTTAAGCTCGCATGCATGGCAGGCAGATAATGAGTTGTTCTGGTGTTGTGCGACACGGCATGTTTCGTCTTCGAATTATTGATGGTGTGTTGATGGGCTGTGTGCTGTGTCCAGCCGCAACATGTACGTAAGGTGAAGATCCGCAATCTTGTGAACTTTGCCAAAGCCTCAACTTTCTTTAAAAAGTTGCAAGTTTGACACAGCCCAGAGCATAGAGATCGAGAAAAATAAATTGTTAAACCCGATTCAAAAGCAAAAAGTAAATAAGCCCGATTGATCCGGGGTATCATTTAAGGATTGCAAAGTTGGAGAAACAGGCGATTGCTCCGTATTTCAATGTCGACATCGATAGTGTAAAAGAGGTGATTGTCTGCTCACCCGGCCATTCCAATCAATTGACTTCAGAGGGGCCGAAGGTCGTAGGACTTGGTCTTGTTGTCGCCGAATTGCAGAAAAGGTTTGGCGACCCCAGATTGCACCATTGCAAGCTGACAAGGCGTTATGACGCTAAAGGCGAGACGTTTGGTGTGTACCAAGTAGGCGCTTACGCTGGCCTCGGTGCATATTCATATAACCTCGAGAAAAACAGTCGAGTTGTCATGGAAAATTGTGCTTAGGGTAACTGATGGCTCGAAATTTCTTTATTGCTTCATCTGTTGTGTTTTTGCGCTTCTTGCTTCTTCCCATCGACCTGGCAAGACATGTGTGATCGGATGGATAGCTTCGGAAGCTCAAGGGAGAAGAGAATACGAAGTGCGTGTCAGAACAAGAGCGGACAGTTCGGATGCGTACAGTCGCAGGACGTGGCGGACGACGGAATGGCGACCTGATGAATGCAACAGGAGGGGATTGTCATCTTGTGGATCGCGTGAGGGTTGTGAATCTTACCTATACAGTAGTTTGACACGGTGTGTTGGGGGTGAGATCTGGTAGAGAATACAGTGTCGTGTAGGATATCCATGCACCGTATAGACAATTCTTGGAGGTTGGATCTTTCAAGGCTTCAGAGGTGAGAAGAAGTGCAGATAAAGGATGCAGGGACCGGTTAATGGCGTAAGAAGGTCCGTGCGTCGTCAAACCCCGAAGATGGTGCTGCTTTGTTCAACAATCTTGACACTCACCAAAGCCAAGCCCGATTGCTCAAAGATGGTGGTGGGATGGACAAGAAGGGAGGGCGAGCCAGCCGCTTGCATGTCGCATGTCGCATGTTGCATCGTGCATCGTCAGGTTTGCACGAAACGGGGGACGACGGCATAAAAGCTTCAAAAGACGCATGTGGGGGAAGACTATGCGTGTTGAAGCTGATGCATCGCGACGAGGTTTATAAATCGAAACGCCAAGATGGTGGCCAACGGGAATCGCGATCCATGTGATGCCTTGGGATGCGTGGCCACTGTTGTGGTTGTCGATAGAGGTGGATTCTCATCTAGATGGCAACGTAGCATTTGTTCATGACTGACGAGTCGCACTCGGAAGCATCATCTTGGGAGACTTTGTTTTTTTGAGGCTGATAATGCGGTAGAACTTCTATTTGCTCAATCACCACATCAGCTTTAAGAGTCAAATCTCGTACTGTCTCCTGGCTGGACAGGGTCAAGACAGGTCGACAGTTGTCCAAATACCCATCTTCCGATACATGGTATTCTCAAAATTAAGGTCATGGTCATGGTCATGGTTTCGTAGGAGAGGAATGATGCATGATGATGATGCATCTCGTTTTATGGTGGAACAGACCTGACTTGGGTTTTGAACTTTGAAAGCGCTTGTGCTGTGAATGATAAATGATGGATGAATGATAAAACCAAGACCCGACCTACGGGAGAGACTCGGCCGGGGTAAATCTAGAGCTGTCAATCTTTGCGGGCTTGACCAGGGAAGGTTGGACACGGAAGTCATGGACCAATGGTGGTTGGCTCCTGACCGAATCGAGTAGTCGCTTGGGACCCCTGCGCAACCAAGAAGGTGAAGGCGCAACCCACGGCGCCTTCCTTGTACTTGCATAAAGTAACTTAGTAGGCAGGTGCAAGTGAAAGTGCAAGTGCAGGACTGTGGGCAGGTGCAGACGCAGACGCAGACCCAACTTAAGGAAGGAATCCTCCTTGTCTGCTTGTGTTTGAGCTACTGGCCCAGACGGGCTGATAGTTCACAGACTAACAAACACCTTATCTCTTGGATAAAGTCATCTGATTCGATTTCCTACAACGTCAGAAGAGATAATCTGGTACCTAACTAACTGCTAAGTTATTAATGTGGAACGTGATTCTCGGAGCTGCATGACTCTGATTCCAGGCTGGGTGTTGCGGAAATATGCACTATCTGTGCCGGTCTCTTAGTGGGATTGGCCAAAGAGGTCATTGAAGACGGATATCTACATACCGCCGTATTTCAAAGGCAAGGCAATTGGAAACGAGAAGAAGAAACAAGGGTCGTAAGAGTGAGCATGTGATTATGATTATCATTTTGAGAATGCCTCCTTGGTTCATGAGCGATGAATAAAATTGGTGGTGTATTAGCCAGACATTTACTGATTGTTCTACTACGGAGAGACACAGTTCAGATTCCACAAGCACAAGAGCCAGCACAAAAAAGGTTATATAACAACAACGTGTGCGTTGCGTGTGTTGATCTTAGCCCCCGTGACTCAATTCCTCCTGAGAAGTCCAACGTGAGTTTCGTTTGCTTCGTTCGAGGTTGGCCTCAAGAATGAGGACAAGATCGGTTTGTTGCATACATACTGTACTAGCCTAGCCGCTAGCGTTAGTGTTAGTGTCTGTGTTAGTGGCTGGCTGCTTTTTCCCCCATGTTCTCGAACAAGTTGAGATACACGCCCCCCCTGAAGACAAGATTCTCGGGTCAAGGCATCTTTGACATGGCTTATTGGAATAACCCCTGGCTACTACCGCAGAGACAGGCTACGCACCCCTACTAGCATCTAGGCTAAGCTCCTGTGGACCTGCGGCCAAGCCTAAGCCCAAAGCTCACCTCATAAAAGAAGGGTTGCGTTTAGAGACACCCCAACTGGACACTGAATTGTCTATCTTTTTACTTCTGTTCGCCTCCATCTAAGGAGAAAGATAGTTCATACAGAATATGACAAGCCATTGTATCCACGTCACCGTTGATTGCAAAAATTGTGGCGTTTATCACCTCACCGGTTGCTTTCCCTCTTTTGGCCCTCCTAGTCGGAGAGTTCGCTGATTAACTTGCCTCAGCTTCATATTTCTTACCGACTCGCCCTCGTGCAGATCAACTTATTCTCCATCTTCATCCACTCTGATCCTTGCCTTGAATGTTTCTCTTGGCACCAAAAGCCCCTGCTTGAGTCTATCTATCTGTTCTGCTCTGTCTGTGTGTCTTTATGCTTATACCCAACTACTGCGTACACCATCCATCCATTCATACATACATACGCCCATTACCGCTGCATCAATCATTTGGATCGTCAAATCTGAATCACAACCCTAACAGGGATCCCACGAGACAAGGCGGGACAACAGACTAAACTCCGCATCACGAGACGTTAGGTTGTGGTTCGCTCCAAGCAGTGACTCGGCTTCCATATCCCAAGCCTCTGCAGGCCCTTCCGTTCCCACTTGGCCTGGCAACAGAAGTATTTATATAAGCCACTTGCTCCTCTACTTGTTCTCGACTGAAATCTATCTTCACTAAACAATCTTCCCTCTCAAACACTTCTCTAGATACCCATCTCAGTGTTTGAACTTGTTCATTACAACTGCCTAAACAAAGCAGCAGATCTCATCAATACTATACTATACATAACCTCTACCTATCTTAAATCTTTTACTCAAACAAGTCACAATGGCTCCTGATCTCAACTCTCTCCCACCTTCCCACGGGGAGACCTCTACCACTCCTGCTCCTCAGCTCACTTCAGAGACGGACAGGCCCAACATTCTCTTCATCATGGCTGATCAACTGGCTGCTCCTCAACTCAAGATGTACAACCCCAAGTCCCAGATTAAGACACCAAACCTCGACCGTCTTGCTTCAACAGCAGTCCAGTTCGACTCGGCCTACTGCCCTTCACCCCTCTGTGCCCCTTCACGTATGAGTCTGATCAGTGGCCAGCTGCCCATGAAGATCGGTGCTTACGACAATGCTGCCCAGATTGGCTCTGATGTGCCAACCTATGCCCATTACCTACGCTCCAAGGGCTACCACACATCCCTTGCTGGTAAGATGCACTTCATTGGCGATCAACTTCACGGTTACGAGCAACGACTCACTAGCGACATCTACCCTGGCGACTTTGGCTGGGCTGTGAACTGGGATGAACCTGACACCCGCCTTGAGTGGTACCACAATGCCAGCTCTATTCTTCAGGCTGGCCCCTGTGGACGAAGCAACCAGTTGGATTACGACGAGGAGGTCATGTTCAAGAGTACTCAGTACCTTTGGGACCACGTTCGAGAGGGCCCTAACAAGCGACCTTTCGCCTTGACTGTCTCACTCACTCACCCCCACGACCCTTACACCATTACCAAGAAGTACTGGAACTTGTACGAGGATGTGGACATCGACCTGCCCGAGGTCAAGATGAACAAGGAAGACCTCGACGCTCATAGCCAACGTCTTCTGAAAGTTTGTGATCTTTGGGACCAGGACTTTACTGAGGAACAGATCAAGCGAGCCAAGCGAGCGTACTATGGCTCAGTCAGCTATGTTGATGACTGCATTGGCCGTCTTCTCGAGACACTGGAGGATGCTGGCCTGGCCGAGAACACCATTGTCATCTTCAGCGGCGATCATGGCGACATGTTAGGCGAGCGAGGACTCTGGTACAAGATGAGCTACTTCGAGTCATCTGTCCGTGTCCCTATGTTGATCAACTACCCCAAGCGATTCACTCCTCACCGCGTCACCCAAAACGTCTCGACTCTTGATCTTCTACCTACCATTTGTGATCTGGTTGGCACCAAGCCATCACCATACCTCCCGATGGACGGTATCAGCATGCTGCCTCACCTTGAAGGCCGTGAGGGTCACGATACTGTTATCGCTGAATACACTGGTGAGGGTACTGTTCGCCCTATGATGATGATTCGACGAGGCGACTGGAAGTACATCACATGTCCAGCCGATGAGCCTCAGCTTTACAACCTCGCCCGCGATCCTAAGGAGCTGGACAATCTTGCCCGATTCAGAAAGATTGCACCTCAGACGCCTGAAGAGGAGGAGGCCAAGGAGACTTTCCATAAGTTCGAGGCTGAGGCACATGAGCGATGGGACTTTGACGCCATCACCGAGAAAGTCATCCTTTCTCAGCGTACACGCCGAGTTGTCTGGGATGCCCTGAAGGAGGGCGAGTTCACAAGCTGGGACCACAACCCCGATGACGATGGCAGAAAGAAGTAAGTTGATATCTCCCCTCGGTTGAGTGTATTCGTTATGCTCGACCAGCCACGTCATTATTAAGTTCAAAACATACTAACGCCATCACCTCAGGTACATCCGTTCTTATATGGATCTTGACGATCTTGAGCGCCGAGCTCGCTACCCAGCCGTCGATGCCCATGGATACGAGAGCAAAGCTGTATCGCACGTCCGCGCTGGCTAGGAGTATGCTTACTGAAAGCTTTATGAGACATGACAGAAAGACTTGTTTTATTGGTTGATGGTTTTGCTTTAGCGGTTATCCTTGATGTGCAATTGCACTTCACATTCAACATTGAATTTCGACATTTTCCTTTGCATCAAGCATAGCCAGCTAGGTATGGGGTTTTATTATTTGATAGGGAAAAGCTTTGAAGTCTTTATCAGGTAGTTTAAATTGAGACAAACACAATAAATTGTAATACACCTTGCTAGAGCAAAGTGAGCCAGCCTGTGCATTCAATCTGCCTAGTCTATGACTTACAGTGAAGACCACCTTAATGACAGCCACGCTTTACTTTCCATAATACAGCATCTGAAACATGTGTTAATTTAGTGCTGGTCTTCTCGCTGAATACTCTATTACTGCGTTCTGTTCCCAAAACTCCCGGTCTCATCGTCCCAATTACGGTTAGCCACCGCTCATCAATATCAGAAAGTCCAATGTCAATTCCCATCATCGACAACACAAATTGCGCCATTTCGGGATTGTCATCCTCCGGGCCTGAAGCGGTCGATCGCCCTTGTTTTGCAGGACCGTCGGTGCGGCGTGTAAGATCTTGCTACGCAAGCGCAGATTGTGTGATTTTGGCGTTGATGTCGCTATAAGACCCATGACGTTTGAGACCTAGAATCCGGGGTGAGTGGAGAGAAAAACAGGCCCGCTCAGGGTCTAGGGAACTTAACTAGGCGTGTTCTAGAGGGTGTTGATAGAAGGGAAGATTTCTGCCTGGTTTGTATTGGTATTCTTGTATCAGGTGTTGAGGTGGGAAGCTATCATAGGTATGCTCATGAGGTTACCACTGTATCAACACTATCTCGGATTGACTTTGTTGACGATTTGATAGATAATTTCTATTAAGCAGCTTTATCAATTAACACATTACGCATACTATAAATATATTTATTCTTAAAGATAAAATGTTATGCTTTTGGCAATTTAGCACTCAAGCTGTACCTACCCGACACCAGTCTCAGTCTGAGTATCGCACGCGGTGACGCGCTTTAATTTGAAGCTCTAAAATGCCCCGCGCTACAGCCAAATTTCCTTCATCCAAACAATTAATCAACAGGCGTTCAAAGAGACTTGTATCCTCTACACAAGAAACATTCTTTGGTGCATTTTATTGCATCGCTATCAAACAACCAAATATATCCAATTGCTCACAGACTCGACGCTCGGCATTGCGCTCCCTACACCAGTACTACCATCATGGCCACTCTCAATCTGGAAGACGACGAGCTCAAGGCTCTTGAACAGACGTTGAGCAAGATAGCGCAACTATCTAGTAGCATACAGAGCTTGAGACAGGATCTCCTCAAGAGCAATCTTCTACCACCGCCGTACGTTGCCCCTCACCGCATATGCGCGAGCAAGTTGCGGTAGCTAACATCTTCCCTCAGAAAATCAATCCAAGCATCCGCAAAAATTCTACAAAAGAACCTTAGATCGCTTCTTGAAAGCACAACCGAAAATGCAGACCTCTTCAACCGCATGGCCATCCATCCCTCGACCAACTATCCCGGCCGCGTCCAAGAAAACGTCCTCCTTCAGCTTCTCCGTAAAAAGCTCGAGCCCGATGTCGAAGAGCTCGTCAGCCAAGGTCTCGAAACCGCCCGTCTCGCCACGCCAGCTGGTCTGGAATCGCTAGAAAACATATGGAAGGAGCTGCGATCCTGGCTTACGGATCGCGTGGGTCACTTCGCTGCCAATGAGAACAACGATCCTTACACGGCAGAGGAGCGCGTGAACGGAACCGAGAACGTGCGCACGGGTCTACGGAAGGGCATCGAGGACGGTGACGACGACGACGACGACGAAGACGAGGAGGAGGAGGACGAAGATGAGGAAGAGCAGGAACCCGCCGCGGCACCAGCGCAAGTGAGAGGACCGGAACCAGAGACATTGCTTTGGTTTGCGGCAAGAGGAGACTTTGAGGTCCCGCGTAATGTCGAGTACGAGCGCAAGGAGGAACCATACAAGGGAATCTATGTCTACAAAGGTCTTCAGGGCGTTGGTGTACCGCCTACTGCCCAGGTGGCGCCACCGCAGGCGCAGCAGGACTTTGTTCCCTCATAGGAGCAGTCTATTCACGATAACATAGAGCGTTTGATGCGTTGTTACGTTAATGCTAGGCTGTTTGGGACAACGGCGTTTGGAAGAGATGGCAGTGAGTGGTTCGGTATCGATACCCAGACGGTTGTGAGGTAAGCTGACGACTGGTCAGTGTCTGCGATGGTATAAGCAGTAATTTATTTTCAGTCGAAGAATTGATATGACTCGTGATGCCTGTCGAGTTTGTTGATCAGAAGTGACTGATTCAATTCGTCTGTTCGGGTTTATCGCAATGTTATTCCTTGCAACAAGTTATACCCGACTTATATAAAATCGAATGGGCCCATCGTGATATAGCTGCACCGCAAAATCGAACAACAAGAGAGCGACATCAATTGGCATTCTCAGCTTAGAAGATCTTCACTTGTCGTCGATCTCTTTTAACTTGTTTGTCTCTGCCAAGGCCGATAAGCTGACCGGAGATCGGTCGCGGCCGCTACGTGCCGCCATCTTGAAGACGATTCGTCGTCATTGCTCTTCCAATGTCGTCACTCAAGCGTCCATGGCGCGCCAAAAGCTCCTCATTCCCCGCGTTTTGACAGCACATGCCATGATATTAACCTAGCGCTCACGAGACGAGACGGGACGGGACAGAGGCATGCGGGGGGTTGCAGAAAATAACGCGACAGGGGAAGCCGGTGATGCTGCATCGGCTATTCTGGCGGTATCCAAGACAGGTTACATGACAGGTTACTACTTATACAACCTTGGAACTGGAGCTTGTCTTTGAGCTTGGTACCTTTTCTTTCCCTTTCATCATACAAACCCATTCAATTCTTTACTGTTTACTCAGTAAGTGATTCATAATGATATCTTCATATCATTTATGCTGCCATGGCGCTGGCATGCAACCAACTGCATATAATCACATCTCACAATCTCAATCCTTGGCGCCACATATGGACCTTCTCCCGAACGATGAAGCGATCCCACGCACGATGCCAGACTCGATGCTCGTGAAACCCGACAATAAAGTCAATCTTCTGACGTTGCCCCTTGAGATTCGACTTCATATATATCATTGGCTTCATCTCATGTGCCCAGTTCGCCACGCGCAGCTTGCACCATGGTATCCAACTCCAGTCCACTGTCAATACATCCTCAAGCCAGTTGAGCCAGAGACTTCATCCGAGAACGCCACATCGAAACAAGCAGACCAAGGACTACTGTCATCGCATCGTCCTCTCTCAGGTCTTCCTACGTATCTTCTACAAACCTGCCACCAAATTTATCGCGAAGCTCGTCTCGTGCCCTTTGAACAGAATGAGTTTGTCTTTGTGAACTGGTTTGCTTCAGGGCTATGGGCAGCTCGCGCATTCACTCGATCTCTCACCCCATGGCAGCGCGCTACCCTACGCTACGTAAGACTAGAAGTTCTTGCACGAGATGTGGTAGTTGGAGGCGCAGGTCGCGAGGAGTGGCGCACACTGTGCAGAGAATGGTCAACGGGTGTCCGAGGGCTACGAATGAAAATGGTTCTCGGGGCGAGCACCTCCGTAGTTACGGGGCCGGCCTACGGAGGCGGAGTGGAGCGCAGAGCGGAGGCGGCGCGGCAATGGGTCGGCGAAGGACTCGTTTTTATGACAAGACTTGAGAGGATTGAGATGGAAGTTGTGGCGAGGGAGATGAGCGATTGGGACAAAGTTACGTGGTGCGAGACGCTACAGAAAGAGTTGAGAGAGGGAGGGCTGGACAGAGTTGTGGTTGTTTGTACTGAAAAGGTGCAGGAGAAGATGGAGTGGATTAAGAGTGATGTTGGATGGAAGAATCGTGAGTTTGATGTGGCTACTGCGGATTCTGCTACGGACAGCTCTACAGTAGTTCCTACGAAGCAGAGATGAGGGTTCTATGTATTACGAAGGTATGATATGGGTTTCTTTTCTTACAAGCATGGGCTAAGGTTGATATTTTGCTTGAGCATTTACATGACACGGCATGTTATGGGCGTATGTCTGTATTCTCTGTATCCTTCTTAAGATGAACGAAATAACTATGATGAAATTGGATACGAATCATGGTAGTATGGACAATTGGAGAGACGGTATCTTCAAAGGCTGCCTTATTTGGTGTTGATATCTCACCTCCATTAACAGACATGGTTACTGATCAACCATACATGTAACACCAAGGCTATTGAAGGCATATTCATGCATTATAGCCGAGGATACCCATAACCCTGAACAATAGTAAACTGACGACCAATTCAAATAGGTAATGATGTTCTATGATAAGAAAACGACTGAACTTATATCTCAGACTACCTATGTAAGCATCGGGATAATGAAAGCGCCATGTGACTTCGCGCGACTCTCGCCAAGCTGTGCCGCATGAGTCACGTCGAACGCGGAGTCAAGTTCAAGTCAATTTAGCCTCTTTCTATCTTTCTCTCTAGCGATAACGGGGAGCGTGTTAGTAATACTTGACATTGTTTCTCGTATAAGTGTCAAATTTCGCAGCCTGATTGCCTTGTTGTTGTTGAACAGCAACAGTAACAGTGTGTTTACTCAATTGGTGATTGATTATTCAACCCCACCTCCACAAACAACCTCCACCTGGGGTTAAAGGCTGAATTGATACGATACGCAGCTTACAAACAACGACAACTTCAAGACAGAAACTCGTTTGAGTCTCTATTCGCAATCATGGAGGCCAGATGTCAATGCGGTTCTGTGACTTTCAAAACTCCCCTGCCTCAGCCTCTTGCTCTCTACATCTGTCACTGCGATGCTTGTAGACGACAAACAGGCTCGGCATTTGGCACTTCTGCCATCTTTCCGAGGTTTGAACTGCCTGATTCGGATCTTTTGAGTGTCTACAGGTGAGAGATTGGCTTCTAGAACAAAGGGATAGCTAGACACTGACATGTGATGGTGGTAGTCGACCTACAGCGTCAGGGCATCAACTCTACTGGTATGGATCCCTTACCTAATGTTTCAATCTGAATCGGCGCTTACTATTACCCAAATAGTTACTTCTGTCGCAAATGCGGAACTCGTCTCATCCATTCAACTCCTGTAGGTGACACTCGTACCCTCTTACACTTGAGCGAAACTGACTCACCATCTCCAGTCCAAAAACGTCATATCCGTCAAGGGAGGCTGCCTCGACGGTCTGGACTGGAAACGTGCGGTACACATCTGGACAAAGACCGCAATGGTTCCTATCCCCGAGGGTTCTGAAACCCACTCGGAGGAGTCAGGATATACCGACTACGGGTCTACCCAGGAAGAGCTGGATCAGCCTGGAGATTTGGTAGGAAGCGCTGGTTGCAACGTGCCTCCTAGCCAAAGGCCTTCTGCGAGTTCTGTTGAGGTGAATGGGGATCTCAACTAAGCGGGAGTTTATCAGTTGATGCATTAGTGACCATGAGTTTAGCTGTTTGGAATGGGGTAATGTCTGCATCTGAGGAGTTATATCACGGGGAATTAGGCGCAATATACGACCAGGTACTGACTGTAGAATGAAAATGACTGATGGATTGTGGCTTTTTTGAAACAATTTTCCAGAATTGTGACAGACGAGTGGATTTTTCGGGGATTGAAACTGTTGTTTCTATGTTTCTTGAAGTTTTGACCTGACCTATTTTCTGGGACAGATAGTAGTCATGAGATCATATTCGCGATTGTGATCAGACTGTAATAGTCACTTAGCTTTGACCCGAATGCTTTGACATTTTGTAACGGTTAATGACGTGCTGAATCTAGATAACAACCACCCCTGTATATCTTGCTGCCGTTAGATTACATGTGTACTACGTATTCGATGTCAAGTCCAAGTGTCTTCTAGACTCAGCCTTATTCTTCAAATCATTAAACTATCATCAACTCGAAACAGTGACAGTCAACTAATTAAATTTTCGCCTACAATAAAATGAGCATTGCTAGGAGAGTCTTTCTTTGTCCTTGGCGCCTCGGCCGAGACACTCAAAGGAGCGGAGTCGGCCCCTCCCGAAACCTCGGATGAACAAGGGGTGCTTCAGATACGTCTCGCTATTGACGGAGAATTCTGGGCGTCTTTTTTACCCCCTGGCTAATTGTTAACTTGGTGGTCTTTTTTTCTTTCGATTTCAATGCCATCATTTAACGGAATAGCCCGATTGTGATTGTGCCTCTCTGGTCGCCAAGATGGCCCTGTGGTCCTGTGATTTATGTACAGTGACAGTGAGTATCAACTCAACAGCGCTTATCAACATGGCATGACATGACATGACATGGCATTTGTTAGTGAGTTCTGCCAAGTCCTGTCAAACGGTGGTGGCCATATTAGCTTTTCTAGTCAGACCCATCATGGACAGGCACAGACTCTGGCAAAGCTCAGGCACCGCCAAGCTCAAGCCTCAAGGATGAGAGTATATCGAGACTGAAGTGAATCTGCCAAGTTGCTGATTGCTGACCGGAAAGCTTCTTATATATATTCCCGATCAATAAAGTTATTGACTAGCAAGGCTTCTTGTCGATCACAAACCCAGTCAGTAACTGCTGAAGATGCAGATACTACAGCATGTTGACTATGAATCTCTCTCAGGAACCCAAGTTCAACCCCTGAACCCTGTCTCCTGAGCTAAGTTTCTAGCTTCCTAGTTCATCCCCAAACTTGGGACCCCTAGCACATCCTAACCTCAATCGTCGCAGTCTCCGTTTGAGCCTCAGATTCTGGAATCAGAGTGCCACCAAAACAAGCCCCTGCCATGTCCAAACAGCTGTGCCTTGCATTACCTTGCCTGCCATGCCATGCCATGCTATGCTATACCATGTCAACGGTGAGGGCGGCGGCGCGGCAATGTTAGAGTCTCTGTAACCAAGAAACTAAACTAATTAGTATTATCATCCCATTCTCCTCCCCCTCTTCTCGTCCCTTCTCCTCTGATCTGATTCTGTTTCTACTGTGCGTTGTGTTTTTTGTTGTTTCTTTCTCGTCGTGACATCCAGTCAAGTCAAGTCATCAATCGCTCGCTCTTTATTGATTGACTTAGTTGTCACGGCTTCAGTTCTTGTTCTGCCCCGGGCAACCATTCATTACCAACTTGACCAATATTCCTTTGGTTTGGGCGCCTTTATTAATACGATCTCGGTACATAATCACCAACCGGATTATATATAATCTGTCGCTCATTCTTTACGAAATTGGAAAATAAAACTACTCACCAACGGCTGGACTGTTGTGTTGCACCGCTCTTTTTTTTACACCCGAATCGCGAATCAAAAATCGATATATTGGAGGAGAGAGAGCTTCCATAAAGCATCATGAAGTTCCTGCTTTGGCTTACCGCCGTCCATGTTGCGCAGGTGGGTTGACTCGAATGATACGGATAAACGATGAATGGCCAGTGTTAACTGGGAAATAGGCCGCGGGAAGACATGGGCGAATGAAGAAGAGACAGGCGATTGAGGCTGAAGTTGACGGAGCTGTCAATGCTGCCAAGTTTGAAGGGCAAGTCCATGAAGCTCACAGAACAGAGAGGGAGTCGACAATTGCTAACATGTCTCCAGACTGAGGCTGTCTTATATCACCGAGACCACCACCGAAAGAGTGACCGAGACACAAATCAGGACCATCTTGCAGACTCCTGCGGCTATAGCTCCTGCTGCCGCTGAAGCTGTTACTGTTACCATCAACGCCGAGCCTGTGACTGTCACCGAAACCAAGACCGAAGTTGTCAACCAAGTCGATACCCAATATGTCACTCAGGTCCAGGTCGAGACTCAATTCGTTACCCAGGTCGACGTGCAGATTGTTACCGAAGTGGCGCCACCACTTGTAAGTTTGTTTGACTCCGAGGAGTAGCCAAGTTCGTATACTGACTCGTTTTCAGCCCGCCGTTACTATCAAGGAGCCAATTACCGTCATCGAGGTTGAGCCTCTCACTATTCACAGTGTCATCACCGAGACGGTGAACATTCCTGGAGAAGCACCAGTAAGTTCTCGGTCTTTGTTTTGAATCTAAACTCTTGTGTTAACTCTCCAAAGCTTCCCGTCACTGTTACTGTTCCTGGCGAGGCACCCGCCGCCGTTACCGTGACCGTTCCAGGCGGAGGACCCGTATGTCATTAACCCCTGAAGACCAAAAGCCAAATACTGACACAAAGAAGGACGCCATCACTATTATCCACACCGTGGAGGCCCCCCAAGCTCCCAGCGCTCCTGTTGGACAAGCCCCTGGACCTGGCGTCACTACAATCCCGATTCCCGAGAGCGCCCTGCCCAAGACGACACTCGCATCAGACCCTTATGCTGTTACTGGACCCATCAGGACCGAGAGCATCACCCCTAAGCTCCCTACCAGTGCCCTCGATGCGCCCATTGCTGGGCCTTCCACCAGCCCGGCAGACCAACCCGTCGTACAGCCCGCTCCGGCACCCCCGACCAGCGCTGCCGAAGAGCCTGTAGCCCAGCCTTCCACCACTGCCATCGAGCAGCCCGTGGTACAGCCCTCTACCACGGCTGTCGAGCAGCCCGCGACTACTTCTGCCGAAGAGCCCGCTGCTGAGCCTACTTCCAGCCAAGCAGAGCCTTCCGCCGAACCAACCCCTACTCAGGAGGAACCCGAAGAGGAGAAGCCTACCATGTCTCCTTCGATGGAGCTCGGTAACATGGGACCTGACACCACAGGAGCTATCGCAGCACCTATCCTTGATGGAACCAGTCCCACGACAACAGGAAAGGCGCCTTCTCAGACACGAACTCCCGTCGATCTCTCCGATCCCTCGAAACTGAGCAGTGTTCTTGACTTGGGTAACTTGGGTGGAGGATCAGGACCCCTCAAGGCTCGTGCCACGGGTTCCCCATGAAGAACGGTGAAATGCGATTGAATTTGGTGGTGACATAGTAGAAGATGATGTTTAGACACAGACTCTGGGTTTCTTTCGAAGAGAAGAGCACTTGTGCTCGTAATATTGTAGCTAGTCTTATAATACATGTGAGCAAGTCTCCAGAGCATATCAAAGTTGTATTTTGCATCTGTCTATGGTATGGGTATCATGATGCAATGCTCTTGCACGTGAACGAGTCCGCATTTTGAACGCCAATCTTGAGTTCCTCATTTCTTCTCAGCTGCTGCGTTTCTTTGAGCTAGCTTCATCTTCTTGGCCTGTCGGTTGCTGATCTGTTGAGTATTCTCCTCGCCGTTCTTGCGCTTTTGATTCTGGTTCTGATTTTGACCCTTGTTTTTGTTCTTCTTTCCCGTCTCAATTCCTGTGCTCTTGCCATCCGCATTATCGTTTGAGCTCTTTTCTTGCTCGGCGACTTCAACGATGTTAATAACACCCCTGAAGCCGTTCCTCTTGATGCCCTCGTTCATCACAATAGAGCGCGGTATCTCACCAATACCTTGCATGCCTTTCTCGTTGCCCAGTCCCCATATGCTTAGCAGATTGACCACGTCCGCAGGCGCCCTTAGTGAAAGCGCATCCTTGGCTTCACTGCTGAGCATTATCCCTCTACCACGTGTTGCCCGGATGAGACTTTTGACGTTTGAGATGAAGTTTGCGCGCCCTCGGGAATCGGCCACTAGGGCTTGGCTGTAACAGACCTCAAAGCGAGTGCCCCGCGAAACAGCGGCCATGCACGGTTTCGGTTTGAAGTGGAAATCCAAGTGCTGGGTGAGGTCTACGGATATTATGGGTACGTCAAGCGTGAGGCAGGCGTTTTGAAAAGCCGTAGCCGTAAGCGGACGGACGGCGATGATGTCGTATATGGAAGTGAGGAATGGGATTCGGTAGTTATTGGAAGGATCTGAGAGGGGGAGAGTCGCGCGATGGAGGACATTTGGTAGTTTTGAGGTTGGCGATGATGGGATTGACGGGAATGGCGCGGTGAGGTTGTTCGGGAACGGCGGCGTGAGCGTATGGTTGAGAGCGACAGTGGAGTATCCGAGAGAGGATGAGAGCGTGAGGGTCTGTAGAAGCTTCTCCTCGGTCGTGGAGGGCGACCAGGCTATGTTGAGGTCGTAGAGCATGGTTGGTGATGTGGTTGGAGATCTGTTGAAATGTTTGCGCTACGGGCTAGCAGGACATCATATGCTCGATATTAGACGAGCTGAAGATGGGTGATTCGGCCTTGAGAGATTGTGATATGTTCGATGCCAATAGAGTCACTGCGCAGGTCTTGTGCTTGGTGTTGTGGTCGATGCGAAAAATGAAGCTGCGATGCTAAGTTGAAGCTGACTTTTTTTTCTGCCTGCTAAAGTTTCCCCACGAACCACCATGACGCAGAACTTTAAGCGCTATGAGCCTCAACTTAATACTATTCAATAGTGGGATTCCATAGAATATGTTAGAAATACTACCATTTCGAGTTTAGAATTAATATAGTTTAGACAGTATTTTTTTATACATCATAGAGTGTCGATAGAATGAGATCTGAGTTCTTGCATTGGATCTCAGGATCAACGCATCTGAATCTCAGGGCAGCTTGACAGCGGCATTGGCTCAGTCGTAAGAAGCTATGGTCCGTGCACCAGGAGCCTTCCACTAACAAAGTGCCCCTGCCGTAGGTCATCACTTTACTTTACTTCGTTTCGTTCTGTTCTTGTACCTGACAGCATCAATCCAATATCAAACTCATTTCGTTTGTAGCTATACGGGAATTTTCTTCTATTTATCAGTATTTATCAGCAACATACCTACTTAGTTAATCTCTTGAAGCACCAAGATATAGCTACAACTCGAATGTACTCACCTACAAACTGCGCCAACACCTGACCTGTGACCTCAACTTAAAGCTTGCCAAGAGCTGCGCCGCCTAATTAACGACGACGACGACGCGCCACTTCAACTCCCAACTCAACTCCCGGACCAGTCAGTGACGATCAAACTTGGCTTCAACACACAACATCGCACTCCACGAGATACCCGCGAACAACATATATATTGCATACATCACTCACCGTCCATAACCGTCTCAACCATCAACAATGTTCTTCTTTTTCGTGTGTGGTGAACACACTTTCCGCAAGGAAGTATCGGGCTATGAGGGCATGACATGCCAATGTCACCACTGTGGTAACATGGCCGCGCATGTCCAGAAGAGCAATCCTTGGTTCACATTCTGCTGGATTGTACGACTAGACTTCTCTGATTTCTTTTTTACCGTCCGCTAACAATTATCGTAGCCACTCATTCCGTTGTCCATCTCCGGCTACACCGATGTCGCATGCCGAATCTGTAACTTCCACCAACCGCTAGAGAACCGCCCCGATGTAAAGGCTATGGCGAACGGTGGAGGACGACCGCAACAGCAATGGGGACCTCCCCAAGGCCCGCCCCAAGGGCAGCAGCCTATGCGATACGGCTAAGACGAGTCACAGTCATCTGAGTCCCACAAGCGAGCAGTCCTTTGCGAACGCGTGGCAAACTTGCCCGCCATCGATACACTTGCAGGTGGGTCGAAGAAAAAGCGAGACTTAGCTAAGGGTATCATAAAGGTTAGAACAGTTTCCCCTAAGCTTAGTCCCTAAGCAAGTCTAAGTTATTTTGTCACTAGACCTCTGCGTCCTGGTTATTTTTCGGACCGCCTGACTTGATATTTTGACGCTGCGTATTTTCTTTTGGTTCTGTTTTCAATGTTATTCGCAGGAGGCAGTTAGGCAATACAGCCTGGTGTTAAGGCGAAATTGGGATACCACAGTGGGGATCGTGACTGGGTTGACTCTGGCTCTGACGGGCAATTTATTTCCGTGCCACTTGTGCCGAGCCTGTCAAGTCGCGGTTGCCTCGGCCTGACAATAATTAGGGTTGAAAAACGTATACAATTTCTGAAGACCGATGGGTCTGATTTGTGAAGTGTAGTCTTTTACTGGTGATGTACAAGTTTGATAAAACCGTAAGCCTCACTAAGTAGACAGACGGCTGCATTCTAAAGAAACTTGGGCAGTTAAGAAAAAGTACGACTTGTACTCAAGACCTATTATGGGTATGGACACAATAGAGAATTGGAGTTAAACTATATGCAGTGAATGGATTATTGCTATAATATCAGATACAGTGTTTCTGCTGCCTCGAAGAACACCTCTAAAGGATGGGATTGAGTTTGAACGGCTTGAGCCATACCGTTTTTGAGTGCTGTTGATTGGTGCCCACCACTCACCGTTTTCAAAATTGCTAAGTGAACCATTCTCCAAGGCAACGTCTAAGAGGCCAAGGTGCATTGGGAGAAGCTTCCTATTGTCCTGCTTCGTCTCCGAACTTGTGACAGCCAGTTTGCCCGTCTTTGATGTAGGTAGAATGCGAGAAACACTAGGGACAGAAACACTGCAGCCAAGTGAAACATTTTCCTACTGCTGCACGTCAAAAGTATTCCATGTTATCGTCTGGAAGCACACTACCCTGCAAATAGTCCTTAGCACGCGTTATTGACAAGGGATGAAAGTCCCGGTTGCGGGGCGCGCATTCACGGTTGGCAGCTACGATCTGCACCCTGGCCCGTGAAGGAGGGTCGTTGCCCAGCAACGTCGCCAAACACGGCCAAAGAAATAAGACCCTCGGCCAGAACAGAGACCTGAAATAAACAGATTCATCCATCCGTGCATGATGCTCCTGAAATAATTTCATTCCTTCTTCTTTATACTAACCATACAACACCACAGCGAAATCAGTCATGGATTCACCACCCAAGAGAATGACACGGGCCAGAGCCGCCGCTAAGGCCGGCGACTCCTCCGTGAAAACCACCAAAATTGTCACAGCTGCGGCACGGGCAAGGAGCACTGCGACTGCTGGCACAAAAAGCACAGCTGCTAAGAGAAAGACAAGAGCTGATGAGAATGATGAAGAGGAGGAGCAACGCGAAGTTGCTGTCAGAAGAACGCGCGGTCGACCACGAAAAGTTGAGGAACAAGAAGCTGAAGTTGAAGCACCTGCGAAGCCTACACGGGGTCGTATAGTGAAGAAGACAGCTACTGAAGCTCCCAAAACAACAACAACAACTGCTGCTGCCGCCGCCAAACCTACACGAGGAAGGCCCAGGAAGGTAGTGGCTGCGGCTCCTGCCGAGGAGACTGCGCCAGCCCCTGTTAAGAAGACTACTGCAACAACACGCACCCGTACCATAGCATCAACGACCACGACAAAACCCACAACAGCGGCCAAGGTTGCCCCCAAGAAGTCCGTCAAGTTTCAAGAGCCCGACAAGGAGAACATTGAGCCTGCGGTTGAGGCGAAGGAACCTGCGCGGCCAGGAATCAGAGGCCGACCAGCCAAGCGTGGAGGAGCAGCTGGAAGTCGAACAACCAGAGCGGCGGTAAGATCCGCTGAGCCGACAGACAATAAACCATTAAGTCCTAAGAAGATTACCCAGATACCTGTCTCGAAGGACGACGAATCCGAGGATGAACTTGCCGGTGACAACCCACCTGTTAAACCCATGATGAAGAGCCCGATCAAGCCCCCTTCCAACACTATCAAGCCCCAGCCAGAGCATATCGAAGAACCTGCCGAGTCAACAGATGGTGCTGAGAGTATCATCAACCCTCCAAGCCTTGGTGCACCCGTGTTGAGGTCCCCCGCCAAGAGACAACCTGCTTCGCCGAACAAGGACAGCCTGAGATCACCAGCTCGTCGTATTGGTGCTGTCCCTCTGCCTGGATCGACTATGAAGAACTCTCAGGAAAGCGATGCTCAGACCGGAGACGGACATTCTTTCAAGAACTCCCTACTTTTGTCTGCAGCTAAGCGACCACAGTCACCCATCAAGGGCTTAAACTTCGCGGCACCTCTGCAGCCACAACAATCACAATCGGCGATGAAGGCTTCTTTGCTCCTTTCACCGCCCAAGCGAGCTATGCCTGCGCTGAAGCCCGTCACAGAGCCTCGAACCAGAGATGCCGCTGCCCTCGGTGAGCCACCGATCATGAAGCCTCTGGTTCTGGGTACCCGTTCTCGTGCTGCTTCCACACGACCTTCTGATAAGCTCATGTCGGAGGAACAAGCCGAGCTGGATCTTGACGGTGTTGAGGAGGACGTATTCAACGAGCCTATCGAGAATCTGGAGTTCCCCGGTCGCCTATCTGCCGTCCTTCCTCGTCACGCCGATCCTGCCTGGAAGAAGGACATGGGCATCGTTGACGAGGCTGGTGAGGAGGTTGCTACATTAGATGAGCCCCAAGCGGAGGAGGAGAATGTCCAAGATGTCCAGGAGGCTGAAGAAGAAGCTGCTGTTGTCGAACCGGAGCCAATTACAGAAGCGGCCGATCTTACCGAGGAGGAGGAGGATAGTATGGTTGTCGACGAGGAGGACGCTGATGAAGAAATCGCTGAGGAGAAGGCTGTCGAGGCGGATGTTGCTCCCCAAGAGACCGAACCTGAAAGCTCGACCTCGACTCAGTCTCCCGTACAGGAACAGAACCCTATGTTTCAGCTAAGAGAGAGGGACTTGGAACCTCAGGACATGGACTCGGAATCAGATGATGAGAGCGATGCTCCCGCCAAAGCAGCACCCGTGACCCCAACCCCATTTGTTCGCAAGACACCCAAGACCTCTCGAGCCTCTATGGGTGGCTTTAGTGCTCTTGCTGATCGCCTGGGTTCTTGGAAGGCCAGCACCCCCATCAAAATGGCCCCTCTTAATTCTGGGAAGAACAAAACCAGTGCACTCCCCGAGCGTGTTGTTACACCTCAATCCGAGTCCTCGCCAGTTTCAACGCACTTCTTTGACGACGAGATGACCGTGCGAGCAGGCATGGGAGATTTGCAAGCGGACAAGACTGCAGAGATCGTGGAGCCCGACTTCGACGACATGGATGTGACGGAGGAGGATGTTGAGCTGGCGCAGGAGGCCAATGAGATGTCCCTGATGGAGCCTGATGTCCTTGAGGAGGTTGTCAACACCGAGGCTTTCGATGATACCCTCTCCGAAGCTAGCCAAGAGTATGGTGATGAGAATGAGGCACCCGTTACCCCTGTTCGACCCGTCATGAAGACTTTTAACACCACCACCAAGGTACCTCTGAAGCCGGCCGACGATTCCTCCCCGACCCCTCTTAAGAAGCGTAGCTTCAGTGCCTCGCGAGTGGCGCCTAAGAGGCCCTCTGGTCCATCAAGGAGTGCTACTGTCATCTCATACTCTCCTCCCAAGGGAAGGAAGAGTATGCCGGCTACCATCCCTGAGAGTCCCTCCACCCCCTCGACTCCTGCTCCCGTCACTCCTTCAAAGTCTGACCTGTGGTCTTCGCTGGGTACGCCTGCGCGAACGCCTCGACGCGACCTGAACCCCTCAATCCTTCGTGGTGCCGTCGTTTTTGTCGACGTTTACACTAGTGAAGGTGCTGATGCTAGCAGTATTTTTGTGGAACTGCTCACTCAGATGGGCGCCAGGTGCATGAAGTCTTGGAACTGGAACCCTAGTGCTTCTGGAAACGAAGTGACTTCTAGCAAGGTCGGAATCACTCATGTTGTTTTCAAGGATGGCAGCAAGCGCACACTGGAGAAGGTCCGTGAGAGCAATGGAATTGTCCAGTGTGTCGGAGTCAGCTGGGTACTTGAGTAAGTTTAACAAATTCTATGATTCCAACGATTGAAGCTAACCAGGGATAGCTGTGAGCGTTTGAACGACTGGGTTGAGGAAAGCCCCTATAAGACTGACATCAGCAACGTCCCCCGCGGCGGAGCTCGTCGCCGCAAGAGCATGGAGCCTAAGGCTCTGGCCAATATGAACGGCACTCTTGTTACCAGCCCTGTCAAGAATAGCTCTCGCACTGCCCCTTCCACCCCCAGCAACCGCCGTCAGAGCACACAGTGGATGTATACCCCCTCGAATCAAGATGAAGACGAGGAGATGGAGGATCTCGAGTGGTCAGAAGCCATCTTGACTCCTGTCCCCAAGACTCCTGCTCCTGAAGCTATCGCTCGATACGCCGCTGAACTTGAGCCCGAGACGCCTTCCGCTGATGACGACGATGATGATCTGGATGAGTCCCCCACAAAGGATGCTCTTCTTACGCGCACATGTCCTCCCAAGAAGTCCAACAACTTCCGTGACGTGGGCTCTGGTATCATCAGCCAGACCAAGGATGATGGCGTTCTCATGCGCCTCATGGCTGCACGACGCAAGAGTCTGCAGTTTGCTCCCAAGATTGGAAGCCCTCTCGCCAGGACTTGGCAGTGATAGATAGTTGAGATGTGAATGGTTGAGGCGGATTAATTGTACATGGACGGGTTTTGGACCGGAGTTTATGGTTCCATATTAGAATTTGCTGACATACGGCACGGCATGGCATGGCTGGCATAGAATCACTCGTTTTGCCATCGGAGGGGATACCACGGGAACAGACAGGACCTCTGATTAGGCGTTTGGCGGAATGGCATTGACTGATTACTTTTCACATTCCTGCGTGTTTTTGACACATTGATGACTCATGGCGGTTGATGTGTGATAACCCCGGCTCGTGTTTGCGTGACTGAAAGCTCCAGATGGGCGGATTTGAAGATTGGTCGTGTCTCATATATCGTTATGTCCTTGCTATGTGGTCGCTAAACGCCAGATTTGTGAATGTCTACTTCCAGTTTTCACGCCGTTTCCCATCAGTTCTTGGTAGAAACAGAAATAGCCTCAACGCCTTATCGTGCCATCATGTTTTAAGCCTTGACAAACGCCCTCATAGCCTTGATAGCATCGCCCTCGTTGGCCTTGAGCAGCTCAGTAGCCTTTTGCTTGGGCATATCAAGCTCCTCAATCAGAAGGGTAACATCGGCAGCGTCGACCTTGACGTTCTTGTTGGAGGTGGCAGCGGCTGATGCCTTGCTAGCGCCGCCGAGGCTCTTGATGGCTTTGTTGGCCGCATCGGCGTCGACGTTTTGTGGTGTCGCGGGAGAGTCGGCGGCGCCGAGGTTCTCAAGTGCTGAGGCGGCCTTGCGGTCCTCAGCGGACTTGGCGGTCTGAGATGGGGTTTCATCGGTCATTGTGGTTTTAGATGGTGTAGTTTGTTTGAAGATCAAGATGAAGTGAAGGTCAAGAGGGATGAAGCTTGGTGGTTGGAGTTATAGTGGAGGATACCTCTAGAGCTCTGGTGGGGGTTTGGAGCAACTCAAAGTGGGGGGATTTCTTGACTCTGCCCGAGTGATGGAAGTCTGAATATGAAGCCCTTGGCCTGTGGTATAACTAAAGTGAAGTCTTATTTCACTTCACTTCAATTAAAATTATATTTCCTCCTTTTCTCTTACACTATTGGATAGCCGGGGCCACAGTCCATCGGCATATACCTTATGTACGATGAGATACTTAGACTTGGACCTTGGTTATGGCTGATCTTACTCTTCATTAACGAGATATTGAAGATCATCAAGGTAGTATGATCAAAATAGTCGAGAATAGCCTGTAGTCTACTTGCAATTTATCCTATTGAGTCTTGTCTATTTAATTGTTGACGCCACATGAAGCCACGGTGTGTGGAAGGAAAAGAATGGGCTCTATTGGGCTACGCCACATTTTCTTTGTTAATTGACTTTGATGATCCAGCTTCATTTTTTGGGTCCAGGGTCTCTATGTCGGCAGTACTCGACACTTCTTTGTCCACTGTGACTCATTTCCCCTACAACAAACCCAATTCCTCCACCACTTTTTCAACAGTCCCAGGAACATCACAAGAATACTCACGCAGACTCAGTCTCATTACCTGAGACGATCACCATTGTGCTGTTTTTGCCCCACTAGAATTGAGTCACTCATCCCACCTCTTACACACAAACCAGCTTTCAGTATGGCTTCATCTTCGTCTCCCGCCTGGGACCCTTCTTCTTGGCGCTCAAAGCCCATCAAGCAGTCGCCAAACTACCCCGACCCAGAGCCTGTCGCCAAAGCAGTCCAAGAACTCGCCGAACTTCCTCCTCTGGTGCACCCGCATGAGATCATCGCCTTGAAGGCTCATCTTCGCGATGTTGCGCAGGGTAACGCCTTTCTCCTCCAGGGCGGCGATTGCGCTGAGCTCTTTGACTACTGTCGCCAGGGTCCAATTGAGAGCAAGATCAAGCTACTGCTGCAAATGAGTGTCGTTCTAATTTGGGGAACTAACAAGCGAGTTGTGCGCATTGGTCGTATGGCTGGACAGTATGCGAAGCCGCGATCGAGTCCTACTGAGATAGTCGATGGAAAGGAGGTCCCCAGTTTCAAGGGCGACATCATCAATGGTTTCCGCCTTGAGGATCGCGCGATTGATCCTAACCGTCTTGTCAAGGCCTACCACCACTCTGCTGCGACTCTCAACTACATCCGTGCTGCTCTTGCCTCGGGTATCGCTGATCTTCACCGGCCTCTTGACTGGGGCTTGGGCCATGTCCGGGATCCTGAGCTCAAGGAGAAGTACTCGGCTATTGCTTCGAGCATTCAACAGACACTGCGCTTCCTCCAGGTTATCAACGCCCGACCTGGTGAGCTGGACTCTGTTGAGCTCTTCACCAGTCACGAGGGTCTCCTACTTGACTATGAGCAGCCTTTGACTCGTCTACTTGAAAAGCCTACAGCCCGCACCTCAAGCCCCACTCCCCCAGGTGACGACAGTGAGAAGAAGGAGTACTACGATACATCTGCACACTTCATCTGGATCGGTGATCGTACACGCCAAATCGACCACGCCCACGTCGAGTTCTTCCGCGGCATTGCCAACCCCATTGGTGTCAAGGTCGGTCCTACAACACCAGCCTCGGACCTCCTGTCCCTCCTCCGTACCCTCAACCCTTCTTGCGAGCCTGGCAAGATCACTCTCATCACACGTTACGGCGCCGGCAAAGTGCGCGAGCTTCTCCCTACACACATCCGCGCTGTCGAGGACTCAGAGTACCGCCGCACAGTTGTCTGGCAATGTGACCCCATGCACGGCAACACACTGTCCACGCCTACAGGCATCAAGACCCGCCGTTTCGGCGACATCTACCGCGAGCTTCAGGAGACGCTAGCCATCCACAAGGAGGAGGGAAGCAACCTTGGTGGTATGCACCTCGAGCTCACTGGTGACGCTGTTACAGAGTGCTTGGGTGGCAGCGAAGACTTGGGCGAGGATGATCTGTCGACCAACTACACGAGTTTCTGCGACCCTAGGCTCAATGAGAAGCAGGCTCTTGAGCTGGCTTTCTTAGTGGCGGATCACTTCTCAAGAGAACACCAGAGGGGTTGAGATGGGATAACATGGTTTTTGTAAAAGTGCGAATTGAAAACGATGAAAACGGCTATGAGGTATAGGAGAAATAACAAAAACGCATATATGGTGTCAAAGGATTTCCTAAAAGGAACATGGTGCCATTTCAAACGTGATCTAAGTGAAGTTACAATCAGTATCATTCGTACGATACTGGCGTTCCTGGATTTATCCAATGTATTGCTTTTTTCTAAGCTCTAAGCATAGGTATGGACTCGACCTTTAGTACTAGTGTACTCTATCGAATTGTCAAAAGATGTCAACTGATATCATGTCCATCTGGAATTATTGTGCTGCCGTTACATAAAATTTGTCATATCTTGTATTTGATCGCTCCCCCGAGACCAAAATCCCGTCAAACCAGTGAGATGGTCTGCGCCGCCTCGAAAGCATCACCCTTCTCAAGCTTCTGCCAGCCCTTGACGGCACCAGGCTCAACGCACAGCATGTTCTTCCAGCCGTCCTTGGGAGAGAAGTCCTTGATACCGGCGGACTTGTCGACCCAGGGGTTCCAGACAACGACCTGGTCGAGGTTGTCACGAACGATGCGGTAGCGGGGGCTTCCGGACTCAGAGATAACGACGGGGTGCGCGGGGCCCTTGGCGGGTGTGTAGACGGAGTCGGTCTCACCAGAGAAGGTGATGGCGCCGGACTGAGTAGCCTCTGAGCCGGAAACCTTGGATAGGTAGACGGAGTCCTCAAGACCGGTGACCTCTGTAGAGGCAATATCCTGGACAATTATTAGCTTTTACTCTTTACATATGCACGATATCTAACATACGCTGATCTTAAAGTAAGTATGAAGAAGAGTCTGGAAATCAAATGCAGTATCGCCGTCGTTGGTGACAACGATTGTGGTATTGAGGCTTTCAGGGTCGAGCGACACACTGTAGATGAGAGCAAACTTGTAGGGCCAGAGAGCCTTGAAGTCGTCACTGATGCTCTCGGAGGAGAGGCCAAAGTCGAGCTTAACGCTGGAGCTGGAGCCCTCGCTGGTGGACTTTCCGAGGAACTCCCATCGTGAGTTACGGGCGAATCCGTGCTGGGGGAGCTTGGCTACGGGTTCGTGGTCGGGGGCGGTACCAAAGACCTGCAGACATTCGAATTAGAAGAGCATTGGGGATGTGTTGGTGGGAGATCGTACAGGGAAGACAATGGGAATACCTCCTCGAACAGGAGCACTGCCATCAAGAGCGGCACCCTCGCTAACCCAGAGCTTCTCAGCACCTGAAGCGTCCTTCCAGCTGATCACGGTAGCTCCATGGAGGAGGACCTCAACGCTCTCGCCTGAAGGGAGAACGGCCTTGACGCGAGAGTTGTCGTGGGTGATATCGACAGTAGGTTGAGGAGGAGCGGCGGGGGTTGAGGCGAGAGCCGAAGGCTTATTAGGACGGTCGACCATTGTGAATGATTTGTTTTTATGTGTGAGCTTTGAAGAAGTCGAAAGTTGGAAGAGTTGGAGCTGGTAGAAGATGTGAGGTACAGTACGTCGTGGCGGGAGTTTGAAGTGGGGTTAAAAGGGTCCGAGTGGAGGGGGAGGAAGAAAAAGATAAAGATGCAAGAGCAGTAGATAAGTATTTTAGTAAAAAGAAGTTAAATAGCGTCCAGTCTTATAAATCTGATATCAGCCTTTTATCCCCTGTAAATATGCCTAGTGCTCTCTGATACCTACCCAATGCTGTGTGTGCCCCCCGCCGTCTCCAAGATCCATTCCGTAGGTTGCTTCAAGTTCGGGAGGAGGTGACAACCCTTGTAAAGAATGGCGGGGTAGCTCAGAGAAGCCAATCGAGAGAACTCATCAAGCTGTTTAGTGGATACCTGTTGCTAATTAGAGCTGTCACCGGCCATATCCAGAGCTGAAACACGTCTCAGATATTAACTTGTGATACATGAAAGTATTCGCCAACTCGCTCTTACCGTATCTACCCAGTTATAGTAGATACTGTTTAGGCAAAGACTATTTCTAAATTCTGTTGAAACATGCAAATAATTCCATCAAATTTATTCATAGCGAGCATAATACTTCCCAAAACGAGTTTCACCATGCAAGGCTGCCGAAGCATATAGAGTTACACGGCAATGATATTGACGAATCGGAGTCTGACTTTATTGAAACGGGTATCTATAGTGTATATGCATCAAATATGATGCCTGTTCTAAACCAACATTCATCGTGATTTCTCATCACCTCTAGCATATGACAGTCCAGGTATCGAAAAGAAGACCGCCATCGACCAATAGTATCCCCTCATGTCTCCCGACGCTGGTTCTCCTCGTCGTTCGAGGTGAACATGGCGGCATTGTTATGTACGCCGCTGTGTCCACTTGAGCTTCCACTTCGGTGCTCAACACGAGGCTTGTCATCGACCTCCTCCATAGCTATCAGAAGGTTTCCGTTGTTATCGTATCGCCGGGGCTCGATCTTAGCCTGCTTGACAACGCCGAGAGCACCCTTCAAACCATGTTCCACCTTTTGGAAGATTGTATCCATTTCCTCCAATGATCGGTATGCTGTCTCAGGGAAGAAGAAATAGACTGATGGAACCATGATGGCGTTGATGACGGCGAAAATGATATACGTGTTGGATCCGATGTTTTCGAAAGCTGGAGGGGTAATCATAACCACCAGCCAGTTGAAGATCCAGTTGCTCGAAGTCGATAGAGCATTGGCCGGGGCACGAATTCGTAGAGGTGTAATTTCAGCTGGGTATAGCCAGGTCATTCCGAGCCAACCGACAGCGAAGAACGAGTTGAAGACAAACAAGAAGACAATGCCCACAATCTGGCATGCTCTCGCATCGCTAGACCCTACACCGGCGAGGATGGCCATGGAAGCACACTGCCCAGCTGCACCAAAAAGCATAAGCTTTCGACGACCAACACGCTCGACTAACCATATAGCAGGAAGAGAAGCCAGGAAATATTCGGTGCCGTTCAGAGCGGCCATCAGAAGAGGCATATGCCCCGTCATGCCGAGTCCAGAATAGATCGTAGCAGCATAGTAGGTAATTAGGTTGATACCAGAGATCTGTAGTTACGACATTAGCATGTTTTACTCGGAAGCAGAGGGTCCGCCTTACCTGTTGGAACATCTGGTTGACGAAGGCAAGGGTAGTGCGGTGAAAGTTCTTGTTATGGTTGCGAGAGAACAAATCCGAGAATTCTCCCTTGCTCATCTCTGTAGCAGTGTCCTTCATGGCTTTGAACTCATTCTCAACGTACTTGCTTTGAACATCCTGGTCAGCGATCGCAGCAATTACTTCCTTTGCGTCATCATCACGGCCCTTAAGCACAAGCCAGCGGGGAGATTCGGGCAAGTTCATAACAAAGGCCATGATGATGAGACAAAAGACGATTTGGAAAGCCATTGGGAAACGCCAGCAAGCAGAGGTGTCCTGCGCAAAGTACATGCCATAGTCGACCCAGTAAGATATAGTGATACCAAGCGTGATTAGAGCACCTTCAATCATGACAAGTTTACCACGTTTATGGGCAGAGCAGGTTTCGGATTGCCACATGGGAACAGTAGAAGTGTTGCCGCCATTGCCCAGTCCAGTGATGATTCGTCCGATGATGAAGTGTTCCAGAGAGTACGCAGAGGCCTGGAGAGCGGCACCAATGACCATGATAGTGGTTCCAAGCATGATCATCTTCCTGCGACCGAGCTTGTTTCCGAGGAAGATAGTGATTAGGGCTCCAAAGAAGCAACCCAAGTTGTAAGAAGATACAGCGATGCCTTGGTAATTCGAACGATTCTTTCGAACAGCTGCAGATACGCTCATGTCATCAGAGTTCATATCAGGAAATTGCGCCATGAAAGGAGCCATAGTCAAGATACCACCCATAACTCCTTGGTCTATAATAATTGTTAGCTCGTTCTGTATGGTCAAGCCCCAGCTGAGTTCTTTTGTCAGTGGGGAGGACAGTAGTGAGCTTTACCATAACCAAAGAGCAGGAAATCAGTTCCTGCAATGGCACTGATGGCATAATTGAGCTTCTGGCCTCGAAGGCCAAGGTACTTCTTGAACATGGCTAAGGGAGATCAAAGCAGAAAACTGACACCCGAACTCTAAACTAAAAGACAAATCGAGAGGAAGTTGATATTGTGAGCATCGAAACGGCGAAGGAGGGTCAGATTGGTTTATAAAAAACCAGAGCCCAATGGTTTTTGCGTTTTGTACGGCAGAGTCATGTAGAGTACTGGGTCCACGGTCTCGTAATATCCACACCTAGATCAGACGCCGAAGCTGGTCTCCCAGACGGACCTTGGCTACAGATCCATGACTGTCCTTGCTTGGCCATCTATGATTGACCCATCGGCCAATCGTAGAATGTACTGTGCGTGTAGTAAGGTATATACTGACTCTTTACGGTCCGCGTTTGTCTGCACCCATGACTAGCATGGCTATGACCCCTGTATCATGGTAAAGTTTCTCGGGATTGTCACAATAAGAGCGGATGAGTAGCGTCGGGTCCTGGGGGTTTCAACAGATCTATGCAAGTATTAGATGTGTACACAAATTGCTCTTCTCAGTGAATGGCTACTTTCTCAGGAACCAACATGATCTTCTTCCTCCGCACTTACAATGAATATCGATCGTGGAGAAGCCCATAAATTCTCCTGACGTCCAGAATCTGCGGAGAGTTTGGGAAAGTAAACTACTGTAAACATGGGGCTGGAGCGTGGGGAATGCGACGTCATAGCACCCGATGTCTTCAAAACGGGGGCCTTTCGTTATATGAAAATTGGGTCTTTGGAAGCATCAGGTTCCTCTCTACGGATAGCCGTCTCATTGTCGTTGTTTCCGCTGTCTTGGATTTCATTTGAGCTTTCTGGGGAAGTTCAAGTTTGGTTCCCGAAGAGGGAAGTCCTGGTTTCGCACGTGACGTCGAAATACTCTTGGAAGGTGCTGTTGAACCAGCTCTCCATTCCTTCCCGTCTTACCAATGTCTTGGTAGAATACTAATATTGCCCAGCCATGAGGCTCTACTTCAATGATTCTTGGCTGCTAACAACAACACGCGACAGAATTGAGCAATGTTAAAAGCAATCTCTATTTGATTGTCCTATCTTGATTGGGAACGTATCGCGACTTCTGCTCCTTCTACCTACACAGTACGATACAGTATACTGTCAAATCGCTTCGACAGTCAAAAACGTGCCATTGCCGCGCTTCAGTCCCTGTCGCAGCAGTTGATGCCAAGATCCCACGTGCATCGAGTATCCGCTGTACTATCAATCATCCAATCAACTATTTAAGCGTATTGTCAGAAGACGAACCATCCAGCCGTCAGACCGTCTTTGCAAAAGACCCTCTCCACCATTTCAATTCCTTCTGTGGTCAACAGTTATATGCCGCTTACTCTAAACCCCAGGTTTCCATTAAACAACATCGCTTGACGTCATGCGGTTTTAGGCGGACCGAATAAAGATTAAAAACATCCCGATGGAAGTCGATTCGATACATGGTCTTTAGGCATATCCCCACGATCGTTCGGGTTACTTACACGGGTTAAGAAACATTTGGTGGCACCCATCTTCTCTTTTACGAGGGAACTCATCTTGACGTCTTTCATCGATCAATTGAACTGGTTAAAGAAACGGAAATCCCTCGGTTATAAGCGACTTGTGACACCACAACTTCAACAGCCATTGAGCAGTCTGGTTTCTGGGGAACGAGCCCACCAATAAGCTCAGTTGAACATGACGATACTCTGTCTTGAATTTCTTCTTCGCTTCTTCGAGGCCACTTTGATATGTTGCTGATTCTTCTTGGCTGGTCAATGGTTATCAAATCGGACAATTTCATAGTGAATCTAACTGTTTCGGGGTGGCTTCGCCTTTAACAAAGAGTCATTACTGACTTACACCAGGTTTCCGCTATTTCTCTTTAAGCACGGTAACTAACGTCGACTCTTCAAGGGAACTCACAAACAGCCTCATATCAACACCAGATCTTGCTTTGAACGATCCCTGCATGGCGTAACACGATCGCTTCATGCAGAGGAAAACGTCTTTGCCGACAGAGTAACCCTTGAAGATCGAAGCAACCATCGCCCAACTCTAACAATCTTGCCAACCCCCATGTCGCCCCGTCGACGAACTCGCAGATCTTGACCTATTTTTGTTCCGCCGTGGGAACAGCTCGCCTGACGTAGACATCGCGCCAGAAAGTTTCCTTGATGTCTGGCTATCTAGGAATGAAAAATGGAGACTCGTGGAGAAGACTCGTTTGTCTTGCAGAACAGTAACCATTCAGAGACAGCAAAATACTCACTGGTTTGCTAGCCATGGCTCAAGACCCTGGATGAACCATGAACCCAGTAATAAAACTAGGCAGCAGCAAAACGACCATGATGGAGAAGTTCGTGATGAGAGCCGTGATCAGTCATGGAGCTTCACGATCAAGAGCTCACGACCCGAACTCTAAAGTTTGATTTTTTTTTACAAAAGTTCACTACGATGCTGTGCACTTCCTTATTAGGATGCCATCAGTTTCAACAGCAGTGGAAATTTTCAGTTTGCTGGTGGCCTAGCCATAAACTCCCAGTAAGAATATCTCGAGACATTAAATCCTGGTGCCCTTGTGTCTTACAACCGACTCCGTTCCCCAGTAATCTGGAATGAAATCGTACCGCGGTTCGATTCGGGTTACTTATTCAGGCAACCCGAGACTCTCCAGTTCTTCCCTCCGACGATCCTCCACAATATCGTCTTCCCCATGATATATCGTTGTTGGTTAAACACGCGGGATGTGGATTATCGATTCGCGAGTTGAGCCGTTTATTTATGGGCTGGGACCTCGGATATTCAACGAGATTGCTGGCATGTCTTTTTCATGTGATCATTTCTTTGATTGATCCCTATCTATGCAATGATATCTATGTCTTATGTATCGCTAAGAGACGTTATGCGATGACATCCATCCAGCCAAATAACTCTGTACAGGAAGGTATTTATTATAGTACAAACAATCCCCCAAAAAACATTTCTCCAAAGGCGCCGCAAACAATGCTTTCAGTCGCTAAGTCATGTTTTAAAGTCTTCCTCGTCGTTCCGCTTCGAAGAGCTCTCTCTTCATATCCATCAACATATCTTCCAATCGGTATACTTCATCGCGAGATAATGCTGCTCCCTGTAGCTGCTTCAGTCCACCACGTAGAGTCTCCATGATGGAGTCTGACTTGACTTCGACGGCTTCCTCCTCTGCTTCCGCCTGCTCAGTTTCAGCCACTGCGTCCTGAGCCTCTTCCACAAGGTCCTGCAGTTCAACTGCCGGCTCTTCTATAGCCACTTCTTCGTCGACTGACATATCTTCCATAGAGTCTGGAACAAGTGCGTCAGGAATTTCGACCTCAAGCTCTGGCTCTTGACTCTGCGATGCTGCAATAGACTCTGTAACTAGTTGTGACATCAACTCCTCATCTGTATCACCGCCATCCTGCACATCAGCCGCTTTTGATCTTGTCTGCGGCGCTTGAGACATAGATGATCGCTTTGCTTTCTTGGATGGCGACACTTGAGATTCTTTGTTCTGGAGATCCTTGCTCACCTGTCCCGATTTTCGTCTTGAAGATCGTCGTACAGTTGACACAGGCGACTTTGGTTCTTGAGAAGTTGACTGGCTATCCCCAGGTTGCTCTTGTGCTGGCGTGTGAGCCGGTCGCCTCCTTTTGCTGCGAGTTTCGGTGGACAAAGAACCTCGCTTCCTCTTCCTCCTACTTCCTCGAGTGCTTGTAGGCTGAACCTCGGAGGTCTCCGACCCGGCCTCTATAGGCGTCGAGGGAACAACATCTGCCAGCGAGGTTTGCGTTGTAGCCTTAGGTTCATCCTCGGCCGAGGTATCACCTTGGACCTCAATGCACTTTTCGGGAGAAACACGTTTCGTCTTCTCAGGGGAAACTGAGACAGATTCGAACTTTTCATGATGATTTGGCCTTGATTCAAGCTCGACTACGAATCGCATGAAGCTGCTTTCATCTCCTTCGCTGAGTGCAAAAGAGGATTCGTGGTTCTGGCTGGGTGCTGGTTTCTGGGCAACTGGATGCGCTGCGTTGTCTGCAGCCGCAACGGGGCTTGTCCGAGCATCCACAAATTCATCATCGCCGGACTTTGGTGTTTCTTGGAGTTTCTCCGCTGGCCGAGGGCTACCCATCTGGTCGTGGTTGGGTAGTTCGCTCTTCCCTTGTTCCGCCTCTTCCATATCCTGTGTCTGGGGGGCATTCGGCAACACGCTCACCTCTTCCGCCGCCTCCTGGCTCGAAGCATTGGAGGAGTTAGCTTGGTTCCTCTTAGAAGATCCTGACTTTCTTCCGCGTCGCTTAGAGCGCTTGTTCTTAACCGATGAGCTACTCTTAGTCGGGGTTTGTGCTTCTGGTAGAGCTTCTACGGCCTGCAGGTCAATGGAGGGTGTTCCAGGTGGAGACGAGAATTGCCAACTCTCCATCGAGTCCCTAGCTTTCGATCGAGTTTGAATCTCAGACAAGAGAGGATTGCGTCTCGGCTCGGGGGGCGACGAGGGCGGGTCATTGATGCCCTCAAGGTGCAGAGCCAGACCCCGTCGAGGGGTTGGGGTTGAAGTAATAAACTCTTCGTATGACGCGGGTCGCTCAGGAGTAGTTTCGACATTCCTAGGTTTCGAGTCTTCGGGTTTCTCCTCAGCAGCAACTTGCGACCGTGTCCGAGGACTGGATTGAATACCAGGATACAGACCAACATTCTCATCTTGTCGTTGACGAACTTCCTTTTGTCTCTCTGTGAGATGTTGAGACTCCCCAACCAGTGGCGAGGAGACAATTGGAGCAAATTGGATCTGAGAGTTGTCATGGCGGAGACGAGGGGTGGTGGTTCGTTTGGCCGATTTCGTCTTGACTGAGTCGGGAGTCGCATCCCTACGGCGCTTCCGCGTCAGTGGACCTTTCGCACTCAGTGGTGTCATTGAGGGTGCTGGTGGAAGGGTTAGCTCAATATCTGGGCCTGTCGACTTGGCCGATGAGAGTGCTACGAAACTCAAGTCATCCTGTGATTCCACAAATGACTGAACTTGAGCACCAAAATCACCGCTTGACTCTTCCATGCCCGGATATAAGACATCAACTGTTGGACGAAGAGAGGCTATGATTGATTTGAGGCTTTCGGAACAATCCAAACTCTCCTCGTCCTTTACCAGAACGTTCCACGTCTCCGCCATCTTGTTCACAACATGACGATGTTTGCTTCTGAACCCGGCGGCGAAGAGTGGCTCGATGGTGTCAACATCCTTCTTATCTAATCGGCCAAGTACTAAAAGCTGCGCGCAAATGTTGTCCCAGAGGGATCGCATCTATGAATGGTTAACATCTGGAAAGTTGTAACACGGGGAAGACTTACTGGTCCAGAAACAGGAGAGTCGCTTCGCAAGCATTTGTGCGTTTGCTCATCCTGTATCCAAGGAGCAAGACCAATTTGCAGCTTTGGTAGAGTTTTGATGCCATTTTTGGAACAGGCCGCGACAATGAAGGCATCCACAGCTTTGACATAAGCCACCATCTTCTCCTCAGCACACTCAGTTTCGTTCTCATACAAGAAATTCATGCTTTGGTTTTGAAGCTGGTAAAGATGCTGGTACGGGTCGAATGAGGACGATCGTGATGCGGTTGGAGGTGCACCCCAAAGTCGTCTTCTGGCAGCCTCGACTGCCTGACGGTCGCGAGGCAGTTTTGCAGCATTGAACAGTGCAGCTGCTATGGACAAGGCCGTTCCATTCGATCTGTCGGAACCTTCAAAGAAGCTGTCGGTAACAATCTTCGCCAATGGTTCCACAAGACCTAGTGCTCGGCCAGCATCCCCACACTCGTTGACAATGTGGTCCGACAGAAGGTTAAACAGGGAGAACCAGCGTTCTTCTGGAAGATTGGGGTGTGAAAGAAGTCCTCGTTCGAGGAGAGAGACGATTTCTCGGTATTCGGGTCCGAGTAATTTGTCGCTACTGGGTGGGTATGAACTAGACGGAGCCGTGTTGTGGTTTAAGAGAGACTGCATATTATCGGCAGCGAGAATCCATGGACCGAAGGGTGAAAGAGTGTCCCGTGGCAGAAGTCGAAGCATTTCACGTGAAAGTTCAACGCGAGTTTTATTGGGCTTGTCATGAAAGAACGGCTCAAAGATCGACAGAAAACACTCAGCGAGGCTGTCATCATCAGCAACGCCTGCGGGCTTGGCGCTGAGCATCGAGAAGAGGTGCAACAGCGGACTTTGAACGGTTCCGCTTGACTTGGAATCAAGCCGGTTGGAGGGCGTTGGAGCAGGCTCGAACGTATTGGCGAGAGACATAGACAGTTTCTTCTCAGTAAATGAAAGCAGACCAAGATTACGAACAAGGACTTCGATATAGTGCTGGACACTTGACAGAAATTTTGTGCTCGAGAACTCGGTCTCTTCGGGGACTCCCTTGGCCCATATGTTCGATAGCACATCGAAAGATTGAGCTATGAAACGTGCGGTCTCATCGGCCACCTTGATGTCCTTTGCTGAGGCGACAGCGATGGACCCCACGAATGTTTGCCAGAGCCTGTAGGTCAAGCTTTCAGTATTGGCTAAATCAGTGAACTTCCTTTCCAAGATAGGGCCAACGAGGCTAAAGATCTTCTCGGAATTTCGGCGAGTCCACCTAGAATCGATTGGGGGCAGCTCCTCGGGGCTTATCAGTGCCGTGTCCCTGATTCGATCCTCTTTCCAACTTCTCGGAGTAGAGACATCCAAGAGTCCTGTAACGATGCGTGACACTTGTGTTACTGAGTCCGGGGCCAGCTCATTCTTTCCATCGAGATTCAGGAGTTGTCCCATCAGAGGTTGAAGAACAAGATCCCAGGCTGAGTCAGTCCACTGCATATCGTTGTTGGGTCGGAAGGCATAGTAGTATAGGTTGCAGACACCACCCATGACTGTTCTTCGGAGCCTCAGAGCCTCCTCCGTATGTTTCGAGTTGATCCTGCGGCGCAATTGGCTTGCAAGCGGCTGTCCGAGGGCACCCAAAGACTTAGGCACCATCTTGTTGCTAGTAATGGACAGATAGACGTATCTGTTCCAGGCAAAGTTGGTCTCTAGCTTGGTCTGTAAATCGTTCGCATTGAAGGAGTCCTGCACGATCCTGAACCACCTAGCAAAGTGCGCCCACCGACTGATAGGGCATTGTAGATAGAGCGTCACTACAGCCCATATTTGAGGGACTACCGACAAGTCGTCTTTCTTCTCGATCATCTCCTCGAGTTTTCGCATGTAAAATTGGATGTAGATCATGGAGTTCGGTTTGCTTTCTTTGTTTTCCGGGGTTTGTAAAATCTCAGTCACCTTACGCAGCACATTCTTCTCGTTTCGAAGTGCAAAGCCTGCTTCTGTGCCTAAGCTGATGGCTTGAGCTCTGATGTCTCGGACCGTACTAAGCATATCCGTAAACATATCCTTCAGCCAGTCTGTATAAACAGCCATGTGCATTCTAGATTGTTTGATGAGTCGCTTGTATATCTGAATGCGACCCATGATGATGCTCTTCCCGGTCAAATTATTCTCGATATTGTGCAAGGATGTAACTAACCGGCCAACTCGATCAGAAGACATTACTTTGGGCGAGAAGGACTGGAAAGCGACTACTTGCATAAGATGACGTGCCAGGTCCTTGGGGAGTGCTGGGTCGAAGAAACATCGAATGCAATGGTCGATTATGAAGATGCCGAAGTCGGACGTGAGAGTCGAGGCGATGGCGGGAAAATGCAAAAAGGTCGTTAAGAGGTTGAGGGCATGGTTGACGAGAGAAGAGTCAGGAGTTCCCTTTTCATTCTTGGCTTTAACGTCGCGCTCAATAAAAGACATGAACAGGCTCATCTTTCCTTGCAAGGCAACTCTATCGGGCAAGTTATTGGAGGCCTTGAGAGCCCGAGAGAGCATCATGTAAGCGTCGAGTCGCATCTCCCGGTCGGAACCAGCGAGCTGTTTGATGGTCGAGTCCAACATTTCGGCGATATTGGCTTGGTTCTGGAGGCCGTTGGACTGGCCATTGAGAGAGGATGCTAGGGGATTCGGAGATGGTGACGGCTTGAGGATACCCTTGATGGGTCTAGAGGAGGCGGAAGGTGTAGTAATAGGCGAGGATCTGAAGAACTTTGACGTCTCGAGATCAGGAGGATCTTTGTATTCGGTATGGCTCGACCATTCGACTTTTTTCCTTGACCGTCTCGAAATTGAACCCGAGTTGGTTGCCCCGGTCGACGTAGGGGTATTAGCACTCGGCGGTGTCTGAAGGCTCAATCTCGGGTCGAATGCACGGTTAACTGAGGCCTTCATGGGATCTGTTTTCTCCGGGAGAGATTCTCGAGGAGGAGTTGGAGGTCGAGCTGGGAGTTCGTCGAGGTTGGTGGAGGCCTGGGCTGAAGATGTCATGGCTGCTAGGCAGCGTCGGCGATCTAGACAGCAGTAGTTTGGCCGAGAAACTGCGGACAACGCATACGGCTATTAATTATGGACAGAAAAAAAAAACCGAAAAAGCAGTAAACAAAGACTCAATCGATAGTCGCGATTGATTAGAGAAGCGGGTATAAAAAAGAGAACGTGTATGATTTTATTGTTAGCTGGTGGTTATACGCAGCTATGAAGTCTGAGTAACCAAGGTCCATCCATATTGCGACAGACAGATTGGATGTCGAGTAAGTAAATGCTTGACAGGTCCGCGCTCGTTCTCCGGGCCAACGCGCGAGACGAACGCGATTTGGGATGGTGAAAGCGCGATTCAATTAAAACATGCAGGGTCCGTGCCTGGATACGCCCCAAATTTAAGGATTTTAGGTAAGCGAGGCGCGCTGAAGTACCCGCTACAGATTCATCACGGGGGCTATCGTAGCGATCGTAGGTACCTGGAACTCATCAGCTCCGAATCCAGAGACTGGGGGAAACGAAATACCGCAGACTGCACCAAGACTACCTAATTCAATAACACACGTTGTGCCTTGACTGAGTTTGGGTAGTGGAAAGGGAAGGAATGCAGGTGTATACAGAATCCCAGAGTACTTGCTTTCGAGTCCTACATCTTTATTGATAGGTCGCAGTTGCCTATATCCAACAATCCTAAGTCTGCGGCTAGCGATACGTTTTGTTAGTGGCTCAAATCCAATTTATATCATCTTCTCCCCGCTCATCTTAAACCACACCTGGACAACAACCATCCTACCACGTATACGCATACTAACTATCCTATAACGTAAACCCGAGACAACATATTTGCACACCATTCATCATGGCTACTCTACCGCCTGTTGGCCTGCCCACAGGGACCGAGAAGCACAAATACATCCAAGAACTCGTGAATGACCTTACCGAAGACCTCAAAGAAGAGCTCTATCTTCCAGATGGTATGTACTCCGGAAGGAGGTGTGTAAAAGATCTCGCTAATATCAAGGATAGACCGCGCTGCGGCTTTGGATCAACTAAAAGTTCTCACTAGAGATCCTACTAATGCCGATCCCCTCTACACAGAAGAGGTCTGTAGCCCCCCGTCCTCCCCGCGGAGGGCCAACTGTGGTCTGGTTCTATCGCTGACCGTTATCAAAGGCTATTTCTGTACTTCTTCGACACGCCTATGACAAGCCATCTACCAAGAGTGCCGATGCCGCTCGACGAGTTTTGGCCAATGCCATGGTCTTGAAACCTATCACTCGGGAGATATTCGTCAACAAGGGTTTTGCGCCCAACGCCTGTCAGGGGCTCAATGGTGGAAGTTTTGACGACGAGTTTCTCAACTCTCGAATCTTATTCTTATCAACTTACGGCACCAAGATTGATCTGAAGAAGCTCATCGATGATGAGAAATTGGCGGATCGCATCTCCGAGAACCTGGCTCGACATGCCAAGGGCTCAGACTCTGGCAAGGCAAAGAGTGATCCAATGCAAGATATGGCGCTTGTTGAAACTGCGAAACTCTTGTTCAATGTCACACATTTCTGTCCTGACAAAGCGTCTTCCTTCAACTCAGCGATACCGCACCTGATAACTCTGCTTCTCAAGCAAGATATTTCACAAACGAAGCCGCTCGATCCACCAGTTGGGTTCATTGTCAATGCACTTGCCAACCTTGAAGTCGGATCGTCAGATTGCCGAACATCCATCCACCCTGAGGACGACCCAGAAAAGCTAGTGTCTCGACTGGTCAGTGTCCTAGATAGTGCGTTGAAGAATGTTGCGGATAACCAATTGGATGCTACTGTAACGCCGCTCGTTGGTGTCATAAAGACCATATACGAGCATGCGCCTGACTCCAGCAAGAAATACATCCGCGAAAAGCTTTTGCCTACTGAGAAGGACCGAAGCGAAGTGCTGGGCAAGGGAGATACATTGTCTGCCAAGCTACTTCAAAACTTCAACAATCCTTTGGCCCCATCCATTGGAACGGTTATCCAGCACCTCCTTTACGACCTCTCAGACAATGACCCCAACAAGTTTGTTGAAAATGTTGGCTACGGTTTTGCATCGGGCTTCCTCTTCCAGAACAATATCCCAGTTCCTCCTTCAGCTTCGGAACCTGGTACACAGAAGCCGGTCAACCCCGTTACTGGTCAGCACGTTGATGCCGAGAAGCCCGTTGATGAGCCTGAAATGACAGAGGAAGAGAAGGAACGAGAGGCTGAAAGACTCTTTGTGTTGTTTGAACGGTATGAGTGCTCCTGAATTGTCATCCCCTTGCAAAAAGCTAACTGAGTTGCAGATTGAAACAGACAGGCGTTGTTGATATTCAGAATCCGGTAGAAGCAGCCATGAGAGAAGGCCGTTACAGGGAGCTCAAAGACGATGAAGTGGAAGAGATTGAATAAATTCTCGATCTGTCATTTTCGTCCTTTCATGACGGTCTAATGAGGCTGGCTTAGTAGTTTGTTTTGCTCAGGGGTTCATGGTAAATAAAATAACGAAACCCGGTAAAGCGATAAGAACAAAGACAAGCGCTTTTGTTTAACAATTAGTATCGAAATACCTGCAACAAATGCTTTTCAACAGTCCCGGTTTGTTCTCAGCCACAAATGATTTGTGATCAGGCAGGCAAATGCTCTCTGCTGCCTCTGCATGATAAATATCCTGAACCACCTCCACCTCCATCCATCTCCCTCATCACACAAATTTCTTCTTCTACACAAGCAGCAGGTCTACTTGTGATTCTCTCTACCTTTTCAACTTGCATCGACTACCTAAGAAAAAAAATCATCGCTTTTTACGAGCGTTTTCCTGCTTTCAGAATATTCCTCGCTGCCTTTGCATCTACTTAGCAGCTGCCATCTTCTCAACGCTTCATTTCCTTCTTTCGTCATCCGCCAACACTCGACGAGCCCTTGACTTTCAAAGGATTATAAAACTTGCCACAATATCTAGACTCACTCCCCAGAACATTGCTAGAATATCGCATCTCTGCTGTTCTCGGCGATCATCACTTTTCAATCTCTTCAAGCTCAGACTCGATCCTTTCGGTTGGCGTACCGAGATCCAAAGTTGGGATCCATCGTCAGTATCGACTACATTTCTTCCTCGCATTCAAAATTAACGTTTGCTTAGGATAAGAGTCTGCTTCGCCATCTTTGTATCGACCTTTTCGTTTGCTTCAGCAAGTGCATCTTCGAATCGCAACCAACTGCAAACAAACCTCCTCGTTTAGTTCCTTCCCTCATCAACAAGATGCCTCAAGTCAAGCGCACACCTACTGTATTCTTCGCTCGCGACAAACTACCCTTTGAAGGGTTTGATGAGTAGGTTTTCTAGGCTCTTTCCTCTCGGGTGCCCCTGCTAATCTTGATTAAACTGCCTAGTCTGCGTCAAAGCATCGAAGATGACGAGCCTCTTGTGAAGATTGTCTCCGACATTATGGATGTCGAGAGAAATAGCGAGGATTCTATGACTCCTTCACTGGATAATCAGGCAAAGATCACTTTGGGCGAGAAACGACCCCTCTCACCAGATGAGGAAGTCCCTGAGGAAACTCCCAAGAAGAAGCCCGGTCGCCCTGCTAAGCGTCAGCGCCGGACTGTGGTCAAGGAAGCTGTTGAGCCTCGGCGCTCAGCACGACTCAGCTCCGTAGCATCCTCAGCCAAGGAGGAGAAGCGTACACCAACCCCAACTCCTACCAAGCGAGGCCGTGGACGCCCTCCCACTAAGAAAAGGGGAACAGTAGTCGTCCAAGTTCCTGAGGTCAGCCCTTCTACTGAACGAAGCTCCGCACGTCTTCTTGCCAAGAGCAAGAGGAGTGACGAGAGTGATGCGGAATCCGAGACCGAATGGGAGGTCGAGAAGATCATGGATTCAGGGATCGATGGTCCTACTGGCGTGCACCTTTACCTGGTCAAGTGGAAGGGGTTTTCGATGAAGGAATGCACCTGGGAACCCAAGAAAAATCTGGGCAACTGCCACAAGCTCATTCGTGAGTTTGAGGAGAAACATTAAGGGGATCAAGTTGGCTGGTATGAGGGAGCGGCTTCTTTTAAGGGTACTGTGAACCGGAACACCGACACAAGTTGATATCTTGTACTATTGAGCTGGTAGTTTTCTGGAGGGTACTTTGCTAGATCATTCATACTCTTTCTTCCTCTTTTCCTTTCGTTGTGTATTCTCATTGCGACTCAATCAAGGTTGAGAAGCCAGCAACGGCTCCAGCCAAAGGAAGCAAGCTTCGCACCAAATTCAAGACTCCCCATCTTCCAATCAACTTGGCCACATCTTCGTGTGAAGCTTCCAACGTGCCAGCAGCCGCCTTCATCAAAAGGTCATTTGTGGAAGCCATGAAGATGATAGTAAATGGCACAATAGAGACGGTCAAGGCTGAAGCGATCGCCAAGCCCTTCCAGCTGCGGCCTTCTTGCCTTGCTGCATATATGGCGTATAGGTAAGCTGCTGATGTTGTTATGGCGAACTTGGGCATAAGGGCGAAGCCGCGGTTAAAGAGTTCCTGCCATACAGTTGCGCTGGAGGGTGCTTGGAGTTGAAGAGCGGCTGGGACACCGGCGAGGGATAGAGAAATGATGAAGCCTATTGATACTGTGAGTAGTTTTACAGATGAGACTAGCATTAAATTTACCTGAAGCCCAAGCTGAACCGGTGATGCCTGTGGCCGTAGCCAGAAGAGATGGAAGGGGCATTGCGATAGGCATTTTGATATTGGAGTCTTCTGTCAATGGATGAAACCGTATGATATCCCATTTGATGAAGTAACTGATTTGAAGCTGGAGAAGAGTCACAATAGTAGATGATTTAAGCTCAATATAATGACGACTATATATACTTTGTGTAAGATTGTAAGGCTGACAGAATATAACCACATAATGCTTGTAACTGTAGGCTCGCCATCGTCTGACTTATTGTTTCATCATGGCCGGCCAAAAAGTGGAACTCATCCGGACTGGAAACTATCACGGACTTCTGAAATGTCCGGTCACGGCCGATCAACATATCAAATGCACCGCTCGGAACAGGCCGATTGGTTAATATGGACGTTATATAGCCCTTTTCGGCCATCAGCTCATGACTGATTACCGACCTTTGCCTTGTGCGCGAAAAATCCATGCAGGGTGATTTCGTCAAGGATGCCCCGAGCATCGGGCTCTTCCCACGATGATGCAAACTCCATCCCACACTTCTTGAGGACATTTTGGCTTGCAACGTGGTCACTTAGTGTGATGGCTGTGATGCACTCGTCTTTGACTTCACCATCGCCTCGCACGGAGTTCTTATCCACAGAGAGCTCAACCTCCGTCCTTGGCAACGACCACCACTGGTTGAGATAGCCTTTGACGAACTCGGAAGCATATCCCTTGCCCCAATGCGTCTTGAGGAATTGATATCCTAGAGCTGGCCAGCCAAGTTCAGCTGACCACACGCAGGAACCTCCTATCCCGATGAACTCGCCAGTCTCGGTGAGGGTAATGAGCCAATCGTATCCTTTGATATCGTTTGGAGGTAGTCGACGATCGAGGCTCTTTTGTGTCTCTTCCATCTCTATATCAGGACGGCCTTGTGTCGCCCAGATCATGCCGTCAGGTTCTGTTCGAACAGCCCGGACATGGACAAAGTCGTCCTGTGTCATGGGCCTCATTGTTAGACGTTCTGTCTGCCATGGCTTTCGCTCGCTATTAGGAGGAAGAGGATAGACGGGAAGTGTTGTCTTGATTGTGACGAAGTCAAGAGGTGGCTTTGCGATTGGATCCATTGTTGTAGGGTAAGGAAAATGGGAAAATGCGAGAAAGTAAGTACAAGTTTTTGTTGAGATTGTTGGCAAGTAAAGGAAGACAATGCTGCGAATCTTTTTTCTTCTTATACTATCTTGTCTCCGAGTTCGTCTATACAAATCTGAGAAGGTGAGTCACAAACCATTTTTATCGCGGCTCTATGAGTCGAATGGATCCTTGGTCATTAATTATTAAGTACTTATCTGGAAGGTTATCGTATTACAAAAGTTCCAGCCACTCACTAACTTTACCCTACAGCACCAATTTTCGGAAAAGAAGCACATGCTTAAGACCCTTGAATAAAAGTGGTTCAATGGGGTTAGCTTCAGCCCTGGCAAGTGAATCCTTCACGCCAGAGAGAACAGATACGACCCGAGTTGGAGCGATTTGGGCGTAAAGTCATTGTCCCCAAAAATCGAAACGTCACTACCTATACCTAAAAGTGACATGAAGGTGGGGCCGTTCAATCGTTAGGTTCCATTCCCGGCACTTCTTTTCGTTGAAGAACAAGTCTTAAAGTTAGTCTTTGTTAATAAACTCAACGAAGCCTCTCAAAACGCCAAGATCATCTCACATCGGGAGAAACTGCCTTCTTCTGCAGCCGTTTTAACGTTAGAAAACCTAGTTATTGGCTTTTATCGCCTACTCACTTTTCTTTTTTCTCAACGGGGATATATCTATCTAAAATCTTACATTCTTACTCAGAATGAGCTCCCGAGAAGGCCGTCCAGCCAAAGTGCTCAGTTGCTCCAACTGTCGCACACGCAAAATTAAATGCGACAAGATTCAACCGTTCTGCGGACAATGTTCTCGATTTGGGCTCGACTGTGTATTTCCTTCAAGAAAACCAACCAGGCGCGCTCCGAGACCCCGTCAGAGTGAACTGCTTGATAGGATCAGTCGTCTTGAAAACATCGTCAATCAAGCTGACCCCGCCAAATTGAAGCAGTTGGATGAGGAGAATATTCAGTCTCCACCAGGTACAACTTCTTTGTCCGCCACCTTGGATGATCACTGTGATGAGTCCCAGGCTGTAGCTACTCAGGCTGCTAATGTAGAGGCTGGAGAGCAGTATCTCAGCTCAGGTTTCTGGGGGAACCTGTGTGCTGAGGTTGAGGGCATTCGACAAGCGTTGAACCAGCCCTCTGAGGAGAGTGACGATGAGGAGGAGGGTGAAAGCCCGGAGTCTCTGGACACTCCCTCCACGGGTCCGTCGGGATATTTGCTTGGAAATTCCGATTACAGCTCGCGGCAGCCATTAATACATCCTCACCCGAATATGATGATACGACTCTGGACAATCTATTCACGCAATGTCGATCCTCTCATGAAGATTCTACACCGTCCGACCATGGGCAAGCATTTCCAAGCTTACATCGAGTCACCATCAACTCACCGATTTACTCCAGAAATCAACGCTGTTATGTTTGCTATATACTTTTGCGCAGCCGCTTGTTTGACACCAGAATCTTGTTTCAAGCAGCTGGGGGAGAGTAAAGAGGTTCTTACAAGACGATACCGCGTGTCTGTGGAACGAGCGCTTGCCGAGGCAGACTATCTCAGTACCACCAAGCTCGAAACTCTACAAGCACTCACGCTTTATACCAGCATGATTCGTGTGCATCTGCATGACCGGACGTGTTGGGTTCTCACATCACTGGTTGTCCGTATTGCTCAAGGTCAAAACCTTCATCGGGACGGTGACGGCCACCGTTTTACACCGTTTGTGGCCGAGATGAGAAGACGTCTATGGCACTTCATCGTTGTTCTTGATATCCGTGGCTCCGAAGACAGAGGCTCGGGTTCAACACTTGTCCGATCTAGTTGGGATACCATAGAGCCTACACCGATTGATGACGTTGACTTTGGCCCTGACTCGCCTGGGCCTCTGATCTCCAAGTCAACGCCTGCCGACAATGTTGTTTGTCTGTGTACAGCCATGTGCTCAAGTATCTTTGGATTTCTTTCTCATCCACGATACAGTTCAAAAGGCGAACCCGAACACTTCCTGTACACAGAAGATCAGCTTATATCTCACATCCGTCAACTGGAGAACTCCTTCATCCATACCGCCAGACCCTCTCATCTTCCTTCTGTCTACGCTGCCGAGATCGCCCGTATTGTCATTCTCAAGCTCTGGCTCAACATCCAATACCCGTTCAACGGTGGCCCGGCTCCCGATAGGCCTCGTGTGTCCAAGGAGACCATGCTACGTACTGCAATCTCTATCATCGAGCTGCGCGAGCGAATGACGAAGAACCAATGGGAGGACCGATTCGCTTGGTGGACAGACACCTATGTGCAATGGCATCCCCTGGCAGTTGCATTAGCTGAGCTTTGCGTGCAAACCGAGGGAGAATTGGTAGAAAAGGCATGGGTTGTTGTCGAGAGAACGTTCCCTTCATCACGAGAGCACATTGCAGACACAGCCAAAGGTTCGCTTTGGAGACCTATCAAAAAACTTTTGAAGAAGGCGAGAGCCGCAAGAACAGAAGCGCTGCTGAAGCAGATGGACCTCAATGGCAACTTGGATCTGAACCCTGCAGTGTCTTTCATGCCTCCGAATATGGATATGCCTCAGCCGTTGCAGTTTAACCCAGCTCAACAGATGACAAACATCCCGGTGTCAGGGCCAGGCATGACGCAGCAGTACGACACGAGCAGTATGAACCCTTCAATACTGTTCGATCCGCCAGAGGTTTTGAACCTCGACTTTGGAATGGGGTTAGAGCAAGGTGTGCCTATGGAATGGTCATACTGGACAGAGTTTTTCAACGATACACAGATGGAGACTTCTCCAGGAAGCGGGACAGGCGAATCTTTGTAACAGTTCACAATCGGTAGTCATTGCTAGTTTATAAACCCAATCAATTGTGCATCACACCGGCCAGCATCTCGCATGCTCAGAATTTTTTGGTTCATTCATTGCCCATTTTATTGAGCAAAGTCAGTTGATATTTCCATGATCCCGTGTAACACCCGCAGAGCCTAACCATCCTCTAAACCGAAATCATTCTAAGCGAAAGTGGAAGGTCGCTTCGCGCTGAACACCTTCTTGGAGCTCTCCTTGGTGATACGGTGGGGGAGGGGGAAGCTCAGGTTCTTCTGGGTGAGCTGGCGGATGTAAGGTCGCTTGATGTCCTCGGTCTTCTCGAGCTCGACGACGCGGAGGACCTGGAGTATGCTGTTAGTAACTGTGATGCTGGATCTGTGGTTGCGAAGTGAGTTCGACGTACGTGGATGGACCTGAAGCGGGCACGGTGGCGGGCAGCCATGTCGGAGTAGAGAGACTCGATGGCATCTGTTCGGGACAGCTCACGGTACTCCTTGTACATGTTGTGCGTGCCGGAACGAGAGTCGTATCGGATCCAGACACCGAAGTTCTTGACCTTGAGGGGGTGCTTCTCGTGGAGCTGAAATATCCGAGTTAGCCTCCATGGGTTCCTTCAAGGTTGAAATTTGCAAACGTACAGTCTTGACGCTGACGATCTCACCAGTGGCCTTCTTGACCTTCTTGAGACCGCGCAAGAAGTACCAGTATCGGGACTTGGCGACCGTCTCGTTGGGGGCGAAGATGGTCATGCGGTAGAGGGCGGGTGTAGGGTCAGCCTCGGTGGGCAAGTGGCGCCCGATGACCTCGTATTCCTGAAGACGGCCTGAATGCATTGTCAGTATGATATTTTCCAGATGCTAATTTATCTGATGCGATGCCGCGAGCCGAAGGAAAAATGTCGAATTTCGAGAGAGTGCTGTGGGTAGGTCGAATCTTTATGCCGAATTTCGAAACTGGGTTTCCGTGCCAGAAAATTTGCTGGACCCCGCTTCAAAAGGCAATCGGAAGTTGTGTGAACGAATAGTGAGGTTGTTGTAGTCCCGGAGGGCCTTGATCCTTCGTCCTCGCTCCCCTCCTAGTCGAGTTGAAGAAACATCGAAATTGTTTTTTTCCCTCGTCCATTATCCTCCGGCAGGCGACATCGCTATGACCGAGCGCATAAAAACAGAAAATTGCTTACCCATCTGTAATACTGGTTAGTTATTCCCTTGTGTATGTCTGTATCGTCGACTTACTGTGACGTTGGTCAATTCCGACTGCGAAGGTTAGTGAAGATGGCCGAAGTTTGAAAGATCCCAAATTTTTGTGCGAAGGTGAGAGGGCAAGAGACTGGGTCGTAGCTTCTGGAGGGCTTGGGCCCCAACAGCGATTGGTCAATAGCGACCCACTTCGACCGAGCATCACGTGCAGGCTCGATGCAGATGGCTGCCAAGGTTGGTGGGTCTGATGGCCAATCAGATACGCTGACAAGAGCTCAAAGAAAGTTGTGAGGGAAGGAGGGAAGAGTGAAGGTGACTTCAACGATTGAGTGAGGCTGGTATCGACCTTGAGTAACTGCAACTTTGGTATTCTGCCAAAACATCTCAGAATCTCACACCGTACGGAGCTACTATAACGATTACACGCTATTACTCTTTGGAATTTCTATTGATGCTTAAGATTAATTGCCACTAAAGAAAGATCTTACTCAAAGACACAGCGCGTGTCTAATACCAGTCACCATGAACACTACATTCGAACAGTTTGCCGAGGCTCACTCACAACGGAATGGTTATAAACTTGCGCAGACGCTCTCACCTGTTCCTCCAGCAGATGACCCTCACCGCTTGATGGCAGTATGGCGTAGCACGAATTCTCACAGTGTCAAAGGCGACATCAAACACTTTATCAAGTCCAACACAGCTCATCGACGGAAAATCGATCACGATGAGACAACGGGCTGGGTTGAGGTCTACACCTCGTACTGGAAAGCTGTTGCTGAAATCTTGGCGGGGGAGAGCGGCAAGGTAAGAAAACGAACCACTTGGTAGAGTCATGCTAACTCACGACACAGTCTACATGGACAAAAGTGTACGAGGCATGGAAAGAACTGACCTCAGTACTTATCCGTGGTTATAACTCACACGGATTCGAAGCATGGACAATCCCATCCCTATATATGGTGGGAAAGTATCTTCGGTTATTTGCGATTAAGTCCGACGAGGAGCGTCGGGCCAAAGCCTTTGATACTGGTCCTGGAGCTTCCTTGATATCAGATGATTTTGATCCCGAAACAGACAAACAACTTCAATTAAGAGACTGCGAGGGACATCTCAAGCGTATCTTTTCACTGTGTTTGAATGACAGGTATGTTTGCTTTTGCTCTGGGCATATGGATTACGGCTGATTGCAATCAGAGCGCCACTCGAAGAGTCAAGGAAATGGGGAATCTACTTTGTTATCAACCTCCTTTTCAAGACTTACTTCAAGCTGAACTCTGCCTCATTGTCGAGAACGATTCTCAAGACGTTGGCTGTGTACAATGACAAAGGAGACATGCCGCCACTGGAATCGTTCCCAAAATCTCAGCGAGTGACCTTCAAGTTTTATGAGGGTGTCTTGCTCTTCCTTGAGGAAAACTACCTCAAGGTGGGTACATCTTGCTCATTCAACGGGATCGTCTAACATTCTATCTAGGCTGAGTCTCACCTCAACGAAGCATGGCAACTATGCCATAAAGACGCTTACGCGCAATCAGAGTGAGTACAAGCCATTGTAGTTCGAATATGTTTGCTGACTTGATGACAGACGAATCCTCACCTACCTCATTCCTTGCCGTCTCCTTACCAGCCACGTCCTCCCCACGAAAGCCCTCCTCGAGAATTACCCGCGACTGCAGGACCTCTTCCTCCCTCTCGCTACTTGCATTAAATCCGGCAACCTTCAGGCCTTTGACCAGGCTCTGCAGCATGGCGAAGCTGAATTTGTCAAGCGACGTATTTATCTTACCCTTGAAAGAGGTCGAGATATCGCCTTGCGTAACCTCCTTCGTAAGGTCTTCATCGCTGGTGGATTTGATGAGCCAAAAGATGGTGACGCCGCCCCGGTCCGTCGTACAAGAGTTCCCGTTGCCGAGTTTCAAGCTGCTATTAGTATGGGCAGCGGTCACTTGGTCGATCCAGATGAGGTTGAGTGTATGCTGGCCAATATGATTTACAAGGTAAGTTTTCAGATCTTTTTCCTTGCCGAGCTTTTGGCTGCCTCGTGGAACTGCTGTCTTTTCTCTGGTCGAAATTGGCGAAAGTAATGGTCGGCATCCACGTGGCGGTCATTTGACTATATACTCGTCACCAAAATGTTGCCTCATTTGAATGCCTGCCTGGGGCATTCTCGATGTCTATCTACACCCCCCTCCATCTCAGCCTTACAAACACCTAAGTCACTAACACATATGCTTCTTTAGGATCTTATGAAAGGGTATATCGCAAGAGAACGAGGTATCGTGGTACTGTCCAAAAAGGGAGCTTTCCCCGGCACAGGACTGTGAGGTGAAGCTGTCGAAGGAAGTTATTGGGCGAGGCATGGTCTGATAGGCAAGAGAAGCGTGAAAGTTCAGCGATGCTTCTCTTGTTGATACTATTCTATGAAAACACTAGTGCACAAGGCGGATAGATACCGCGGCCGTCAGGATGACGCCTGCGTCAACAAATCACAAAGCACTTTTCACGATGGCCATACTCTGTTTTACATTTGCTTTCCAAGTCAAGGCTCACAATGAAGTTGGCTTGACCTCCTCATTGATCGAGGTTATCTTTGCGCCATATTCACGGTCAGACACCGCAGCGTGCACTACCCTTGCATCTCCCTGCTTTGCATCTGTGCCTCGTCCTTGTCAGCCCCCAACTGTTGACGCTCCAGACACGATGGCCAAACCTACAGATACTTGTTTACTTTTGTTGGCGTCCTGAGACCCTAGTCTGACTTTTTGTCGAATCCGACGCGGCATTGATATCCCCACAGTGCACACTTACAGTTTGCATGGTTCGCTTCCTTTTCACTCGCATGTTTTAGATCGCACTCTATCCCCCAGCGTGACTCACATCCGGGGATCTATTCCGTTATAAGCAACACATGTTTAACGACGTGATTGGACACGCTCATCAAACCTTGGTGGGCGTTGAGTTTTGGTGTTTATGCTAGGAACTTTTGGTTCTTACTTCAAGTTACAATAACGGGCAAGGCGTGATTTTCAAGACATGAAGTTTATTTCAAAGCTCGCTCTTTTCGAAATAGCTCGTCCAAAAGAGCGTCGTGAATAATAATAGTACAGCTTTTTCGTCAATCCATCGTAGATGACAGTCTTGGTATCCTTGGTACAAAACCATCGTGAACAAACAATTCCCAACCTATCCAGCCAGCTCGCTTTGAGCAGAGCCAAAAATCCAAAACCCCTTGCTTCAAGATACCAAAGTAACCCTCTAGGGGCTAGGAAGAAGAGTAATAGTACAAAAGAAAATAAGATTCAACGCCAAATCCAACCGTTGAAACGCCTTAAAAAGCATGTAGCACCCAAACTCCGACCGCAGGTGTTCTCTTTAGTTTTATGGTACTGGTTAATACTGTGAAGTCGGCGGCTTGTATCAAAGAAAGAAGGAGAATCGTGTTTCATTAAAGTCAATAAAGGGCCACGTGTGAAGGGGATGGGTATTAAGAGAAGTGGCGGTTTGAGCGGGGAGTGTTTCTGCTGTGTGTTAGTTTAGGAGCATCATGCAATATCAAGGTTGAGACTTACGACGCAGTTGAGATGTCGTCGACATGGTTGCAAAGAGCGACAAACAGATCAAAGAAAAGCTGAGTGCCGCCATTATACATCTCAAGTTGCATAGTTCCACTTCGCTTGAAAGTGCTGCGTGAGCGAATGATGAGAGCGAGATAGTGAGCTCGCAGCTTGGAGTCGGTATCGGGAGTGTTGGCGTAGGCATATCTGGCTGAAGCAAGAATGGTGCTGCACTGGATTCCAGATTCTGCAAACATTTGTAAGTAAGGTGTATTGACATGGGAAGATTGAAACATACGAAGTCCTTGTTTGCGCAGCGATAGCTTCTTGAGCTCGTCAAGGCCATACTTCTCCGCCGCACAGTAGATGACGGTGTCCTTGAGAAGATCGCCATCAATGCTACGATGGTAAACAGTGCTTTCAACAGCAGAGCGCTGTTCTTCAGTAGCAGCCTCTAACTCATACGAGTTTCGGCGCTTGTTGTGCACTAGACGAGGAGTGTAATCGCCCTTGTACAAGAACTCAAGAACAGAGCTGAAGATCTCAGGCTCTTCGTCAGGAAGTGAGATGCGTTTGCTGGCGACGTCCATGTATCCGTTTCGTAGTGCATTATTGAAGAAAGGACTGTTGGAAAGAACGTCTTCGTGGGCGGCGAAGAGACGTTGTTCGCTGCCGACGACGAGAGTGACGATGGGTGAAGCCCCAGTGCTCCTGGAGTCTGTAAGAAACAAGCTATCGGGATAGGCAATGGAGATAGACTTACTCTCCCATCATAACATCACCACTGGCGCTGGTCATGGAAGTCATTGTTGGTCGACGATGGTGGCGAGACTCATGTTTTCGCTTGGTGATGCCACTGTCTTTGCTAAAAGAAGCACTAGACTTGCTAGCTTTGTGGCCTTTTGAGAAGCTCTTGCTTGAGCTCTCGTGTCTTCTGGATGAGGAGAACATGTTGACTGATTGTGTGAAAGATCTCGAGCAGATTCAAGATGGTGTATTATTAAATCAGCTGGGCCGCTGGTCGGTTTTATACTCGTAGGCCGATAACGTGGTGGGTGGCAGAGTAGGCAGAGACAGAGACAGAACGAGGCAACAATAAAAAGAATGAGGCAGACGATGATGATGGAAAACGCCGGAAGAAGATTGAGACCTACCTCAGGTTCAAATAGTGACTTATGGAAAAGGCGATCACTCTTCTGATTCGACTCAGGATACGGGGAAAAGGCCTACGAAATGGGAGAAACGACAGCATCTTTATAATATACGAGGCTTGCCCCGTGCGAACAGGCTGCCTGATGTAGCGGCACCCCCGCTGATAGATCATCCCTAATCATCCTACGCATGAAGGCGAGTCAGCCCTTTTTTGGCTTGGTGATAAGTCGTAGCCCGACGCGTGTCCGAGCCTGGGTGTCCGCGTAGAGAGGGGCGCGATATTGCCGCGGGCGCACGTGATTCAGAACAGGGCGGTTTAATTGACTCCAGGCGTCTGTCGTTGGAATTTTACAGGGATGGTCCAGGGATCTGACGAAAGATGGGAGTCACAAAGAAAAGGGGGCTGGGAAAAAGGAAACACAACATGGACTGAAAGAGTAAGGGGGGCTTGTTAGCGGGGTTTGACTTACCTATGCCTCTTTCAATTGAAGCTTCAACTGGAGGCTTCTGTAACAATGGAGATTACAGCGTGGTGGTTCGCCTCTGCAATCAGGAATAGTGGGGCTCTGCGTGCCGAATGGGGATCCTCTCAAGGCAGAAGCCTCCAAGCTCATGGGACTGCATGATAGGACATGTTCGATGATGGAGCTGCAAGGCTTTGAAATACTGCTCAAGCCTCGTCATTTCTTACATCATTCGAATCGTAAGCTTCTGGAGATTCAATTGACTTCAATTGAGACTCATACCAAGATGGGTCAACCCTCTATGGCTGCTGAAGCTTCCCATTGTCTATCTAATCCTCACGACTTCACATCATGGCTTCTCGCCTCCGAGCACACTCTCAACCGCAAACAACTTTTTCCTTTTTAACCCCATGCTGCTTTAATTGATGGTGGACCGTTTAGCCTTGTTACATGGTCCGTGGGTATGATTTAGCAAGGGGCACCAAGGTAAGGTACCTGGCATAGCTTGCATATTTCTCCCAACACCTCCACACTCGATACAGTCTGCTGGGTTTTAGTGACCCTTTAATCCAAGGCTCGGATGAAATTCGAGGGCATCGATGGTGACATTACCCGTTATACGGGATCGGTCCCTTGAGCGTGACGGCATCTGGCAGTCACACACTGTGACCACCCCTGTACACCACAGCTGCAGATGACCGACATGTCCCGAATTCACGCCAGAAGAACTTGAGACGTCGTTATTCGCCCCTCTATCTGACCAGTTTCAAGTTATCTGGTTCCTTGCATTGTTCACAGCTTCCCCTTTTCTTAACATCTTAGGTCCTTGTGCCCGCGTAACAGCCGTGGCGATGGAGTGTGCAAGTGCTTGCTTGCCCGCTGCTCTCACCATGGCTTCATTGTGCAGTGCCCCGCGTACCTTTTGTCGCTCTACCGGGAGTCCAACCCGTTGACATCGCTCAAGCAGCTCCTCGCCGTGATTGGCAGGCACAAGCTCATCTTTGCCCGCTTCCACGATGAATATCCCGGGCGGCGACTCCGGAAACCTCTTGGCTATCATGCCGAGGTTGGTCCAGCTATCTAGATGATTTCTGAGAAATGGCCAGAGATATTGGTATGGAAGCCACTTCTGTGGATACAACGCTTGGAGCATAGCTCGAACGTTTGTGAATGGCGTTTCAAGAATGAGACCATCTATTGTTAGCTCAGGAGGGAACTGGCCTTTGGCAGCCAGGTTGGTTGCAAAGCCACACCCGATGCTTTGTCCCCAGAGGAGTACTGTTGGCTTTGTTCCGTCACCTTTCCCTGACTTGCTTTCATGTGATTGAGATATCCATTGAAACGCTGCCTGTGAATCGAGATCTATTCCTGGTTCTGATGGCCGATCATGAGATGTCCAATAGCCGCGATAACTCAGACATACCATTGTGTAGTGGATAGACGGCTCATTCTCGTGAGCTCGACGTATTATCCAGGAAAGGTCCGGTAGCCTAGGTGGCAGAGACGATGCATTACCTAGGCGTTTGAGTAAGCTGCTGTAAAATGCGAGATCGATGAGATTGGCGGACCTTGAAAGTAGAGGATATAAGCGTGAGTGGCCTTGGCCGTACTTGGTTCAGGTTTTGAGGGCACATCTGCAACACACAACGCAATCTCTGTACCGTCCAGCGACTTTATCCTCTCTTCCCTCCATTTTATCCGCCCACAATCTCGGGACACCTCATCAATGGTCATGCTGCGCGCATTGGGAGGCAGAAATGGATTATAGATAATGGCATTCTGGAACAAGACCATCATGGCACACTTCCAACACCACAATGCCACGAATAATCCACTAAACAGCAAAGGCGGCATGAGAAAAGGCGCGACATGCAATGGTCTCATGCAGCCTGGCGAGGGCCTCAAGGATGCAAGTCTCTCTCTGTTGGAGCGGATATGTGGTCTCGATCCCACGCAAGCTGCTCGAAAGCGCGGGAATGAGACGGTGACAGCGCGAAATGCCATCTCACATTTGTAGTCGGCGATCAAAGAAGCATCTGACAGGGGAGGAAGAGACGTGGGATGCTGTAGTTAGGCACAAGGGGCACGGGGGGCTATGACATGTTCGTTTGTCACTGGGTTTGAAGAGGATGCAAGTATGCGGATTTGGGATGCGATGGGCAGCCGAGGAAAAGTGATGGAGGGACGGGTAATATTGAGGTACACTATGGAGATCTGACTGGACTCGATGATTTTTAAGGCATATGTACTTGAGAATCTTAACTACCTACCTATAAGATAACCAGATCTTCGCGACAGATGATTACTGAATTAATTGAAATCTCACAAACCAATCTCTTACAACCCCAAACAAACATTGAGAATTGTATCATCAATTATCTCATGTGCTTCGTGGTGTGATTTGATTGCTGATATCATACCTACTACTTAGCGACATACAGTGGTATTTGCCCCACCAAACTCTCTTGTTTCAGCCACCTCAGGAACCAACTCGAACCAAAACGGTACAGGGAAAGGAACAGCGTTAACTTTCTATTGCCGTACTGTAGTCTAGTCTGCATTTCAAAAGAGCACCCGACAATTCCTCAGCTTTTAATCAGCACTTTCCACCTCCTCCAACTCAAATTTCCCTCTTCTTTCTACGTTTCGCCTAACGTTAACGCATTCCAGCGTCTTTCCCCCACCAAGATCGTTAGGTGCAAAAGTCCCGTCGCTTACAAACTTGCATCTGCCCCGCCATTTACCGACAGATCCAATATCTAACTTAGGCTTGATACCTACATCATCGTCTTTGTTTTGAAACCCCACCAAGACAAAACCACAGTCACCATGCCCGCTTCCGATAAAGAAAACGACGGCCATGCGCACATCGAACTCCCCGAGGGTAATGATGCGCCGTCTCCGCGCGTCGATGGCGAGTCCAGCCCTGGCCTCAGGAATAGCAAGGGCTGGGATGGCAAGCTTCGCATGCCCAAGTCGGCGTCTATGGCCAATCCAGAGGCTTTGACTGACTCTGATTACTCGGATGAAGAGAACGTTATGAAGGGAGAGAAGATTGACGCTGATGAGGGTATGCTCACCATTTCACGGACCGTGATAGAAACCGGCTAACACATCCTGTAGACCTTCTCGACGACGAAGACCCCGAGACCGACGAAATTATGTGTTCCCACTCTCGCATCGGATCGATTTCCTCGTTACGCCTCGAGCGCTTCAAGAACGTCTCCCGAATTTGTCTCCGCCAAAACAGTATCGAGCAAATCGATGGCCTTTCTGCCCTTGCCGAGACCCTTGAAGACCTAGACCTCTACGACAACCTCATCTCCCACATCCGTGGCCTGGACGAGTTGACAAATCTGACAAGCCTCGATCTAAGCTTCAACAAGATCAAGCATATTAAGCATGTCAACCATTTGACAAAACTCAAGGAACTGTACTTCGTCGCCAACAAGATCAGTAAAATCGAGGGGCTGGAGGGACTCGATAAGTTGACGTCTCTCGAGCTTGGGTCGAACCGCATTCGCGAAATCAAGAACCTCGATTCTCTGAAGGCGATCGAGGAGCTTTGGCTGGCAAAGAACAAGATTACTGAGCTTGCAGGTCTTGGTGGTATGCCCAACCTGCGCCTCCTCAGTATTCAGTCCAACCGTATAAGTGATTTGTCACCACTCAAGGATGTTCCCACCCTCGAGGAGCTCTACATCTCTCACAATATGCTGGAGTCTCTGGAGGGCCTGGAACACAACCCCAAGCTACACGTACTGGACATCTCAAATAACAAGATCACCAGCATTAAGGGTCTTGAGTTACTTTCTGAGCTGGAGGAGTTGTGGGCCAGTTACAACCTTATCAGCGATTACAAGGAGGTTGCCAAGTACCTTGCTGACAAGAAGAGCTTGACAACGGTGTACTTTGAAGGAAACCCGCTGCAACTGCAGGAGCCGGTGGCATATAGGAACAGAATTCGATTGACATTACCACAGGTCAAACAGATTGATGCCAGTAAGTTTGCCCCTCGAAACCATAACCGAATACAGTCACTAACCAGTTTGGCAGCTTTTGTGAGAACATAAAAACGCAATTTTGGAAGGCATCAGCATAGAAAGCAAGGCGTTTGGGGAGGAGTTTTGTTTATCTATACTCGAGACGGTATCAATGGAGCTTGCAAATAAACGATTCCGTGACAACCAATTGATGCGATTCACATGTCAGACAGGTTTTGTGATAATAGAGTGATTGGGAGCTACATGATGATGTTTTGCGGTAAGTCTGGGCATATCGCAGATCGAACCATTGACCAAGAACATTCACCTCGTGCAATTATTGTTTGTGTGGAAGGGTTAACTGTCATTTGTAATCTATGAGAGCGGTTCTACAAAATGCAGCCCATCGTCATTTAACGCCTGATATCCCAAAACAGTCATGTTCCCATGCTTCTCTCTTTTTTACTCATATCATAAATATCATATCATTATTTAACCGAAGATCCAGAGCTTCTCGGTGGGGAAGTACTGCAGAGTGTTAGCATTGACACTTGGCAAATCAGAACACGAGTGAAAACTTACGTTGGTGGGCTTGTTGAACTTGAGGTTGAGGTTCATCTTGGAGATGCGCTTCATGTCCTCCTCGTCGATGTTCCAGTCGACACAGTCGAAGTTCTGCTCCATGTACTTGGGGGTGGTGCTCTTGGGGATGACAGCAAGACCCTGCTGAGTGGCCCATCGGAGAAGAACCTGAGCGGAGGTCTTGTTGTACTTGCTGCCAAGGCTGGTGAAGACCTCGTGCTGCATGAGAGGAGAGGCAGACTTGGCGATGTCCATGTCGAGCTCAATGAAGCCGGTGGGACCGAAAGAGGAGTAGGCAGTCAGAGCAATACCCTCAGCCTTGGCGAGGCTGACGAGCTCAGTCTGCTGGTGGTAGGGGTGAAGCTCGACCTGGAGGGTGGCAGGGCGGATCTTGGCGTACTTGAGCAGGTCGTAAATAGCCTGAGCCTGGAAGTTGGAGATACCAATGGACTTGGCGAGGCCCTTCTCAACGAGGTTCTCCATGCCCTCCCAGGTCTCCTGGTTGGTGGCCTTGCTCCAGCGGATCTCGGTGCCGGCATCATCGTAGTGCCAGCCAGGGGGGTAGCGGACCGAGGGGTCGACGTACTCGAGGGCGACGGGGAAGTGGATGAGGAAGAGATCGAAGTAGTCGATCTGCCAGTCAGCGAGCTGCTTGCGGGTGATGGGCTCAACGTTCTCCTTGTCGTGGTATGTTTGCCAGAGCTTGGAGACGATGAAGAGGTCCTCTCGCTTCACGATGCCCTCCTTGATGGCGCGGGCAACACCCTCACCACAAGCCTTCTCGTTGCCGTAGTCTACAGACGAACCATGTTAGTAAGAGTCTTGGCTATTGGTTTGGGTTGTTCGGGTAAAATGAGAGCTTCATGAAGCTACCACCCCACATTGTGAAGCTCTCCGCGTGGTGGAGGGGTCGTTTTGCAGGGGTAATGTGGCTGTTTTCTCGGGCAATTGGCAGGGAAAATGAGGGGCAGAGAACAGGGGTTTCAGCTGGGGAGGAGGGGCAGACGGATTGTCGTCTTGTAAGAGACAGATCTGTCCGTGACGTGATGTGACCAGAAGGGCAATGGTGATTGTGACTGCAATTGAGAGGAAAGACATACCGCAAGCACCATCGAACAGACGGTATCCAGCCTTGATGGCGTTGTAGACAACGTCGGAGCAGTTGTCATCGACCTTCCAGAGACCGAAGCCAATCTGGGGCATGTCATAGCCGCTGTTAAGCTTGATGTTGGGAACGTTGACCATTGTGACGGTATTTGATAAGATTGTGTATGTGGAAGAAGATGAATGATACAATAGAAGAGGAAGAGAGAAGGGAAAGTAGGAATGGCAACACAGAGGAGGGGAGAGACGTATTTATGGTAGCAGAGAAACGTATGTTGTCTGTCTGTCGTCCTAGACCAGAATGTATGATACCTTACTGTACTGTACAATGGCCCTCATGGCTGCGGGCATGACAGCAGCAATGACATGGTTTGCATTGATAATTAGACGCCTTCTAAAAATTCCGCAGTTGCTAAAACCGCATTAGTTTCTGATCTGTGTTTCCAGATGCTTGTGGTCATAGAACGAATGTCACTCTGCGTGGGTTAGTGAGGTATGGTTACTATGGTATCATGGGACTGTAAGTGCAGCTTCCTCGGGGATTTGGGGGTGTGTAACCCCCAATGGCCAGACTGGACTGGAGGTGTGTGTCTCGTTGCATATTGGATATAACGGCGGCAAATCTCCAAGCTCCATCATGCGACCGAAGAATTGTCTGCCTTGAGATAATGCCGCCTCTGGTGGGGCAAGAAGGGAATTCATCCGGGCGGGTGGTGGGCGTACTCCCAGGATCTTGTCACTCTTGTTATGTATGGCTACGGAATCCTTTTTTCTGGGCATTTGTTTGGAAAAGATATGGAGATGGAGATGGAGAAGTCTTTTGGTTAAAATGGATCTTGGTCGCTTATCGCTGTCGTAAAGCTGGATAAAATGCTATCACAAGGGTACAAGAGGCTCAACTACGACAACGCTATTATTATCGACAACCAGAATTGAGTATCAAGCCACATGTTTATAAACATCAGACGAAAAGGCTACCAACAGGTGAAATGAAATCTAGATAATCTGGTTACACTCATGTACTGTACTGTACTGTATTCGCGGAATATCGGCTGAGGAACCAATCTTGTAAAGGGTAAACCACCCCGCAGAACCAGGCCACATACCAAGACCCTAGACTAAAGGATGGACGATGAGGCAAGTAACGGGAAGAAGCAAAGTATCTGCATCTACATCAGTTTCTGCAGCCAACGTAAGCAGTTCTCGCAAAGCAGTACTGTACCGTATTGTTTCATGACGATGCAGGTCCCTCCTTGTTGTCTCAGAGCTGATCGTGGATAACATCAATCTTCTATTCGTGCGTTTAACTGAACCCAGCTGAGGGGGCCTGTCTCGTGCAGTGCCGCGGCTAGGCTAAGCAAAGATTGACAGCTTCGTTACATGTCAAATCGGTTTAACTCGTGCGGATGTTTTTTTATTTTTTAACGGTTGATGCAGCATAGGTAACTTGCCTAAACAGGTGATCATGGATGTTCCTATAAGTGATAGATAGGCCTACCTACCTTAGTAGTCAACGACCAACGACCAACGCCTCAACTTCGGATATCGCCTTGATCAAATGACCACTACAATCTTCCAGTGACGTGGTCGATTATCCCGGCTCGGCGTAATTCTGGGTTCCCTAGTCTACGAAACTCTTGATATTGTGGATTATACGCGGATGAATTCAAACAGATGTTGGTTATTCATGTCATGATGGACCAAGAAAGAGCCTCTCTGAGGGTCCCTGGGTCGGTCTTTCCCTTTCCCGTCCGGTAGAAAGCAGCAGGAGCAATTTAGCCTGAAGTCTCCTGCCCCATGCCTTCCCTGCCTTAGCCTTAGTTAGCCGCCCATTAGCCTGTCCTTTCGTTCCACAGAAGCGGGTAAATCTCTCAGGCACATGGAGAAGGTCTCCACCAAAAAGATTCCTCTGTAAACACACCCTGGCCCTTGTTAATCAAGTCCCATGATGGATGGAAAAAGAAGGACGGACATAGCATGGTCGAAATCAGTGGCACCCAATTCATTGTCGTAAGAAGATCCGACGGGCCCTGCCTGATCTTGTACAGCTTCATTTTCAATGCGACAAAGAATACACCTTCAAGTCCTTACTTTTTGACTGCCATGATTGACTTACACCAACAATAGACTCGACGAGTCTAATCATGACAACTCTCAAAGAACCCTTTCAAGCTACCGCACAGTTACTTTCGCGATCATGGCTTCGAGCGACCGAAATAGACCACCTTTGAGATCAAAAACATCACCAGGTTGACGAACAAAGAAGTTCCTAAAACACCAGCACGGAAACACCGCACCTCTTTGTCCAAGAGTACCAAGTGCCCAAATACAGATTCAGTTCTCTCACAATGCCGCCATCAAACACTCATTGGGGACTCGATCTTCTCCCTTGTTTGCAATATGGACTATGGAGATAACCACGGGCTGAGTAAAGCCCAGGCAGTTGTGCCTTTGGTCTTTGTTCTTTCTCGCAAGCTTATTACCATCGAATCATCCACCTCCGCTGTCGCATATTCACTTCAAGTTTTCATTCTCGACAAAAGCCACAACTCTATACACCTTGCCCAACATGATAGGTCGTGATATCAAGATCAAGATGGTTCGCATTCAGCCAACTGGTCGAACATACCATCAAGAGTTAACTCGATGGCGGAACTTGTGCACTATCAACTCAGCTCTTACTCGCGGCGATACTTCCGTCGTCCTTTACGATTGGGATCATATTCCCCAGGATCAAATAGGACATATTCGGCGCGCCAAAGAAGAAATCCAAAAGCAACGTGTCTCTAATTTTCCAGCACTCACAAATACCTCCAAAGGCCCAGACCTATCCGGCGTTTGTAAAGCGGATTCTCTACGAGACATTGAGTCAACGTCGTGGGAGGGATTGAGGTTCAAATTCGTCAAAGTGCTTGCCGAAGGAGGTCACGGTTATGTTTCACTATGGGATGTCACCTTCGATGACGGGTCAATCAGGAGGGTGGTGATCAAGAAAGGTAAAAAGGCTTCTGGTTCCTTTGATCCCGTGAATGAAGCGAGATTCCACCTACGATACGAGGCAGCGGAACACACGACCCAAGTCATCAAGCTATCCCACGAGTCGGCAGCGATACGAAGAGCGATGATGAAGGAAAACCCAACGGCAGCCAATAACTTTACAGAAGGCTGCAGTTGGAATGCTGCAGAGCGTGGATGTGTTGTGTTTGAGTATGCTCCATATGGTGATGTATCTGGCCTTATGAGCAACATGGCTACAACGAAGCAAAATTTCCCCAATTCAGTTCTTTGGGGGGTACTGGAATGCTGTGAGTTATCTTATCCAAATTATTTTTCCCACTGACTTGCTTACTTTTGCAGATGCGCTGGGACTTGCTACTGTCGCGTATACACCAGTGTTGGACAAATCTATTACCTTTGAACATCTTTTCAGAGAGGCCGAACAAAACAATGAAGCAGATAAATTTCTGGAAAAATTCGAGTCTAATCATAACTCAACGCATGACATTCATCTGGACATGGAATACCTCAATAGTAAGCATGTCTACGCATTCGTAAAGTTCCGCCACTGACTTATATTTAGTACTTGTTGGCCAAGAACAGTCTCACAAAGATAGGCCCGCCTTCAAGGTAGCTCTACTAGAAACGCAATGACTATGCCAATATGCTGACTGGACTTAGTTGCATGACCTGGGAGCGTTCAGCGAGATCATGAGTGAATATTGGGGTGAAATGACTGAAATCAATCTTTGGAGATTACGACATTTCCCCAAGCCTCAAGCTGCAACGCCGGTACGTATATATTTGATGTCGAACTTGGTCGAAATTGCTAAGAATGATATGTATAGGAACAAATAAGCGGTGAGTGGGACTGCCTTCCTTTAGGGATGACACCAGAAGAGGTGCGGAACGATTTTGGAGGCGAGGATTTTGAGAAGGGATCTCCTTGTGCTGGGCGCTTTGGGACGTGGACTAATGTCTTTCTCATTGCCAAGGTGGTAAGTTTGAGTCAGTTTTGTTCAGGTTGAAGATTTGTCTAATTCTTTGCAGATGGAATCTATGATTACCGGAGTGTCTTACAGGCACCCCTTTGTGTGCAAACGCTATGAGAGCTTGGACGGAAAGACAAGATACACATATGGCTGGGCGCTGAAGAACAAGGATTTTTCTTGGGTCGATATAGAGCTGCGTGACATTGTCCGCAGATGCCTCTTTGAAAATCCTGTTGACAGACCCACCCCGATACAAATACTAAAGGTTATCCAGCAATGGAAGAACTCCGCGGGCTACGATCCTAGGGAAATTGCACGGTGGTGGGCAGCGTCGTATGGCCCTCAACAAGTGCCATCCCATATACCAAAGTCACCAGCCGCCAACGTCAATCCTGTTCAACAGGCCGTGATACATCAGCAGGGACTTTTGGCATTGCATCCTGGAGTGCAGGTAACTGACACCAGAAAGGGTCATCGAGCTCCGAACCAACCCACTCAACATGTTACTGGCCCGTCAAACCAACAACAGTCTCAAAGTACTGCGCGAAGCAATCAAGGAGGCATTAGCCCTCGACAAACCCCTGGGCTGACGCAATCACCTATTCAGGCCGTGCCTCCTCCAAGTGATCTACAGCCGCCTGGTTCTGGAAAGAAAGCACCTGTCAACACTCCGTCACCGCCGCAGAAGCGTCCACGAGAGGAGTCGACTGAACCGACTGAAGACATGAGTCCTCTCAAGATACAAAAACTTGGCGGATCACGTATCCTTGCTCATAGGCCTCAAGGGACTATCCAGGCTATCTCAAGCTCGAGCTCTCCTCCTGCTTTCCTGGCCGCAACTAATCTGAACGTTTCTAACAACACACGCCATTTAAGACCTGCTCTATCCCCGACCTTTCCGGTGGTAGCCACGTCACATCACTCATCAAGATCCCCTCCTGCTTCCTTGCTGGCGGATCTAAACATTCAGAGCATTACACCACCGCCTCCGCCGTCTCCTCCGAGTGCCTCGAATACTTCTCCTCTTCTCTCAGGTTCTTCGAAAACTCGACCCGGTACTGCCATTCAAAGCCAATCAAGCGGGATCGGTCCAGGGGAAGCTATGGACATCGATCGTGAGGAGTCGTTTTACCAGTTCGACGATAATCGCAATCAAGTTGCTTCGCCATTAATCCCTCCTGGCCAAGGTCCGAACAACCTCCAGCGTCAGCCCCCTTCTACGGGTTGGAGGATGAGCATTAACCGTGCTACCCAACGTCCTGCAAAGTACGTCAAGTTCGACATGCCTCCAAGTCCCGATAAAGAGCTTAAAGCTCATGTGAAGATTCTGTCGCCAAAGATTCAGAGAGTGGTTCGTGGACCAAGTTCCAAGAAGCCCAAATACCTCAAGTCCAAGGCGATGCGCACATTTGTCCGGAAAGCATTGCCACATATGCCAGTCACTCTCCGCAACCTCATGTCCCGGACGAAGGAGCTCGATTCGCAGCTCACTATTGGTACTGTTCCTGTTTATGCTTATCTAAAGTGAGGGCAAGGTTTGGGGGAGTTTGGTATTTTCAACGTAGTGAGGTCGCTTAGTTTGGCGAAGGCTGAGGAGTTGATGGTAGACAAAAATTGCTTTCACAGGGTTTGTCTTTTTATGTTTTACTTTGTGCTAATCTAGGTTTACTGTTTGATATCATCTACCATATTTTATTGTTATTTTATATAGATTATAGAACTTGCTGTTCCTGGGTATCACTAACTCCTATCCGTTCGCCGTTTTCCTCTCTTGCTCAAGGTAGTCGGACTAAAACACAGCCCACATTATATCCAATTTCTTTGCAGAGAAAGGAATGCTCAGTTAGCATAACGGCATTCACATGTACCGTTACTAGCCTTTATATCGCCCACCTTACTTCCCTGGTTATCCAGACACTCTGGTGATCCGGCCCTGAACATCTTGCGCTGTACAATCTCAACGTCACCAGGCCAGTCGGCAAACTTATCACCGCCAGACCCATCATCGCTACCATCGTTCCTCTGCGTCCAAAGCGTAGCTTCAAACAGCGTATTGTCAAACATGCACTTCGCCGCGCGGTTACTCGATGACAGCATAGCATCCGGAACAACCGTCTTGGTCATTGAGAACGAGAACTGCAATCGCTCTTTGGATGTGTTCTCATCGAGACGCTTGAGAGTCAAGTTTGAGAAAGATGGCGCGAAGGGGTTTGTGGTGGATGAGATGTTGTATGAGTTGTTGTCGTTGGTTGTGATGATCCAGAAGAACGTTGCTGAGGAACCTTGTGTGTAGGGGTAGCAACGCCATGTTGAGGGATTGGATGTGCAGTCTGTGGATATGTTTTGGAGATCTGCTCTGAAAGAATAGGAACCAGCGGGAAATTGGGGCGTTGGTTCTGGAGTTGAAGATTCCTGTGGTGTGCTCTTGCTTCTGTTGATGGTCAGTTAGTTGTATATCTCATATGTGCTGTGTGACTTACGCATTATCCAAACCTATCGCCAACCCAACACCCAAAGCAATCGCAACAATAGCAGCACCAACCATGAAAATAACCAACAAGCAGCATCCTCTCCTCCTATCAACACCACAAAACCTCCTCTCCCTATAACTCCCCGCGTCCGTCATATCAGTCTCTACAAACTTGCCCTTTGCTTCAGCATACCCATAGTCGTACCTCGGTGGGGAGTAATGCGCCATAGGCGGAGCATAGTAGGGTCTTGCCCGAGGTATGTACGCTGGCGGTGGGATGCCATGGTTGCGAAGAGCACGGCGGGGAGACTTTCTAGGAATGCGGAGGGGAGCTGTAGGTGTAGATGGGCTGGGAGGGGAGGGCGTTAAAGCAATCTCGTTTTCGTCAATTGAGGGGAGATGGGGACGAGAGATCGAGGTGAAAGAGGATGTTCTGGGATTGTGACCTCTGCTCATGGTTGAAGATTCACCTATAGCTGGAATTGAATATGTAGTTGTTGTTGTTAAACCCGATGACGCTGATAACTCAGCTGTAGCTCATAAGGATAAAGAAGAGGAAGAAGAGGAGAATGACGGGCTACTAAAAGTATAAAAGACTCAATAGTCAGGCTGTGGATATGCTTCCTCGTACCGGGATAGAGGCAACCTTGATATGTTCAGCTCAGCCTGGTGAAACAATCATGCATTCAAACTCAGCCAAACCAATAGATATATCAGACTTTAAAGATGACATGCATTCAGCGAGAGGGGATTCGACCAGTTTTTCAATTCGCAGAGACAAAGAGAAGAAGTCAAGAAGGAAAGCACCAATGACCCCATCGTATCATCCCTCCTCCAGACCAAACTATCGATTCCCTCTACCCTGTTTTTTTTTTGCCTCCCCTCCTAGAACCCGACCTTAGAGACGAAAAGGCAACTAAAAACCGTTCAGAAATTCAATTAACAATTCAAGACCCGCCCGTTGCGGGATCATCGTTATCCGAAGGGCGGCGCGGGCGTTGTTTTACTTTAGCGTGTGCCGCTAAATAGTTTGCCTTGCTACGACCTCGTGATTAGGGATGTCCCTGGAAAGGTGGCGTTGGAGCTGCAAAGCTTGGCTTGGGAAATATTGGTTCTAACGTTAGTCTAGCTAAGGGAAACAGGTAAAGCGGGAGGGGGGATTTGCATATTGGATCTGGAATTCCACTGCTGTCAGGGTCAGCCGATAATCGGGTTTGAGGCTGTTATGTATATGCAACTATCGTCTTGTTGAACCCTTGATTTCTATCCCTCTACTGTATACTCTGTACCCTTCTAAGCATCATATCGCTACTGTTCCTTCTTGCTGTGATAGATCGTCTATGTAGGTCCCTAATATTCTCAAGTATACAACTGTCGCTGGCTGACTCAATGCAAAACAAACACTACCACCATCAGTCGCTGCATGGGTATTGCTCTTCCACGTCATCTCACATCAACCAACCCTTCAGCTACCCTTCATCCAACTACTCCTGCCCCTCTGCTGCCTTCTCCGCATACGTCGGAGCTTCCAAAACTTCACCCTTATCCGTCCAGACAGCCGACAATTCTGTCTCAATCTCGTCTCGGCGCTTCTTCCATTCTTCCACTTGTGCAAGTCGCTCTCGTAGTTCCTGTAGCTCCTTCTCTACCTGCATCTTCTCGCGCTCAGTACCGATACGCTCAAATTCCCATTCATCTCCTCGGTCACCCATACCAAGGACTAAGTTATATGAGTGGTACTTCTTGAGCGATGCTCGAGTTGATATAGTGATAAGTGCTGTAAGCGTTAGTCAAATGATATCATCACCACAAACAGAGTTGGAACTTACTGATGCCCCTCTCCTTGCATGTCTCGTACAGCAAACCCTCGACGTCACTCGAAACAGCGCTAGTGCCTTCATCGACAATAGCATACTGAGGCTCGTGATAGAGTAGGCGAGCGAAACCCATGCGCTGCTTCTCACCCCCACTGAGAACATCCTTCCACTCTTTTCGAGTATCCCATCCACCTTCACGATCAGGCAGGTATCCTAATTTCGCGGCCTCCAAAGCATTCATAAGGTCATCCTCGGACTTGCGCTTCTCCTTCATGTCAACGTGACCATCGGGGTAGATGACTTGGTCACGGAGGGTTCCTGGGCTCAAGTATGGTCGCTGAGGAAGGAACATTATTCCGTCTTGACCAATATCCTTGGGACGACTGACCAATCCTCGGTATACTGGCCATAAGCCAGCAAGGATTCTTGAAATTGCGGTTTTACCCACGCCATTCGGTCCAGAGATCTAGATGCTGTCAGTGCACGTACGGAAGAATGGTCGGAATAAACTTACAAGTAGATGTTCGCCCCTTCGCACAATAATAGACAATGACTCGAGCAACTCCTCACCTCCCTGAGGCCACAGGCCAGGAGCGACAACTGGCACATGCTCGAAACGAACCCCGTCAAATCCCTTCTGGATGGTTCCCGAAACATCAGACAGAGAGTATAGTTCGCTCTGTCCAGCTCGAACCTGATAGGAATCGGCATGTACGCGATGCAATGTTGAGATAAGCGTATACACGCGGCTGGTATATCCTGCCAACTCTGACAGATCTTTGATCGAGTACATCATGCGACCACCTGCGTCTGCAAGCGAAAGCATGAGTCTCTTGTTCGTAATGAACTCCTTCATGCGGTTACGTTCTCGTCCTCCTCGTACTGCAGTCTCAACCATTTCAGCTCTGCCTCCAACACCACCCCACGCTGGAAGGAAGACAGGGAGTGATGCCAGTAAGTAACCGTAAGCACTCCAACTGTATTTGAGAATAAAATCCTCCAGAATATTATAGCGGATCTTGAGCATGTAAATGCCTTCCATCCAAGATTTTAACGACTTGAACTCACGGTTCAAAAACGTTTTTTCAGTCTCGGCGCCACCGTAGAATGCGACCTCCTCCGCGTTGGCAATTAGGCGGGCATGTAAGCTTCGGAAGTCACCCTCTTTGCGACCTTCGACTGCCTTTAGCTTGCCGAAGGGTGGCGAAAGTCGTCGCAGAATACTGGCAGTCAAGAAGTAGTTGCCCATAAGACCAGTAATAGCGAGAGGACCCAAGGATCTGTACAGCTGATAGTTGAAAACACACAAGTCAACAAAAGGCTTGCCAAGCGATGAGTAGATGTTGGCTGCCGCTGCGCAGAACAGTGTCAGATCTTGCGTGATGAACTGATCAGCACTTTGGCCAACGCCTCCATCCAGGTTGGAAAGCTTATAATAGTTAAGGTTGTCGTTAAGGTAGAGGTCATGGATATATCGTGTCAGTCGCGTACGGAAAGCGATAGAGACCTTAGATTCAAGGAACTTGATCATGGCGTTTGTATAAGAGGCAAAACCACCGATTCCGCACCACTAAGATACGTGAGTTTCTGGTATAATTTTATCAGGTTGGTTACTTACCTTCAAGATGCCCCATAAGAAAGCCCTACCGTTTCCAGCGACTAAATCGCGTACAATCTCACCATCTAGGCGAGCGACAACCAGTGAGAGGTACGTTCTTAGCATCAGAAACACGCCGTGACTAAGCAGTAAGCCGGCCTCTTTGCTGGACCATCGCGGGATCATAATGCTCATCAAGCTCAGAAACTGATGCAGGAAAGCGATATTGAGACCAGGCTTCGTTTGCGCTGCTGGTACTGTGCCTTCCCGTAAACCAGATACGCGTGGAGGGTTCAGGAACAAACGTCGATGCGCATCAAATGTGAGAGGCTTGGTTGTGTTGATGACCACTTTTGAGGTTCCATCTTTATATGGGACATAGATGGTTCGCGACCCGTCCTTGTTGTGAAGCCATGAGTTTGTGCGCACCAGTTTGCGACCTTGTTCTCGCTCATGTCGTCGATTCTTCCACCATCGACGCCCTCCGACTCCACCAAGGATAATTGATATCGCAAGGGCGAGTGTCGCGAGTAAACGAGTTGTGCGAGTTGTTCCGCGCAACCTTGTCTTGATCTTACCTGTCCATTTGTCGAGAAAGGCGGCTAACTGCTCCTCGGCGGCAGTATGCCGCAGCGTTGATTGCCCGGCCATGAGAAGAGGGTGAGTTGAGTACGAGCTTTGTGATGACGCTGGCTGGATGCTTATACTGAGATAATTGGAGTAGCTCCCCCACAACAACAATAAGGAACCAAGTCTCTGAAGAGGCTCAGAGCGCTTTCTTTACGTGTCCATCAGCAAGAGCGTGTGTTATACGTGATGTCAAAGATTTGATGGTAGTATTAAAATGTGTGGTAGTTAGAAACCGTTTGGCTAAGACAAAATATGGTTGAGATTGACAAGAATCGAAGTAGTCATGAGCATGTGAAATACGGGTATCCGAGGCAAGTGGCACATGAGACGGCTTGCGCCTGCCTCCAACTGCGACCTACCTCACCTAAGCTGCAGCCGACGGATGCGGCGAGCGGGAATGACGACACTGTGTCCAATCACATGATGGAAGAAAAGCTGGGGAAATATGGGGGAAGCATCTGAGCATCTGGACTTTCCTTAACCGATCGAGTTGCAATCTCATTGGTTCGGTTAATCTTTAGAGTGGACTGGATTTTGGAGACAACCTACCCTGAAGAGACAACCATCAATCTATGTACGACCGTGATATCAACTAGGATCTCTTGACTATACATGTTTGCTTCTTATTGTATAGCACTCAATAGTTTTGTGTGTCTTTTCTTTGATCAGTTTATATTTGATGCATATAACCGTAGCTAATCATGGTTTACGTGGGAGCCGTAGTACATGTTGTACGATTACCTTTAACCTCGACTCTCATCGCTGAAATATACGAAAGTCCAAACACAACAGAGCTTGTAATACCGTCGTCATACCCAAGTCTTACACTGTTTAAGGTAGGTACGGGAAATGAATATCGATCTGCAATTCAATATCGTCCAGGTCATACACGCTTACAGACAGCCCAGGGCCAAGGTTGACACGACTCAGGTTCGATACGCTAGTTCAAGGGGCCAACTCACTACCACGAGCTTACCGTTCTCAAGTCAACCGATGACACTTTTCCGTAAACCCACTCGTTCAAAGATCCAGCCTCAACGCGGGAAGCAAATCGATGGTGCGATCACTACAGAAACATACTCAAGGAAGCCATATCCGGGTAAGCTTATAGCTGACCTGAAATACATCACAGCAAACAAGATCGATATGATATCCTAGGCCAAGTAGAAACACCAGCTGCAGAGACTCTCTAACCGGACCACAGCGACAGCGGGTATGCAGGTCTCTTAAGTGGTCAAGGCCGACGGGCCCACGATGCATGGAGACATCACTGATCCGGGCGCCAACTCGGCCAATCATGGCAACTGACCCTGGATACTTGTCCCGGTCCGACAGGGATAAGGGCTCTTTCCGTGTCTCACTCTTGAAAGAGAAGATGGAATTGAGAATCTGGGTTGGAACTGAAGCTGGACTACAAGGGAATTCCGAAAGTGATATGCGTGAGTAGGAGCATTGGTTGGGCGAAAGGGTCTTGCCTGGACTCTCATTCTGGGAATGCACGTGAAGGAACTCGTATGTATAGAAGGCTTGGAAGCTAAGGATTCAACGACTCAAGTAAAGCTACGGATACGGCTACATGAATTAATGAGCATCGTTGGATGACATTGCATGGGCCAGGGAGTAACTTTCGTTAGCCTCAATGTCATCCCATGCAGAGCTCCCAGCAACCCTATTCAAGATATCCCAACATCAGTTGGTACTGTATGTAGACTATTCGTACCGATTAACAAACACTTTAGGTTGCATGACACGAGGAAACATCGAAAGAGCGTGCATCTCGTCCCGTACGTCAGTGGTCATGTAGCAGTAGCACACGGATGTGAGTGACATGGTGGCAGCAGCCTCAGTCAGTTCAAAGCGAGAACCAAATCCAAGACCAAAACGCAAGGAAGAAGCTTGAAAAGCTGGGGGAGAGCTTGGGCCCTTGGGGAGCAACGCAGTAAAAAAACAGAACGGCCTGATTGACTGACAACAATATGTAAAGACCCGAAATTAAGCTCCTCTCTCATGCAGTACGGAACAGGACATTCATCAATGCTAAAAGGAGGGCCCCTCTCCTCAGCGCTGTGCTGCTGAAAAGATCATGGGCATGGTTTATTAGAGTGAAGAACGGATACCCATAGGCATACCTTGTTGATGTGGACATCAGTCCAGTGTACATACAGTAGGTACCAGCACCTGGTGATGGCAGCCCATGGAGGCTAACGAGGTACGGATACCTTTCACCCGATTAAACGGAGCTTTCCAGTATTAGACGATACGGTAAATGCGGCTACATAGAAAGCTTGCAGGACTCGAGACTCCACCATGACAGTACATATTAATTAAAGCCTTTGCTTTTTATGTTCTGATAATCTGGTTTCTCACGTACAGTAGAGTTGATCAGGTCAACATCAAGTAATTAAGAGAGGGTAATGAATGTAATGTAGGTATCCGTACATGTGCAGAACCACGACAGGGGTCCTTAGGCGCCGCACCGAGCCATGAGCGGGCCTAAACCAGCCATAGGACAGGGTGGTTAAGATGAGCTTGCCGGACACCATTATTAGCGGAGATGAGAGACAAGGGACGGTCTATCAGCTATCAGGAGATACCAGATGTGAGTTTATTGACACTGTGCAAACCGTCCATCTCGGTCGATCTGTACAGTGTCAGTTATACCAAGATAGACAGTATACGATACTACCCTATCATGATGGATGGTCCCGGAGGGTTAATCTCGAGCCAAACTCCACTCACACCTCCCTCTACTACCCACCCCAGTCAAGCCCAGTCGAGCCCCATCCTCTTCGGCCTCTCTCATTCTATCCTCTGACCTCTCACAGGTTCACAGTCTCCCACCGTCCCCAGTGACCCTGCTGCTCACTGTTTCTAGCGGATGCCCCCCCCGGGCCAGGCTTCCCTTCCAGCACGTCGCCCACTGTCGCTGCACCTGCACTTTGCACGCACTGCATCGCGTCCAGTCAATCCAATCCAGTCCAATCCAGCCTTTCCAAATCGAAATCCAACCTAGACTTGACTTTTACCTTTCTCATCCTCGTCTGCAGTCTAAACAACTTCCAGGGAGAGAGAGTTTGATAGAGATCCCCTGCGCGACCTAAGCTTGTTCTGCTCTGCTTTTCTCAATCTCTCCTAGCTGAGCCAAGACCAAGTTCACCTCTTAAAGGCAATCATCTCGCTTGCGCGCCAGGTCTTTTTCAGCCTCCGATCCTCTCTGGTCCCGTCTTCCGCTGGTCCTCCATCTTTCTTCATTCTCACCGAGCTCCATCCCCGACCGACGCAATCCCCGACCAGGTTTCCTGTTGACGGATTCTGTCTCAATCTTGGAGACAAGTCGTCCATTCATTCACTCATTTTTGCGACCCTTTTTGGTCCATTCTAAAGTTTCGCTTCTTTCTCCCCGATTCTTGGTCCAGGCCGACTTCTAGCCTCCCCTGCCTTGGCCCAAACGCGCCGTAATTTCCCACCGTCGCCCTTTTACTCCCAGCGCCGACGAAACCTATCAACTATTTTATACTCGCCATACCGATTGACTTCGTTTCTTGTCGCACCTTGAGCCTCGATAGGCTGCATTTGAAGAGTTAGGGACCAATATATCAGACGGATTTGTTTGCGGTCAACGACGTGAGTACCTCTTATCTCTCACGCTTGCCCGAGATCTTGCGCGGCTGCTTGGATAGTACGGTATTCAAGACTGTGCTTGCAAGCTCATAGCTTTCACTTTGTGAAGTGACGGTTTTATGAGGTCCAGGAATCTGTTGTCAGCATTCCTGATACATTGATAACCTGTGTCAGCCAACATTCGCGATTGCCTTGTGCCTTACAAATCCCACAAGAACAGTAGCTAACCGGTTTCTAGGAGAGAAAGCAACCATGTCGAACCCAAACGACGAGATTCAACCTCAGGCAACCTCAGCCGATGCTGAAATGTCGAACAAGGGTCAGTTATCTCCAGAGGAGGGAATGAGCTCCAAAAAAGGTCGCGGTCTCCTTAAGGTTCCCTCGAGATCATCGTCACAGCGGAACCAATCGTCACCAACATCGACGGGGTTGAGTGGGGCTACAGTCAGCGATCCCCGGAACAGTATCGGAAGCCGATCGAAAGACTCCAAAGGAAGTCTCCGGGCGCGACGACGGAACGGAAGTACTTCAAGCAACAGGACTGGAGGCGAAACTGAACCCACAAACACCGCTGCAAACACACAGCCTAACTCTCCTGTTGCCCCCTCCCAGAAGAAGAAGCGTGGTGGTCTATTGGCTTTTCTTGGATGCTGTGGTACGCCTGAAGGCCCCGCTGGCAACGAGGAAAACAACGAAAACGTACACAAGCTCGACGTCCTACCGCCTCGCCCGACATCTGCAAGGTCGCGTACCAATACTCCTCAGGAACAACCTAGGCCAGTTGCTGAAAGAGAGTCTCAAGTCACTGCCCCCGCACCGGAGCCAAAGGACGAGGCTACCTCATCAGGCCACGCCAACGACGAAATCACAACGGCAGAGCTAGAAAACAGGGAATCGAAGCAATCGGTTCCCCCTTCAGTCACAGTGGAGCCCCCCAAGCCTACGCCCACAGAAGAAGAGCCTCAGGTGGCAGACAAGACGCCTAAGCCTAACAACGGTGACGTGGATATGCAAGATGCTCCTACTGAGGAGCTAGAAGAGGCACCTGAAGCCCCTGCAGTCGAAGCTCCAACCCAAAGAACGATACCACCCCCACCCCCAGGCCCTGCGGTCGTGGCACCCAGTCAATTCACAGATGCTGGCCCATCAGCACCCGAACCGCAGAAGTGGTTGTTGCCCCCAATTGCACCTGAGCATAAGGGCAGAAAATGCCTGGTTCTCGACTTGGATGAGACTTTGGTTCACAGTTCCTTTAAGGTATGGTTATCATTAATCTATTTGTCGTGGGTATGCGCTAATTCCTGTCAAAGATCTTACATCAAGCCGACTTTACGATTCCTGTCGAGATTGAGGGTAACTACCACAATGTTTACGTGATCAAGCGACCCGGCGTCGACGAATTCATGAAGCGTGTTGGAGAGCTCTATGAGGTTGTCGTCTTTACAGCTTCCGTTTCTAAGGTGAGTCCTGCTTCATTAGTAGACCGATCAGGAGACTTACTGACAATGCGTAGTATGGAGACCCGCTCTTGGACCAGCTGGACATTCACAAGGTTGTTCACCACAGACTCTTCCGTGAGAGCTGCTACAACCATCAAGGAAATTACGTCAAAGACTTGTCCCAAGTTGGCCGAGACCTGAAGGATACCATCATCATCGATAACTCGCCCACCTCCTACATCTTCCACCCACAGCACGCTGTACCCATCAGCAGTTGGTTCTCCGATGCCCACGACAATGAGCTACTAGACCTCATACCCGTCCTTGAGGATTTGGCAGGGCCCAACGTCGCTGACGTCAGTCTTGTTCTCGATGTTACACTCTGAAGCATGACCGTTTCCTAACAACATTTTTACTTTGTCAAACATTTTTCCACGATTCGAACTACAACCGTTGATCTGCAGAGTTGCCATCATAGCGGAAGGCGTTTGGTTGAGAGCTTTCGTTTCCTGGTGTAGATGTACTATTGTCTAATCATACATAATTGAGCGGTTGGGATGGAACGAAACGAAACGAACCTCACCAACATGCTCAAACTTCCTTTTACAAAAGATACCTGGCGGTCTTTGGTCGCCACCAGCACGGAGGCCTTTTGCAGCAGGCATTTCCATTACATCTCGCAGATTCAGAGCAAAAAGATGGATCGGCATCAGGAGAGGCACGGGACACATACAAGCTCTTGGTCTCCGGAAACGGAGCTCAGTGACGGGTGGGATGTCGTGTTCAATACATGCTGGGCTGAAGAAACAGAGAGACAGGGCCTGTCGAGAAGGATTGGACACCTGTCATACCATCTCATGTCATAGGGATGAAAAAAAAAGAGCTGGAGGAGAACTCGACAGGTGCATGGATGACGCGCCAGCGATGCGCGAATGTTTTTTTGTTGTCTTGATTCCCTTTGTCTTATGGTTCCTTCCTTGTCTTTGATACTGCTACCGCTGCTTCTTCTCTCTTCCTTCTTGTTGTCGTTGTTTCTTTTTGATTATACACCACCCCTGATACATTCATATCGAGTCTGCGAGCGGACTCGAAAGCGAGCACGAGAGCGTTTGTTGTTGATATCCAATCCGCCTGACGATAGGATCAACAGGTGTAGAGGCTACAGCCATCTCTCCCATACATAGTCTCACTAAATTGTAAAAATCTTTTTTACAGAATAATGGCCTTGAATGAAATAATCACTTTGTTTGTTGGAGTATCTTAACTTGCATGGCCTGAAGTGGTAAACTGTCGCATGTTGCTCAGCTTAATGAAGCTACTTGCAGTATGTAAAGTGATCTGATGTGGAGCTCGTACCTCTACCTATTGTGGAGAGCTATAGTCCCTTGAAGTCGGAGAGCTAGCTCATACCAGTTCAGTAGACGCCACCGGAAAATCATAGCCCCGCTCCCTCCTTTCTGGTGAATGTGGCCTCAACTCCCTAAGTGGTCGGTCCCCCATTTTACGGGGGGAGTAGCACAACCACCCAAACCATTAATTTAGGACCAGTCTCTCGTCTTGATCCTTGGTTTCCATCAACGTTTCACTATCTATCCTCTCCTTTACTTTCCATTTTCGCGCTCTCTAGAAATCCTTCTGTGATTTCTCCGTCAACTCTCATTCTCCGGGTTTAATTCTTGAACAATGGTACGCTCTTAAACTTCGAAGCGAGAGCAATTGGCGATGCAAGCTGCGGAGCTAGTGTCGCATTGCGACTGAGCTCTTCCCTCTGGACTAGAAGCTTGTTGTATGATCGACATTGATTCACTAACATGGTGTCCTCTACAGTCTTCTCCTCGTCCTTCTTCCCCCGTTAACGGCGGCGCTGCTGCCAGCGGTGCCAACATTGGCCGACCCTCATCCCCTGCTATCCCTGGTGGTCCCCGTACTGCCATCCGACGACGCGCTGCTGCCGACCAGAAGGAGAAGATTGCCAATGCTCGACCAAGCAGCACTCGCGCCGCTGGCGCCGGTGGTTCCAGCAGCACCATGCTGCGTACGTTACTCTGCCCGGACGACATTTAGACACATTTATACTGATACTTTTTTGCAGGACTTTACACTGATGAGTCGCCCGGCCTCAAGGTCGACCCTGTCGTCGTCCTTGTTCTCTCTCTTGTCTTTATCTTCAGCGTTGTTGCCCTTCACAGTATGCTTTACTCTCTCACAAGATGTGTCCAATACGTGTCCCCTAACTCAATTTCCAGTTATCGCCAAGATCACCCGAAAGTTCTCCAGCTAAACTGCTGCGACAAAAAACCCCGAATTTCACGACGAATCTCGAAGAGAAATGGAGAGATGACGATGTCTTGGGGACGGCTGCTATTTTTTTGTTATAAACCATGATGCGGCGTATGGGCCTTTATTACACACATAAAAGCTATGTGATGTGCAAAGACGAGCCATACTCGGCAATTGGGAGAGGATTAGGTTAATACGGCCACACCGGAAGTTTTGTTTGTTTGGTATTGCGGTTTATGAGGGGAGCCTTTGTATTATATCTCGGGAAAAAGGGTCCAAACCGACAATCTGGACTTTGACTGCTTTGACGATTAAGCATTGAACCTCTGTCGACTACGAATGTGATATGCAAGGGACGTGTGCCGCTAAGTCTTTAAGACGCAGATGTGTTCCATTCCTCAATCGGGTCTGTGCCGATACACTGGACTGGCTGCGTTGATAGGCGTGAAGGAAGTTAGATATCGTGCTTGAACATCCAGCTGGTCTTCAATCTCACCTAACGAGAAGGTGTAGCACCGCTACGAATCACACGGAGAGAAGTAGATTAAAGAAACCATTCCTGCAAGTTAACGTAGCTCATAAGGTCCTATAAACAGGTGCAAACACCCGAACCGTCCAAAAATTTCCCTATACCGTCTTCACCCTCAATTTAACCCTCGTTGGACACTTGCTCAGATGTGTCTTCATATCCCTTGGGCAATTCTAGAAGAGAGTCAGCATCAAGAATACTCCTGTTTTTTTTTTTTTTTTT